ATTCATTAGTTTGTTTTCCAGAGTGTTGCTGATTGTCACACTGAGCTCTTTAAATACCCTCTCAGTCCGCACAGCTCAGAGCCTGTGGTAGGACTTTGCTGACTCAGCTAAGAAACTGAGTTCATGCTTGATGGATATTAACTCTCCACACTGCAAACAACCACACTTCAGTTGCACTTCAGTTCAACACTGCTAACTTTACAGAACTAGATAAAAGACGTGAAGTGTTTTTTAGAAGTGTGACAATGTCCAATTTCTATCTAATAAACTGTCAAATATGAGTTATAAACTGTCAAAAAGTGAGCTACGCTAGTGATGTACTGTCAAAGCAACAGTAGATTAGCAAAATAGTAGCTTCACACACCACAGCACAGGTTCAATTCCAGCTCACTGAAGCTCCACTGATGCAACTTCAGAGGACGAGTCGAATTTAAGAGGGTGAAGCTGTGCTGTTGCATGTGGAGCTGTTAGCTAAGCTACTCTTGCTCCACTATACTGTCCTCGTTAGCATTAGACGCTAGTGCAAGGTTGCCAACTCTCACGCTTTTGGAATGAGACTCATGATTTTTGGTCTTTTCTTAACAAACCCACACACTCAGAACTATTATATATTTGTTCTGCATCCAATTAGTTCACATTGTAGCCTACTGAGAGGACATCAGCTGTATCTCCCACAGTTTGCAGTGTGTTTGCAACACACCAGATATTTAGTGTTCTTGCTTTCAGAACCATCGGCCTACATCCTACTAACTATGAGTTGAGGTTCAAATTAGTGCTTTATACAGTGTAAAAGTGGATACACCTTCATGCAACATTGGAAATCTCACTCTACAGCCACCTGAAAACCTCACTCGAGTCACCTCACCAAAGTTGGCAACCCTCTTAGCATTAGCTTACCAATCAGGCTGACACAGCTTTATGCGTGCTTGCTTTTATGCACAACACAGGTTCTGTTCTGGCTCTCTACTGCTTCAGTGTCACTTTTTTAGAAAGACTCAAAACTGAGAGCAAAGTCAAAAGGCTGGTGACACAAAGAGTCTAACCTGTTCTGTAGTGTGTTGAGCTACGTTATTAGCTTGCTAAGCTAGCGCTAGCCTAATCAGCTCAACTGTGCTCTCCTTAGTGCTATTCAACATTTAACAACTATTGTTCAATTTATGGTTTAACATTTACTGGTTGATTTATTGAAATATTACTAGTTTATTTTCTGATTATTAATGTTACAGTGGAAGCTTATTTTTATGTCTGTTGTGCTCCATCTCATCTGTTCAGTCTGTTCAGACAGTGACTGACCAAAGGTAACCAAAGGTAAAAGCTCAGTTTGTGGGGTAGTAGAGGGGCGGGCAAAGTTTGGAAACCAGGCAGCAAGGGGACATTTACAATTTGCATAATTGTGCATAAATTTTTGCATTTTTGCATAATCATCCAACATCAGTACCTGACCTCAGGAATGTTCTCGTGGCTGAATGCATTTAAATCATTACTCACAGCAGTGTTCCGGTATCTAATGTAGAGCCTTCCCAGAAGAGTAGAGGCTGTTAGTGCAGCTAAAGGGGACCAAACTCCCTGTTAATGTACTTGATTATGAAAGAAGAGCTGGGTTAGCATGTCCACTGCATCATGTTTGGCTAACTTTAGTTGGGCATTTGCTCATGAGGTGTTGCATTATGAGTAATTTCTTGGCTGTTTGCTTATATTTCTTGTATTCATTTGTTTTTTGTTTTCCAGAGTGTTGCTGATTGTCACACTGGGCTCTTTAAATGCCCTCTCGGCCGCACAGCTCAGAGCCTGCGGTAGGACTTTGCTGACTCAGCTAAGAAATTGCCAGAGTTCATGCTTGATGGATGTTAACTCTCCACACTGCAAACACCCACACTTCAGTTCCTCACTCTCATAAATCTTTAACGTACATATTAGGTTCACAGTAGTTATAGAATATAACAATAAGTCTTGAGTTTAATATCTGAGTAATAAACATGCAGTTTAAAGCAGTGCTTCAGCCAAAAATGTAATTCATACAGTTTCCCTCTGACCCCAATAATAATCGATCTACCCAGACTTGTTTGATGTCCAAAGTTTGCTTTTTTATTCTTGAGCTATGAGACTAATGAATGTGGTGTAGAAAAAAACTGTGACAGCAGCCATCTTCAGAGGTCTGGATTCTGTCTGTACATCAAATCACAGGCACAACCAACAAATTTGTTTGATTTGCAAATGTTATTTTTTGGTCTGTCTCCTTTTCACAGTGAGGCTTCTTGTCAGCTACACTTCCTTTCAGACTCATAGCGCTGAGTTTTCTTCTCACAGTGGAAGGACGGACAGAAACACCTGTGGATGTTTATCTGATGCTGACAGTTTTGGTGGTCATCCAGGTCTTCCAGGTAGTTGTTAGGAGTCCCATTTTCTGTGTAGCTTTTAATATATTTTTTTTTTACATCGAATTTCAAAAACTCTTTGACTTTCTCCTTTTCTTAGTGGATTATCCCAACCTAATCTCCTCAGAAAAATCTCATGAAAATGAATATGTTATACTTAATGGCTGCTTTGGCTGGAAATGAACTAAATAAAGGGTGTTCTCTGACATTTGCACAGTACCATATGCAAGTGCTACTACTGAGCAACAACAATCCATCAACAAAACAGGCTTTGAGTGATATCACTACATTACTTACAGCCTAGTCTTCCATTATAAGTTTGTAGGGAAAATTGATTTAAATGTTGCTGCATTTCAACCAAACAGTAATACATGTAACTTACAACCTAGGACGTTTGCTGGACTGCATAGGCTTCATTCCTCTGCCCTTCTAGTGGCATACTGTAAATGTCTGAAAGCTCATCAAAGGTGACTGGACAGTTAGTTATTTAGGGATTAAGTTACCCCCATAATTCCTCCATAGGGTTTTAGAAACTGTCTGGACAGTTTTTCCAGTGAGCTGCTATACCAAAGACTACATTAATAAAAATGGTCTCCCAGTGTTACTTATGTCTACATGTAAGGGTCATATAGTTTCAGAAACCACACAAGCAGGTCTATCTCAGATTACTTTGCATGATGCTAATTGGTGGTGTATAAGGTTCTTTTTAGCTTGATAGCTACATAAGCCTTGTAGCTCTGGTGTAAAACTAAAAAAGCTACATTTGGGAAAAAAAAAGATAGTGGAAGATCGATTTTTGGCTGAACTGTTGCTTTAAGGGTTTAACCCTATTAACTCTTAGCCTTCGGCAGATCTTCACTGATGTTTTGGATTTCCCCCTCTCCAAAGATCACGTCCCACTCTGCATTCCTCCACAGGGCAAGTCTGGATTACAGGACGACTTCAAAGGCTCAGTTCTGATAAGAGTAAAGCTCAGTACTGTCAGTCAATCACAGCTTCCCCCCACCTGTCCAGCAGCACCGAAACAAGTCAGAGTAGCCTCATACTCATGAGGAGCTTCTCTAAATCACTGAGGACGATGCCTAAGGAATGAGCCTATATCCTCCAGGGAGAATCATGTGTTTTAAGTAAATCTAAGTCATGCTATTATGTAACTGGGTTTGCTATAAATCAGTCAAAATTGGTTCTAATCTACAAGGAGATACTGTAAATATGAGGGAACCCTTTAACATATATATATATATATATATATATATATATATATATATATATAGAAGAACATAAGTGACACCATGTTATATTTTCAGTAGTTTTATTGAAAAATGCCTCCTCTGGTTCAGAAATAAATAAGAAAATAAGGCTGTGGAATTCACAATTTGCAGTTAAAAACATGAAGCAGCAATACTATATCCATAGTCTTGCACACAAATGCCAACTGCATTCGATACTGATAAAACAACAATGACAACAACTATATTCTGATTTTTTTTTAAAAAAAGAAAACAGACAAATAAACTAAATATACACCACAGACATGCAATTCCACTTTTGGTAAAATCAGCTGTGTGTTCAAATTAGAAAACTGATAAATGTTTGGTTTAAGATAAAGTAATGGAGGCCATGTGTTACCATACCGCGGACGATGACAAAAACAAGTATTTCTCAGGCGATGAATACCGATATAGTGAAAGACTGGCGTATATGAGGGGTGTGTATGAGAGAGCCGTCATGATTTACGATGAATGAAGCATGGATGAAGGCAAAACTTGTGAAAGTAGGGGTGAATGTATAGGCTGTCATGTGGCAAGCGTGTAACTACCAGCAACACTGCTGGGATTTAGCATAAGTGACACATTAATAACTCTAATGTGGTAAGTATTTAATGAAGCAGATCATTTACAAGCGCACAAGGGGAGCAGATATAGAACAAGTTGGTCAAGAAAGTCTGGATTTGGTCACACACCCAATCTACCCTGCTAAATCCACACACACTCTAAGGTGTTAAAAGGATCAAAAAATAAAAAAAAGAAAGAAAAAAGAAAATGTAGTACCTCTGTTACATCAAGTGTTCATAGATCTTTATAGTGGCATTTGTGAAAGAAACTTTAGAAAAGAAAAAAAAAAACTACATTTATGCAAAAAACTTTTTTTTTTTAGAATTTTATCCATTTGGTTTGTCTTCCAGATAGCGATCTCTTGCGACGTTCGCTGGGTGTAAGCTCAAAGTCTTCCTCAGGTATTACATGTGGTTGGGGCTCACGTGGAAGCGGCTCTGCTTGGAAATACGGTTGTGGCCAGTTGAGCATGGGAGTAACATTACACTCAAAGTCAACAAAGCAAAAAGAGCAAAAAGAGCATTGTGTTACGTCTGTCAGTGCTGTAATGCCACAATCACTAGACTAAAACCACAGCAGAGACATAGGAAAAGACATTTGTGAGTTAGAGACACTGATAGAAAGGGTAAGTAAACAGCTCAGCACTTTCTGCTCCGCCCCCCCCTTTGATGAAACTACTGAGACATGGGAATATTTAATTCAGCTGAGAATATTCAGAAATCACATAAAGCCCTATTGTCGCTGGATGAGTTTTCCCATAAGAGGTTGTGTATAATAATTTGTTGGAATTTAAAGTCATTGCCTGAATGTTTACATCAGCATTACCCCACAGGCCGTGTCTATTAGCAGGTTTTGTTATTCCATTAGTGTGAGGTGCGTTAGATTAGGACTACTTACTACTTACTGAGGGAGCTTTGGGTTCAGCCAATTACAGGAAACCATTTACTCAACAATTTTTTACTGTCAGACTGCAAAAACTACACGCATTGCAGATTCACACTAGATTCAGATCCCTCCACCGTTGCAAAAGCTGCACACAATGCAGATTCATTCTGGACTAAAATCACAGGATCACATCAGTAATCACTTAAATCACAGCACCTCTCTGGTAAAACTAATCCAGCTCCAACAAGGCTGTGATTCCACATGGAACACAGCTGAGCTACAGCTGGCTGTACGAAAACTATTTTGACTACAAATGATGAGAACAGGATCGTTCCTAAAAGTACATCTGGGCTAGTGTGCACACAAAGTGATTTTTTTCTTTGAAACAAATCTCCAAAATCACTTGTACAAAAAAGCACATGCTTCAAATCACCCCTGAGCAAAATCTGAGGGTACATCACTTAAGGCACATGGCATAAAAAAGAGGCAATCATGTTGGCATTCAGCAGACAGCAGGACACAATGCAGAAGCTCACTATTGGTGTTAAAAACTACTTTTAGTGGATTTGGGTTCATTTACAAGGCACAATTAGTTTATTTACAGAAAAAAAACCTTAGGAGTTAACAGGTTAAATGACTGTCATCTTGGCTACAAATCCTCTTGGTTAGTAAGTGTTGTTGTTGTTGCTGTTGTTGTTGTTTGTGTTTTGAATCATGCTCCTCCACCAGCCTGTCTGCTGTTTGGCTTCAAGATGCAAACAGGCCACTATGTTGCTGCCATCACCCGTTGCTTTGGCGGTTTAAGTTGCTGTGAACTGTTGTTAGTACCAGTCCGCTATTTATTTATTTTTCTTTGTTGAACTTGTTTGTTTTATATTGTTTTCAATAGGTTCGTTAATCATTTCCTTGGTGGTTATCCTCATAGAACACATCAACATGTGCGAGCACAAAGCTCAGAATCAGGCCTTTCTCACGATTTCAGCGTGAAAAGCAGCACAGGCGCTTTAGAATGCTTATGAACCTGAAACAGGTCAAAGAGGGTGTTAGAGTTCACTGAGCTTATAAACTACATCATCAGGCTTTGAAACACGGCAAAAATGATATTTTGGCTGGTGAAAGCATGTAGGCAATGTCTCTAGTATTTATTATTAGATTGTTATAAGAATACTGAAAGATTATTCAGGCTACTTCTAGATATTTTAAGTCTTATCAAGTGAAATAATCTTATTGGAAATATAATTTGAAGGAAGAAAATATACGTAATATACATAACAATGTCCGGAAAAAGTTGAATTATTTTAAAATATTCTTATATTCTAACATATAATGCAAAATTTTACATACATTGCCTACATTCAATTCATTTGCCAAAATATTATTTTTTTTCCAGTGTGTACCTGATGGCTGTTTACTATGTTAAAAAACAACATGCTAAAAAAACATTCTGTATCGCTGCTGTCATCAGGAAACCACTACTGTAACAATTAGGTAGCTAGCTCTTCATGCACTACGCTAAAACATGCTTTTAATGTTATTAGCAGTGTTTTTTAACGTCATGCAACAGGCACGTCTATGAAAAAAGTGTACGTACCTCTGTATCCCTGTCCGTTGTAGGGGATACCTACGCACTGAGAAGAGTCGCAGTATCCTGGTGGGCCAGGTGGGCCCCTAGCTCCTGTGACACCGTTACGACCAGGAGGGCCACGAGGACCTGGAGCTCCGGAAGGACCTGGGGGGCCTGTTCTAGACTCACCTGGAGGTCCTGAAGGATACAGAGGGAAGCAAAACTCAGAAAACTGCACTGACATCGCTGTTTAAATCTACTGCAGGACTTGGCCAGGGCTGAGAGAGAGCTGCTCAGTAAGTCAGCACAGAGAGCGAGAGAAAGAGGTTTAAACCTGGAAGGAGAAAAGAGTTATGCCCTTTTTTTCTTAGTTTCTATTATGTAACTGTGAAAGCACACTCAGGGTCATACTTCTGGGATGTAAAATAAATCTGGCTGGGCTAAAAGACAATAAGAACTGCACCAGAAAAATAGAAAAGGCCCAGAAAAAACAAGCTCCTGCTACTGACACAAAGTTTTCATTTTGTGTCAGTTTACATTATAAAATTAAAAAAATAAATAAATAAAATAAAATGGGAAATACCTGTAAGAACTCTGCTGACAGCTATTGAAAGTGATGCGAACAAATTAGGCACGTGTCTAGTGTGTGTGTGCTTGCATGTGCAAAAGAAAACAAAAAATCCTACCAGGTGGTCCAGGCATGCCTCTCTGTCCTCTCTCTCCAATTCCAGGACTTCCCCTCTCGCCCTTCTCTCCAGCTGGGCCTGAATAAAAGGAGTTCACATTTGTACACACATAAATACCAGCATGAGAACAAAGACAAACCTCAAAAAACACAACAAAACATGTGTACGCAAAAATTGCATTGATGAAAAACCTGTGGAAAGCCTGCACTGAGAGATCTAGAAATGGATTCAAGAAAGAAAAGCCACAGCAGAGTCTCTTAAGCTGTGCAAGGAGAAAAATGTGGGAATCTCCCACGATGCTTCCATTTCAACAAAATCAGAGGACTGTAGCATCACCTCTACTGCAGTGTGACAAGTGCACTTATGAATATTTTTGTATAGAACCTTTCATATTTGTACTATTTATTTAGTTTATTCTCAATTCAGTATGACATTGAAATTAATTTTCTTTGTTGTAGCTGCACTGCACTGTTGCTGGGGCTGTGCAGGATTTCGCTGATCTTTTGTAAATTTTTATTTCTGTTTAAGCTGTGACATTACAATGAATTCAATCTAATCTAAACATGCAGATACTGGGCAGTGCTGCACAGGCCATAGCTCTTGAAGATGTGGGCAGTAGATGTGGAAAATGCCTACAGCCCTTGTCGGTGCTGTTGCAAGCAGTGACAAAATTTTACAGAAAAGCTGTTAGATAGAATTATTAATTGGACAGAAAGTACTTTGCCTCAGTGTCATACTCTGATCTGATTCATGCTAATAATGTTATTTAAATAAATCAAAATCAGTAATAAATATTCATGATTGGTGCATCCCTAACTGAAACTTTGTGAGCTGTAATTTCTTTGTAAAAAACAAAGCTAGCTAGTCAGCTGATGTTAGAGAAAATTGTCATTCTTGCGCACAATTTATCTGTGTAACTATCTATGATTGACAAGTTCAAAAACTTTAGTTTTACCTCAAGTCATTAAATTGATGCATTTGGCCCAAACTAGTTACAATGTTCAAATACAAGGTCAGTGGCCATAGAGCAAGGGGTTATTGCTGAGTTGAATTAGGGCTGCAGTTCTTTATTAAACACTTTCAGTGTTAATTCAACACAAGGGATGCCATCAGGTGGTATCAAGACCTACAATTATATGCACAAGTTTGAATACCCCCAGTCTTATTTCATGTTTTTTTGACACAGAACTGGGTTTCAGGGTTAATTGATTACCTTTCTTTCCTGTGCTAACATTTCACATATAAAGGCTAGAAGTGTATCACTAAATCACTAAATGCTCTATGAAATAGAAAAGAAAAAAAAAAACACACCTCTGTCTCCCTGTCGGCCAGGTAATCCCGGGGTTCCTGGGAAGCCGTTTCGGCCTATCCGTCCAGGCTCTCCTTGAGGACCTGGAGAACCAGGCGGCCCCGGGGGGCCTGCAGGTCCGGGACTGTTGCTGCGCACCTCATTGGGGATGTGGTTCAGCATGTCATTGAATCGACCCATCTGACCTTAGAGAAGCACAGCAGCCACATATAAACAGTTACTAGAACACAATGGAGAGTGAGCAAACGAGTGATTGTGAAATTATAATTAATGCGTACACAAAGTTGAACGTACTTCTGCAAGCACAGCCTGTTTGGCTTTGTGGTAGTGCCGGACAATGCAAAAATGTATCTAAATAAATAAAACTTACTGTTTACTAGCTGTTCGCAGACTTGTCTGGCAATAGAACGCATCATGCCCTGAGAGGCAAGGTCACCCTGAGAGAAATAACACAAGAAATCCATTTTGCTCTTCTTCAAAAAACGTCTCATGCAATTAAAACGAAATGAGAGCAAATATTGAAGCCATCACTTACTCTTTCACCTTTGTCTCCCTTCAGCCCAGAAGGTCCCTGCGTAAATTAAAAACAGTATCGCAGCTTTACATACGCACCACCACATTAGAACCCGCAAATCCTGCTAACGCTTAAATTACCCCCTAAGCATACTGTCTCATCTGTCTGCCCTGTGATGGACTGGCGACCTGTCCAGGGTATTTCCTGCCTTCCACGCTATGAGCGCTGGGATGGGCTCCAGCACCGCCCCACTCCAAAAAACCAGAAGGATAAGCGGTTTAGAAAATGTGTGTGTGTGTGTGTGTGTGTGTGTGTGTGTGTGTGTGTGTGTGTGTGTGTGCATATTGTCTCCCAGTGGTTATATTTATGCCCCCAACCTCACCATTCATTTAATCTAAAAACTATCCATTCACTTATCCAGAGAAGCATGAGCTCAAGAGGCCATTGTTTGAACCTTAGCGAGTGAGTTGCTGAAATGTCTGTATTATGCCTGCTGTCTGTCTTTAAGGTGAACAAGACTAAGGAGGCTGTAGGTTGTATTTCACACAGACTTTTGACAGCATAATGCTATGCTGTGCTGGAATGCAACTAATTTCATCATTGCATACCACAGTGCTACACATCAAAGCAATGTTTTGCAAGCAAAAGATAATATCCAGTTCAGTAATCATCTGTGTTAACATACCTGATGCTTTTTTTTTTAAACTCATGATTTCAAAGGATGTTCTTGGCATACTTACAGGAACACCATTATCACCAGGATTTCCAGGCTTTCCAGGAGGTCCTTGCATTCCAGGAGATCCAGGGGGTCCCTAAACAAAAAAGACACCAGAAGCATTCATTTTCCAAAAATCCATTTATGGAATTTGCAAATGGGTCCAAATTCAACCCAGAGTAAGCAAGCAATATGGTGGGGACGGGCAATATGCTCCCGTTATCGTGATAAATTACGAATAAATTACATAATCACTAATATATTTCACTTTTGTATTATAAACAAGACAGAGTTAGACTAATTACACTAACAAGTATACAGTAACTTACATAGTAACAAGCAGCTGATTGGATGTCAGCCAATGATAACATTAACAACTTATTTTACTAATTTATTTTTAACAACTGTGTGATTTTTGCCAACTTCTTTTTCAAGAAACAAAGTAAAGTGTCCAGGTGAACCACTTGCTAATACAAATTTTACTGCAAAACCCACATTTGAACTTGGAATGGATGTGTATGCGAATGCACAAAGGAACATTTTTTAACTGTAAGCTAATATGTAACCAGAGACAAGTTCCTTGTATGTGCAAATATACTTGGCCAACAAAGTTTGATTCTGATTCTGAATTTGTGTGAACGCACCATCGGTCCTGGTGGTCCTCTGGGTCCAGCCGGTCCTTCCTTCCCTGGAGGTCCCTGCATTAAGTGCACATACACAATTAGATCCAGATTTCTTTACTAAAGGCTGATCTGCTGTTGTACTGTAGTGCAGTGTAGTGTACGCAGTGGCAAAACTCACTCACCCTCACACCAGAAGGTCCCATAGGGCCAACAGCACCGGCTTTGCCAGGTGGACCCTGAGAGAGAGAAACACAGACTTAGAGCCAGACACTGCACCCCCACTTGCCCTAGACAGCATTAACACAGCTCACCTATCTTTGTCTAAGCAACTCAAAGCAGTTTGTTACACCAGAATTTTCCTTCTGTGCTTAAAATAGTAAATCTTTATTTCTGATTTGCGTTTAAAAGACCTCAGCAGCTTGCTCTCTTCTTTCCCCCCTTTTTTATCCTTCCCTCATCAATCCTCTCTTGCCTTTGATGCTTTGGCATAAGATTTACAGGCAACATAATATATTCCAGATCCATTTTACTGGCCATTATAAACCTGGACTGCGAACTCTGCAAGTCATTAAATGCATGTTGCTATAGCATCTGCTCCAGTATGCTTCTGCTCATCTGCAAAGCAATGCCCAATTCTGGTCATTAAAACTGTGATTTTAAAGTGGCTCCAACATAACAAATGCTTTCTTCTCTTGCTACAAAATTTAGAAGGTTGTGCAACTGCAACAATCTCATTAGCCTCTTCCAGAAAACTGACTTTTGTTTCACTTCTTTGCAGCAACTGTCATCGCCTTATTTTGCCTTTTATTTTGAGCCTTCAAACTACTGTCTCACTGCTAATCCACAATAATTGATTTAGTCACCTAACCACCCAAGAAACACAAGGGTGGGTGAGACTGGGTGGGGAGAGATGAGACGGAGTGAGTCTTTGCTTGTTTCATGATGTTTCTTGTCTGGAATGTAATGGTCATAGTAATTTCATACCACCATGATGCATCTTATGCATCTTTCTTAAGCGAAGTGCCATCCAATGGCAAAAAGCTAATGGCAAAAGCACACCTAGCCTGCAGCCAGATTTTATAATTCGCTGTGGAATTTACACACATTTATCTATGAGTACATGGCGCTTAGCCTCACTAAATATCCACTTATCTGCATGGCAGCAAGCAGCCATCAATGTTATTAATTCATTCCCTAGGCCCACACATGTTCTAAATAAAAACAACCCAACAAAAACTGCAGAAAAGCACCAGGCCAGACACATTACAACAATTAATATTGAGCTCAGCTAATCTGCATTTCAACTCAGATGAAATGTTAGAGCATGATCTAAGCCTATTGTTCACTTCTGCCTCCCTTCTAGCCTCCCCTGCACAGATACGATCTGAGCTTTGCCATATGGAGCCTGTCCAGAGTAGTAGCAGGGTCTGTACAATAAGAATTATCCCCTCGTTCTCCTTTCCAAGCCACAAAAAGCTCTTTGAGCCAAAAGAGCACTCACTTTCTGCCCAGGTAGCCCAGCATCACCGGGATCGCCTTTCGGTCCTGGACGGCCCTGTGGAAAAAAATAGAAGAAGAAAAGCTTATAGTAAAAACAAACTAATGCAAGTCTTCATTTCAGTGAGTGAAGGAGGATGTGTACTGTCATGCCGTTGGAAACCCAACACATCAATCAAGGCAGAAAGTCAGGATTTGTGGAAGTGGATTTTTGGGCAAACTTTTTGCTCCATCCTGACTAAAAAAGGACATGAGTGGAAGCAGCTGAAAGAAGGGAGGGAAGAAGCTCTATTCGAACTTACGCAACTGAGTTTAGGATTAGATGCTTTCAAAGTTCTCTGATATTGAGTGCAAATGTCCACAGACATGGAAGAATGCAGGATGCTGAACCTGTTGCCATAATTACTGTGTAACTACAGTTCCTGGGAAAATAAATGGTCGGAATAATCCCTGTTCAGTGCACAGAGGCACTCAGAGATTTACGGCTGGCTACTGAGAACTGGCGGAGCGCAGAGACGGCGGATAGAGAAGGAGATATTAAGCAGGAAGAGTGAGGAGGGGGACTTACAGCCTCTCCTGGAATGGAGAGTCCACTGGGGCCCTGAGGTCCAGGAAGACCCATTGGTCCTGGTGGTCCTATATCGCCACGAGGCCCAACTGGACCCTACAGAAACACATGAGAAAGGTGTTCACAGTCGAATTTGTCTTTGGTTTCTCTATAGGTGCATGTACAAGACGGCCTATAAGAAATAAATAAATAAAAGACACAAACACACTTTAAAACCACACACAAGAATAAGCATCATGGCAACTGATCAGCATCATAGAGTACAAAGACCTAGAAACCCTAACTATAGCAATTTAATGATTGAATAGCTTGTGGGACAAAAGACTTTTTATGTTCTTGCTGGCATTAGGGACCCTAAAGTGTCTACCACAAGGAAGCATCATAAACTCAGAGTAAAGAAGGTGAGAAAATTGTTTAATGTACTTTTTGCCTTCCTCTGCTATCAAAACTCAGTAATCCAGTTTCATTAAAATTGGCAATAACCACCACACTAAATGATAAGGAAAAGCCATGTGCGCAAACATTAGTCAGGCTAAAAGGTTATATTGAGAGAAAATCATGGGGTACATGGTACTTACAGCTGGGCCGGACTCTCCTCTTTCACCCCGAAGCCCCTTGCTACCAGGTGCACCCTGGTAAAAGGAAAGTGTTTGGACAAATTACAGAGAGAATTCTTTAGCTATCTGCTCATCCAACTAACAATCACCTGTCTACACTCTAAACTTGAACCGTCTATAACCATGAATGAATGACTGAATGAAGTGACTTGTGCACATGGTAAGTACAACATTTCTTTCAGAAAAACATTTGTGAAATTACTGTACTTTGGGACACAGTATGTGTCTAATGAACAGCTTGTCTGAATAGGTTGATAACCCAACGCAATTTAAAGAATTGGTACCTTTCAATCTACATACTGTCTACCCATCGATACGGATTATCTTGATGTTCTCCTAAATCATACATGTAGGGTTCACACTTCAATTCCTCACTCTCTCAACTATATAACGTGCACAGTAGTTTCATAATAGTAACCGAACAATTCATAGTAGTTAAAAATAAACTCCTCCAAAGAGGACCACAAAAGCCTCTTACCACAGGTCCCATCGGTCCAGGAGGTCCTGAGCTGTCAGAGGTGCATGTGCAGGCATTGGGAAGAGGTGGACACTTGGCCTCATCTCTCTGGAAGATGACGAGGGAGTGTGAGAGGTTAGTGAAGATGATTGAGGGTCTGCATACATAAGAGCAGGACTCTCTCTATAGCCTTGAGGGGAAATCTTATCCACACCCACAAACCCAGGATTGACTCTTTCTCACCCTGGAGAGCAAAGTACAATGTCCCATGGTCAACCCTCTACGTTCAATGTAAAAAAGGGGACTATTTCTGCAGTTTAATCTACTCTGTGCAACTAATAACGTAATGTCACCTCATATTCTGGCAGCTTTCAGTAAAGCATATACTCAGGTTAAAAAATCTGGTCTCTGTGCCAGGCTCTGTGAGCGGGCAGAAAAACAAATTATGAGGACCACCAACATCCAGCCATTCAGGATATTGGCTACTGAGTTTCAAAACTTTTGCCAAAAGATTAAGATTGCCTTTAATGCCAAGAATGTGTAAAAGAGGTATGGCTTCAGAACTCCAGTAGGTGTTAATATAATATTGGTTTGATTGATTTGCTATTTATAATAGGAAAGAAAATCAACAGTGGTAATATTAATGGCCACAGAAAAACAACAGTCAAACTGCTATTTCTTAGAATGTATTGGTGCTGTTCCTCAAATGAAGAGAGAGAATGTTCTGGAGGTAGTGAAGGGATTTAGTGTAGACATGGGAAAACAAAAGTTCAAGCAACTAAGCAAAAATGACACTTGCACACATTAAAAAGGTTTTTTTTACAGAGCAAAGCCTGTTACTGATGACAGCATCAGTGCCCACAGGGCAGGCTGGACTGGATTAAGCACAAACTTTGTGATGTGCAGGCAGAGTTCTTGCTGACAGCCTTCTGACAGGGTGGCAGTGGTGTGTGATTCATGTGGTGCTGCTAGAAGTAGCCCTTTTTTAGGCTGTCATGAGAGGACTTTTGCAGTTTCCCCAGAGTGATGAGGTACTAGGCTACACTATTAAGCCTCATCACAGAGGGAATACAGCAAATCAGGAGAGAGAAGAGAGGAAAAACAGCAAATCAGTGACACTCTCATTGACCATGGGCTGTTCTGAAGCTGCAGCTGGACTGTTTAAACACTTTTTGTCCTTCAGCTTTCAGGAACTGCTAATCACAACCAAAAGTGCAATTTCATGTTCCTTCAAAAGCAAGGATTTGCAAAGTTTGCTCCAAGAGCTCAGAAAAAAAGAACAGTACAGCTGTCCTTTAATAGATGCACACCCTGCATGGCAACCTTTACTTTCTTCTTGCAAAGAAGATTCAAAACATTTAAAGCAGTCCCATGCAAGCACTTGGTGTGGCATGATAACCCAGAGGGTATGCCACATATATATATGTTAAAATTCTTAGTTAAAAGTATCAGTCAATGACCCTGTTAATGACACAATAAAGGGCTGACTGGGTCAAACTGTACAATAGCAGATGTTCTTGTAACTGTTCCATTCCTCTACACATGTACTGGTTATGTCAGCATGTCCTTCAGCAAAGATGAGTCATTGTTCTGCACATGTCTAGTTCAATGGGGTTCAGTTGACAAAGCAAGGGTTAAAAACACATGGCTTACAGGATGTTAATACAAAATCACACTCATGTCATACGCACAGACAGCAGTTGAGCTTGAGAAAGACCACCCACAAATATTTGACATGGACATAAAGACTGACTTTGCGTGGGGATGCAGATAAGGTGCTTTAGACAGGGATAAACAGCTGTACAGGAGTCTTTTTTAGGTGCTTCTTACCATTGAGGGAAGGTCACAACATCTGTCCCGACTCGTCCAGCCCAAGCTGCAGATAATATCAAACATCTGGATCTGGAACTGTGCACCACAAAATGAAAGAGGTTGCTGAATGTGTCTTTGATGGATGCTTTGCATTTAAAGTTAGCAAAAAAAGAGAACACAACAATAAATGAAAAACATCAGATGAAGATAATTGACACAGGCATCACCACAGTGAAATCCATCTGTGAATTAGGTGCCCCAAGCTTAATAAATGTCCAGGGTTGTACTGCAGTAATGTACTTACTGTTGCTGATTCTCCTTTTGAGCCAATGGATTTGGACATTTTGCCTAGCACCTGATAGCCATCTGCGGATGTATTGCCAGCTTCCTTGATCTCCTTCTCAGCCACCTCCTTGCAGTCTATGTTCAGTTTGACACTCTTGGAGGACACAAGGATGTGGAGCTGGAGAAAAACAGGATTGTGAAATGGGCCACGTTAGACTCCCAGTGTCTGTCCCACATCCTGATTCTCAGCTAATCTTTATGCAATCTAGGGTTAGCAATCTCTCCACGGTCTTGCTTAACTCAAAAACCTTTTTATCATTTGACACTTAATTGGAAACTGACTTTAAGTGCACTAAAGCACAGATCCACGCACAAACTGAATACAAGGCCATGTTGGAAGGAAAATAATTCCTTAAACAACCAGACAGAAATTAAAATCAGATGGAAAACTCTAAAGTTAACAAAGCTCTTGTCAGCATTAAAACTGGAGATGGAAATTAGCAGTTAAAGTGCTTGTGTATTCTTCTGTATTTCTTTTTTTTCTGAGCCGGTTACATGGTTTTCGTCATAATTTTATGGATGGGACTGTATTAGTTAACACAGCAGTATCTCTTCACAATGCCAGGATGGAAATGAACACCTTAAGTGTCCCAAATTGCTTTGTTTTTTGTGTATGTTGCCCCACAGTCACCCACCAAAGCTTTGCTGTTTGTAAATGACTCAGCAATCATCCGTATAAGTGTTCCAGACCAGAACAACATGCACAGTCTGACAGCAGACCGCACACCATGCACTACAATAAGAAAACCCCCTTTAAAATGAATCAAGAGTGCCTGGTGACTTACTAAAATGACCACTTTTTTCTACAAAGTTCTCTATTGTTTCTTTTCCATTAGGCTTGCAGTTTGCACCATGCTAATTGATGGACACTTACTTGTTTCTACCCTAGCCTCATAGCTCCAATGCAAAACTAAAGAAGAAAACTTCAGACAGCAAATATCTTGGCTGATCGACTACATCTGGGCTAAGGGGTGAATTGTGTAAATTTGATTGTCTGGCAAACAATTCCTTTAAAGACGATTCTAGCTCAGTTCTTTCCAGAACTGCATTCCACAGCATCAGCAAAAACCAAACTATGGCAATTCCCAGGTCAACACAGCTTATAATGATGATGATGATGATTATGGAGCACTCTTTCTCCTTCTATGCGTGTACACCATCCGTTCCATTTAAATCTTAACAGCAGAACAGCAGCGGCGTGATTCTGTTCACTCTCTGGCAGCTGCAGCTGCCTCTCACTGAAACAGTGTGATCTTAAGCACTTGGCATGACTGGAGGATTCTGGTCAACATCCCTGGAAGAGGATGGCTGAGTTGAAGTGACCACTGTTTGGACTGTGATGGCTGTGGAATTCAGACAGTCTGCAGGCAATAACGAAGACTCATCATTTGGGAACAAGGGGTAAATGAGGTGAAGAGAGTCAGCACTGAGTGAATGGAAAGAATAGATTAGACCTAATGGGATGAGCCCACTGTCTCTGAGTGAGAGTCAGCGAGTCTGTGAGAAACCTTACTCAGCAGACGTTCAAACTCTTCTCATCTAGCTCTGCTTCATTTCCACCTCAAGCCAACGTGACAAATGGAGCACAACATCATCCAGGATCCACTTCCAAATGTGTTCTCAAGTAGTTTGTCATTTGAACTGCATTCAGCACCTAAACTGCACACTGGAGCAGAAAACTTTTATTTTCTGAGGTTATTTACTAGGATGAAATACTATTTTGCAGTTATATTGTTACATGTTGCAACTGCAAAAACTTCAAAAGAAAACTACCTACTGTCTGCAGTTGTTCAGGATTTGCCATCACAATACAAAAACACTGTAATTGGTTAGAGGGCTCATTTGCATCTTGAAGCCGTCTGCAACATCTGCACTGCAAAAGCCAGTACTGCCATAATGTCTAACAATGTATTGTGCAGACATACAGTAACCAAAAAACTGTGTTTCTCCTCTAATCAATATATTTAAGCTGGGACAGTGTGCCAAATGCTAATAAAAGCAGAAAGCAGTAATTAATATATTCTGATTGACCTCTATTAAATTGAAAAAAATATTGTATATTTCCTCTTTTGAATTGTGCTGTTTTTTGATGCCTGCAACACACAAAAAATGTGTTGCTCCAAATATGTTAAAGTCTTTCATTGTTAATGATGCCTTCACAGATGCAAGGACAAGTAATCCATGCTATGGGCACTATATCATGACAATCTCTGGTTTTTGACCTTTATGCTAGTAACAGTCTGGTGGTCCTTTACTTCTTTGGCCTGCAGACTACGACATCCATTATTTCCATAAACAATCTGAAAGGTTGACTCGTCAGACCATGACACATGTTTTGACTTCAGCTTGAGCCCAGAAAAATTGGCTAAGTTTCTGGAATGGTGTGGTGATATCCATGACAGAATTAATTCAGTGCCGTCTGAGGGATCAAAGGTTACAGGAATTCAGTTGTGGTTTTTGGCTTTGCCCTTTATGCACAGAGATTTCTCCAGGTTTCTCTGAATCTTTTGATTATATTATGCACCACAGCACCTAAAATCCTTGCAATCGCTCGTTGAGGAATGACATCCTCAAACTGTCAGACTATGTGCTGATGTATCTCTTGGAAAAGTGGCGGACCTTGACCCATTCTTTCTCATAAAGTACTCGGTCTTTCCTGAATGCTCTTTTTATACCCAAGGAGGACTGCATTGCTAGTTTAATATGTTTTTTGAACATTTCTCAACTCTCCTAGTCTTAACTTGCCCCTGACCCAACTTTTTTGGAATGTGTTGCAGACATCAAGTTAATATTGAGTTTATATTTACACAAAACAATGATGTTGATAGATAACACATTAAATATCCTGTCTTAGTCCTATTTTTGTTTAAATATAGGTCAAAGTGGATTTACAAACCATTGTTTTCTGTTTTATTTGCATTTCACATACCTCATAACTTTTTCAGAATTGAAGTTTGTACTTTCTCCTCACTGTCCGTCACACAGTCTGCTCTGATAATTACAACCTCCTCCAGCCATGTTCTCTTTGTAAGCAATATAATGCATATTGCCATCCCCTAACTTTCTGGGTGTTCCCATTGTCTGTAATTTTTTTGCTGTTGGCATAATCTTCATAAGCTTCAGTCAGTCTGTTTGACTACTTAATGCACCACTCTCTAGATTGTGCTTTAGGATCACAAAACTTGAAGATTCGCCATGTTAATAGCAGACATGTCAAGAGTAATGTGATAGCACACTAATTGGGAACATGACACACTAGGGTACCATCCCCATTTTATGTGAGCAAGAAACTTTAACAGTTGACTAGTTGCTGTGGCTTTCACTAAATTTCTTTCGCATCAAGCAGCTTTAAGAAGTACTGACACTGCTATTGCCTCTGCATCATGTCTTTTGTAGTGTACTGTCCACTTTAACGCACCTGAATGAAATAATCAGGTCATTAATAATGCTCAGGAGCTGAGCTTGCTGGGTCAGTACAGGAAAAACCCAAAAATTTCCAGTGAATTGTGTCTCAAGGCAACTCCATTTATAAATGTCTGTGGTCAGCTTTAACAGTGTAAAATGTGGGCACATGGATACCCAGTGATATTCCAACCAAAGATGGATTGGACGTAGCAGACTCTGCCAAAGAGGCTTCCGGAGAATCTAAAGAATCCAACTGCTGACGGATATCTGTTCCACTCATCCTTAAGCTCTTTGGTTTCTTTGCTATTAACATGTCCGAAAGAGCCGCTGAATGTGCTCTTTTGGCTGCTCTGGGAGACAAACAAACAATAAATCAAAGCTTGGTTTTAAAAACTGCTCTAAAAACTCAAGATGCATAAAACTCACTGAATACTTTAATACATCAAGCCAGAGAGCATTAATCAAAAAAAGGAGTGAATGCATAGGCCAGAGCTAAACCATCTAAATCATGTTTGTTTATCCAGCACACACTGGCAGCATTTTAATGGTTGACTAGCACAGAAAAAGACTTTATAAGTAACAGTGAAAAACGAAAGCATGCCAGCGCTCATACACTCGATCACTTATGTCTTTAAAAACATTCCCACTGATGGATTACTCTTCTCTAGAGAGAAGAGATCTGAAGCATGACAGACAGTTTTAGCATCCCCACTCACTCCTGAGAAAAGCTGTGAGTGAAAAGGATGCACTACTCAATTTCATTTCGTCAGAAGCCGTCATTCATGCTTTGTCCTGAGTGCTCACATATGCTAAAGCAATAGTTCTGCAAAAAAACAATATTTCCCTTTAGCTCAAACGTGGTCAATCAGCCAAGACATGTTTGGTGTTCAATGTTTGTTTCTTCAGGTTTGAATTAAAGCTAAAGACTAATCTAGCAAATTAGCATTGTGCAAACCGCTTGCCTACATTCTTACACACTTGCTTCAAACTGTGTCCAGTTGTTACATAATCTCAAACAGACTTTGTTATCTGGTTTTTTATACTGTATGACATACTGTATGCCATACAGCTGAAAACAGTTAAAGCCTGAATTTTGTCATTACTTCAGGCCATTTTTAGACATAGTATGTATTACTGTCTGTTTAAAAGTACATAAAACTCAACACTGTCTGAAACAAGCATAAGGTAGGGCACAGGGACCCTGTAGCTCCAGGGCAAGACTAAAAGTATGCTACTTCATACAGCCTGAAACAGAGCCAGGATGCAGTCCAGACCTAAAGACTGACATGGAGGTAGAGATGGACAGAGAAAGACAGACTGCACAAAACTTCTCCCCCTTCTTCGCCTGGCATTTCTCTGCATTTCCGAAGTAATTGTTTAATGGCTAATGCAGCAACATTTTCCACCCCTAACGCCAGGCAACAACTTCACTGTGGTTTTAAGAGCTTCCCCAGACACACATATAGATTCTTGCAAATGTGAGAGACCTCACTAGGTCTCACCATTATTCCCAGGAGGAGATGGTATAAATAACTGTCATCCAGTCTTGCTGACTATTCTGGATGCAGACATATAGGATGACGCACTTTTCATTTCAGAAAGATTATCAGCTTACAAGAGGCTTTCTGCACTGGCAGATCCTTAAAGGCCCAGCACACAGTATTTTCTCTTCTTACTCAAAATCTTAACCTAGTAGCAAGTTTGTAATTATGTGCATAGTCTGCAAACTACATAAGTTGTGCACTGAATATTTTACACTGCCCTCTGACCACCTTTTTGGATTTGCATTTATTTTACTGAATACAGAATATCATAGTCTGTGGTGATTCAATTAAAGTTGTGAAATTAACTTTTCTTCCTACATCACCCCACCTAACAGCGTACATTAGGGTTTACAAAAGTTCTGAAGTGTAAGAGGGAGTTATATGGTCACTCTCTCTGCTCAGTTTCAAATGATAAGACTAAAATAGTCAGAATTTTCTGTGGGTCTGTAGTGTATCCTGGTGCTTCTTTGATCATTTTTGGAAGAAGACTGATAGATATTAAAAAGCTTTAATTTTTCATGTAGTTCAGAGATTTCTATTCTTTTCTCAAGCATCCACAAGAAGCATCTAATATCCCCTACCTTATGCAAGGCATACATGGTATTAATTAAACTGAGAAACATTTAGAGAATGGACCTTACGCACTCCAGGCACTAAACACTCCATAAAACATTCTGCCTAATACAATTCAACTTTTTATATAATGCATTGATTTATACAAATCTACCAATTAAACTTTCACCATCGGAAACCAGCCAAATAACAATTTTGATTACCCATTTCTACCCCTTTTAGAGCATGGTTTGGATTAGTTTTACTGATAAACAACTATGAATTTTTGCCACATTCAGGAATTACACCATTTCCTTTGATCCATAAATATAAGTTGGTTGTGGAGAGTATCGGCAGCCAAGAGTCACTGAAAGCGTGGATAGTTGCTTACAGTTTTCCAAAGAGGCTGCAGGCCAATACAACAAACCTTTGGAATTCAGTGACCTATCCTTAGAAAGTGATCATTATATTGTTATACTTGTAACTTCAAATTCATTTATGCACAGGAGTTATGAATTTGTGACTAAAACACCCTTCAGGCTTGTAGTTTTTGTCTGAGCAGTTGTGTTATGCAAGCCATTTCAGAAACAAATCCAAAAGGAGCTGGGCCATGCATAACTACTACTATCCCCAATATAACAATGTTCCTGTTTTACTTCAAGCTAGTGCTTGGCGATATATTGCCTATATCAGCAGCATCAGAGGTACTGATAGTTAACAAAAACTTGAGTATCTGCAGTGTCAGTTACTTGGTGCTTTAGAGGTGTAAAAACTAAATAAGTTTCCTTTCTAGAAATGTGACTGTTGTCTGGTTAATGTTTAGAATATTATGTAATGCTTCCTTTGGTGTAATTTTAAGAAAAGCAGAACAGGACAAAACGGTCCAACCACAGCAAGCTCCATCATTTGTGCCTCATTCCTTTACGATAAAGAACCCCTAAATCATTATGGCTTCATTAGCTTTATTCATGCAATTAAGATTTATTGCCATATTGCAATGACACATTTGGAAAGTACTGTGATATTGAACCTTATCAAGAACTCCCAGTACTACTCTGAGCATTCCTGAAAGCGTGACCATTGTAACAAGTTATTCAAAATCCTTTTACGACAGCATCTGACTCTTTCGATAACACACTGGATAACACAGCTTGCACTGAAAGCAACATCTGCTCAAGAACAGACATTACTCTGAATCACCTGTAATCTTAACATCAGGAATGTTCGCTATTCCAAAACTCTATACATCCTCAGGTCACTGAATGCAGATAGGCACTGGAAAACACTTTTGACTGATGTGCCACACCCCAACCTGCCTAGGCATTACTTTATGTAGCCATTTACAGGGCCACATAGACCTCTAGAGTGACAATACACAGAAGTGTTTACCTTGTGGAAGCTTCCATGGAAGATTTTCTTCACTTGATGATTGTCAAATGTGGCTTTCTGGATCTCTCCCCGTGTGTCCTTGTTATAAAACGTTACAGTCTGGCTGGAGGCTGCGCGAGAGCGAGAGAGCGAGAGAGAGCGAGAGAGAGAGAGAGAGAGAGAGAGAGAGAGAGAGAGCGTCAGACAGGCCAACTTCTTATTAGACTCACTTATTAGACTAGTGTCACGCAAAGCTCCTCAAACCAGAACCAGCACAAAAGCACTTATCAGTCAAACAACCCTGAAATACTGCACCACAAACAACAACATACAACTTGGACTGAGGAGCCAGACAAGGCCAAGGCTCCTTACTGAGAGGGGCTACAGGCTTAAAGCATGACTTTAGCCTGTACTGAGAGGGGCTACAGACTTAAAACCTGGAGCCCATTAAGTACCACTTACTGTGATGGGAGCAGGACTAAATCAAATGGAAGAACAGAAAGAATGAAAAAAAAAAGAAAACAAAGAATGAAAGGACACAGCAGATGGGTGTCTTTAATCTTTTCAAATTAACCATTAGAATTAGCATTTTTTGCCACTAATAACAAAAAGCATGTTGTAATTTTATATTATTTCTCACTTGTACCACATTGAACCAAGCAAAGAAAGTCTAACATACATTTTAACATATCATTTGTATTCATAAGGAAAAGATAACATACTTTACTGTGACTTCAGTTTCATGAAAAGTTATTCCTGTGTGAACAGTCTTATTTTTTGGAAATAAAAAAATCTCTTTCACATTTTTGCATTTTTTTTGTTATTTTTTCATATGGAAAAAAGTTAGAAGTGTTGACTCTAACTTGAACTTTTTTGGTTATATTGTGTAAATGCAATTGCATAAATAATTACATAATTATGTAAAGAATGACATTTATATGGTATAGCAAAATAACAGTAATAACTCTAGACCTCTGTGGGTTAATGGCATCCAAACTACTCCACTCTTTAGGATTACTTGATTTGAAGTACTGTGGTCAGACTTACGGTCAATGGTGACGCCAACCTCAGGTTTGTGGTTCTTGTCTGAGACTTGCCAAATATCAAAGGCCTCTTTTGGTGAGTCAGAAAGAAGTCGGAACATCAGGATGATGGTGTAAGCTGCGGGCAGACCATCAGGATGGATGTCTCTGTTGAACCCAAAACTAGAGTTAAAAATGCAGCTTAATAAATAATTACTGACACCTGATAAGGCCTAAGCTGCTAGGAGCCTGTTTTCACATTAGGTTAATGGCACTGTATGCATGAGTTCCCAGTGGAGGTTTGAAATCAATGCTGGAGTGTGTATGGTAAAAAGATCATAGAACCGTGGATTATAACGCTTTTTGGAACATGTGGCTGAACAGGGGCCCAAAACTGCAGCCTTCAGGAAAACAGAGCTCCAGGGCAGGTCATATTCTTTTACAAATGTCACGACCTGTCAGGATTGCCCAGGCAATCGACTTAACAGAGTGTTGTAAATCTGCTGACCCAGTTTAGGCGACAGTGGGGTCTAAGTGTCTGGCTAAGAGAAGCCAGGCAAGACGCATCATGTTGAGTGCAAAGTAACAAAACTCAAAAAGCTTTGCTCCATAACTCTCTAACTGCATACTTTCCACAACAAATTGTGATTACACGTTAAAGAACATTCGGATGCAATGCACATTGCTGGAACATGATCATTAAACACAGTTTATCACATTTTTTTTTCCATAATTGCCTTAATCTAGGTGCAGTTCCTCTGAATGCTATTCATTACTTCAAATTAGGATTATCATTCAGCAATTAGATTAATTTCATGGTCAGCTAAGGACATGTAAAGAAAATTCCTATTCCTGTGCTAAAACTGTCTGAACATACTGCAACTAGCATGAACTTTTGGGCAAAAAAATACATTTAAGATAACAGTATACTAAGCAAGTCTATTTGAGATTACTTAGCAACTCGATGCTGTTTGAGAAACATTTAGGGTGATTTACACATACCGTTTGACAAAGCAAATTAGATATGAGCTATGGTATAAGGTGGGTTATAGGGCTATGTTAGCCCTGTAGTTTTGTAGCTCCAGTGAAAAACTGAAAAAGTAAACTTTGGACACCAAACATGTCTAGGCTGGTTGGCTATGTTTGGGATAAGCAGGGAAAAGATTTTTTGCCAAACCGTATCTTTAAATGCAGGGGCAACTGGAGACACAATGATATGACAAAACACAGAGGGGTTCAGAGGTCTTACACTGAGGGCTGACTGAGGAATGCATCTTTGTGCAGCCTGTAGGCTGTATAGCTGTTGAAGGAACCTGGCTCCATGGACACTCCCTTGGTAGCAGCATACGTTCTTTCAGTCAGATTGAAAGCCTCCAGCATTCTGAAACCTGAGAGGACACATTAACATTTCACTTTATCTGTATAGTCCTCTAAAACAGGGGTCATGAACTCCTACCTGGGTCCAGCAGTTTGGTAATTTACCTGTTGAAACAAACCCACTAAACCAGGTAATTAACAGATGAGCTGAATCAGATGTGTCTGAGCAAAGAAATCACCTTCGTGCTGGATTTTTTGAGACTGCTGCTCTAAAGATTATTTAAAGATGCTAAAAGTGTTATTACCTACATGGTGACACTGTGTCGATTCTAAACAGAGCTGTGGTTAGGACCACAGTTAGGTTTAGGTTAACTTTAACCAGCTAATTAGAGCTATGAGGCTAAAAAGCAACGGAAGTCTCTATTCCATTTTACATCGCTTTGTACCTCCAGTGCCACAAAGAAACTACAGTGGACTACACATGAAGAAGTGAATTACGGAGATAGATGTACAGTACAAATCAGCAGAAAAGACTTGACTGGGGTGGATACTTGATTATATTTACCCGGTGATGTGAAGCCGTTCACGTAGATCAACGGACACGCTGTGAAAAGACAGAGTATACAGAGATCTTATAAACTGAGCAAAAAAAAAAGCAAAAAAAACTGAACTGCCTCATATAAAACCTTGTATATGTATAAACTTTATGTCCCCACTATCAAACCTCCAAAACTGAAATATCAACATCATCTTAAAAGCACAATTAAAATATGGCAAAAATTGACCCTGATGTCTGATGCTAAGCATTAACTATGACTAATTTACTGGGTTAATTTTCATTGTTTCCTGGTTTCCACAAGAGACTGAAAAGTGTACCAGCGATTCAGTTTTACCCCAGTTTTACACCCTTAATACACGCTGACATTGAAAAGCATCTGTAACAGACAGTATGATTAGTACTTACAGGATGACGCAGTCTCACAGATGAAGGTGACCAGATTTTCCTGTATTGTGGAAAAGGCATCAAAATCATCCACAACGAAGATGTGCCGCTCACTTGGCTTGCTTCCAATGTTCTGGAGCTCGGCAAAGTCCACATCAGCCACACCAATCACGAACACACTATAACCTGAAATGGGAGAACACATCTAAGTTAATGTTCAATTTACAAGCTTTACTGCTCAGTTTCGCTTAGGACCCATATCTATCATATCTATCAAAGGACCCACATGAGCACCTTTTTGAAGTCTATATGTGACAGTAGATGATGACCACAATGAAGTATGATGTTAAAACACAGAAGAAACCTCTTAAAGCTGTAGTTTTTCCTATTTGTGAGTAAATTTTGATGGTAGTGGTACCTTGGTAGTCTGAGAATCTGACTGAAGGGCTCTGAGCTATGGCTGAAGAAATCATAGGTTCTGATGAGGGTGGCTACTATTTTGTCCTTGATCAAGGCACCTGATCCCTAGTTGCTGCTAAGGGAACACACTTGTACTTGATAATATAGTGATTTTGGACAAAACTTCAACAAAATGTGAGTGCCTTACCAGCATGTTGCAGCTTGGCAGCGTTTTTCTTCACCTCATCCTGAGAGCGTCCATCAGTAACCGCAACCACAACCTTGGGGACATTTCTCCTCATTCCATTGTCTGAAGCAAACACCTTTTCCTGTACGTGTTTCAAAGCAATGCCTGGATACCAAATACCCAGAGACAAACTGTTAGAGGGTAGTACGAGTTACTTGTTTTGTTATGTTTTATGAGATTTATGAGATTATAAACTATTTTTTTTTTCTAATCAGTGGAGAATATTTTGTTGCAGTCATAAAAAAAAACTTGTAACATTTTTTGAATTTTAATTTTTCATACCATTTGAAACGTCAGTTGCCCTTTACATTGTGTGAATATTTAATGTCAAAAGGCCGCCAGAACAGCTGTCAATTGGCCCTGCACTTTTTAAAGCACCCATCACTTTTGCTGGGTTCAGGCTACTTATTTTAGAAGAAAAAAAAACTTTCCCTAACCTCAGGGACCACTGACTTACAAGCATGAACAGTTAGACAATCAAATTTAGTGGCAGAATCTATTATAATCTGTTTAAGTAGGGGGTGGGGTTGAGGGGGGGTTAGCGAGAGGACTGCTGCATCTCATTAATCTGTTAAATTCTTATCCTGTGATGAATGAGCTAATATTTAAGCAGTGCATCATCCTATGTGAAATGTATTAAATGTTGAGTGAAGCATTTTTACTGCTACCTTGATAAGCCAGGATTTTAAGTTCTTAAAGATGCTAGCTAGTAAAATTAGCAATCTGAGAGGATTCCAGTGAACCAAAAGGTCAAAACAAACAAACCAACACTGACAATGTTCATTATAGTGACATTATAGCTATAACCTAAACCATATGTAATGCTGAAAGTTATTTTTGTTATTTAACGGGTACTACAGTCAGTGGCTCTGATTTTTGCCAATTTAGAGAAAGAGATTAGCACTTTCTCTTGTCGCTATGCCAGAATTTGCTATGCCAACTACCTTTTTCTGTACCACAAAATCAAGTATTTTTCCTCCTCATATAAAGTTACCATCTATGGAAAGTTACCTTGGTGATTTATGGGAAGTGAGTATAGAATATGATGTTTTTGCCGGGAAAGTATCTTGATGGCTGTTTGTGAAATACAACACCTGTCTTTGTGTTTCCTCCTTTGTAGTGGATTAACTGAGTGGCTGCCAGTGCAGTGCCCTTGTCATCGTAAGTGTTCAGCTTGTACTCTGTCTTGGCATCATCGCTGTACTGCACAAAAGAAACCTGTGTACCCAAACACAGGGAGAGAATCAGACACCATAAATTCAAACTCATTTAACCCCTACAAGTTTCAGTTAATGCCAGTGATAAAAGTATGTTGTCAGTTTATATTAATTATTTGCAACTTATAGCCATACGTGAAAAGTGCAGACTTTAAACAATCAATCCATATCCATGTTTGTAAATAAATGAAGAGATATTTTTTCTTCTTATTTGAATTTATTGCATGTACAGTTTTGTGGAATGAAAAACCATCCTTTACAATTTTGTCATATTGTTTGGGTAATTTTCTAACATTGAAAACAAATGAGTTACAGAATGTAACTCAAATGTAAATAATTCATTATGTAACCATGTAATAATTTGTGTAATTATGTAATCACATTCAATTAATAAAGTAGAAAAAATAATACCTCTAAGCATTAAAACAAAATAGGAGTAAAAAGGTTCGTAGACACATTCCAGGTTAAACATGTTCAAAAAGTATTTGGTTGAAGGTTCTCCTCTGAAAGTTCCTTGTACTGTTTTAAGCTGAATGGCTCATGGTAAATTCAACGAGGTCCCATACCTGCATTCCTGATGGGCCAATAACATCAAAGGCTCCTATGATACTGAAGATGAACTGCAGCACTTTGTTGAAGCTTTCTTCGCCAATACTCCACGAGCCATCAATGAGGAACACCACATCTGCCTTGGCACCTTTGCAGACTGAGGCAGAAAAACAACAGATTTAAGTGCCATGATTTCCCCCTCAGGCTTCCTCATGAAGACCAGCGTAAAGCACGGGCTTCTAATTAGAGTCAGCCAGTCAACAAAAGTTGTGAGGGGAAAAAAAGACCTTCAGAATTACACAAACAAAACCACTGACATAATGAACCTATACATTGCAATTACTGCTTTAATTGATCACACTTTCCTGTGAAAATAAACAAAAGTGGGGGGAACATTTGGTGACCAGAAGGACTGGGAATGAGCTGAATTTAATGGCTTTTTTTCACTCAACGGAGAGCTTGGCAAAATTTTAAGATAATGTTTGCCTGATGCATTGCGGCGTAGTTCAGCATCCTCAGCTTCCCTTACACAGTCTCCAGAAGGCACATTTTCAGATTTTTGATCTCTTCCAAGGTCACAGTGCTTCTCTAGTCTCACTCAACACCATAAAACGAAGAAAGTGTACATGAAAAGGAAACATTCATGGCCTTCAACATGTGGCCACTATGGAAAGATTCACATTCAGTAAGGAAAATCAATTTAAAGAGAGTCCAAGGTAGAGTTGGTGTCCATCCAGTTTAGTGGAAAAAAATACTTGGAGTTCCACTTTTATTGGACTGGGCTATCCAGCATACTAAACTGATTTGAAAAAATCTTTGTCCAAGATCCTTTAACTGTGTTTTTTCAGGCCTGTAGATAAACGCTCTCTCACTAGCCACTTCATATATCAGAGTCACTTACTGTAATCTTTTAACTGTCAATCATTCCAGACATAAAAGTAGCAGTCACATATCTCAGAAGCCAACTGCTTCTTTAGTTCCTAACTACACACAGGCCCAATCACAATGACTGAGTCACTGTACTATCAAAGTATGCCACATCTACAACACTGCATTTGAGTCTAGCCACTGCATATGGAAGGCAATCAGGTTTGACATTCTAGTGTAATGCAGAAGTCTCCCAAAAACTTCAAACCAAGTTCTAACGGTTCCCTCTGCACACCACAAGGATAGACTGAGAATGTGGTTCTCACTTGCAAATGTTATATTATACACTTTCCAAACTGATTTAATTCTGAGGTTGAATAGAGGTGTGGGTCATAAAATATGGAATATATAGCAAGTTTTTGACTTGTTCCAAAATCTAAATCTATTCCAATACTGTACATTTAGGAAAACACTTACCTGCCCAGCCAGGAGGAATGGTGGGTGGGGGTGGAGGAGTTGGGGGCAGAGTTGGCACTGGCGTTGGCTTGACCACTGTAAGAGACACAGCCAGTTAGAAAGGCATTCACCAGGATGTTAAACCTGATGACTCATATGAGCTAATGTTGCTACAGAAACAGAGCTTACATGTGCGCTCGTTTTTGCTGACTCCAGGCCCTTCCAGGTTGGGAGTCTGTACAAACACAGTGGCACTGTACAGCGAGTCTGGACTCAGGCCTTCGAAGCAGTAATGACTCTGAGCAGCTGTGATGGTGACCTCCTGCTGCCCTTTGGCTGCAGCTGCAACAACAACATTAAATGCGTGATACACTGATACAGAATTTCTGGGCCAATAATGAAAACCGATACCAAATGACTGATACCATTAATACCAATAACAGATGAACTTAGTTTTGCTCCAATAAAAAAAAATAAAAAATGACTGTAATGCATAGACTACATATGGTGGAGTGAGCATAAAATAAGCTAAGTGATAATGTTAGCTGCATTATATTCTTTTGGGTATACTGATCACTGGAATGACAAGTTTTCAAATGACTTATTAGACTCAACTAGATAAAAATAGGGCACCAAGTTATTGAATGTAAATATAGACTGTAATCTACATTTCAGACCAATATTGGTGAATAATATATCGCTTGCTGATATATCATGCACCCCTAAATAAAACACAACCATCAGGACAAGACTACAGCTGAATACCGCCGCATGCTACTCTGGTGCACATCTAATGCCACGTTCTATTGAGCCAAAGTAATCCTCTTTGGTTTAATTCTTTAAACTCCAAGTCTTTTTCAGGAACACACCAAGCAACAGCTGATTAAGACTCTTCTGATTAAGACGTTCTTTATTAATCCAAGACTTTTGTGGTGAACTAATTTCCTCTTTCTCACAGCCCTCTTGGCATGATTTGCTGTATTTCGGTGAAACCGCTAGCACGTTGTTTACTTCTCGGAAACTTGGCGAAAGGGACCCTGACTGTCAGGCTAATAACTACCATGAACACTTATAGATACTCCAACATCCTGTCTTTAACAGCCATCTTTAATCTATGTATGAATATAAACCAGATGGATTTAAGAAAAAAGAAGGAATTCAAATGTTCTCACTCATTCGGATTAGTTGGTGGTTGAGTGTATTTTGTGTTCTATATCCAGCTACAGAGAATAAATAAAGATTAATAGTCAGTCTAGACTTAGTCAGAGCCACTCATGTGTTGTCATACCAGACGTCTGATGAACACACAGCAGTGGGCTGTTTAAGTTTCTATAGCAACGATCAAAAACAACTTCATCTACTTACATACACAAACAAAGGAAAAGGAAGAGGTAAATTAAATGATCCAAATTAACAGAAAATGACCAGAACTCATGCAGGATTAGGTTGTGTGACTCACGATCCAGAGGTTTCAGTTTGATCCTGTAAGAAGTTGCAGCTCGATGAGGTGACCACCTGATGCAGAATTTGTCATGATCTACATTGTAAGTTTCCAGGTTGGTTACATTGAGGTATACTGCACAGGAGAAAGCGAAAGAAATAGTCAGTAGCTGAACATCGTCACTCCACAAAGGAGAACAGGGATAAAGTGTATGAGTCATTACACTTACATTTAGAATTATTCATGACAAATTCATTGGCAAATTCAAAGCGACCACACCACACAGAACAAGCACCACACTTCAGTGCAAATGCTGGAAAGCTATGTTTCTAGGATGTTACCATAATAATAACAAAGTTGCCCCAGAATAACTTTTGAGTTTACTTTAAATATCTACAGCATGGTAAATGTACCTGCTGTACTGTTGTTCAAAAGCCATTGTTACTCCAGTTGTAAAAACACATGCAATTGTGCAATTTCCTTGCCAAAAGCCTGATTTGGATTTTAACATCTTAAGAGACCCCTCAGCAACCAGATGTAAATTTATTATATATACAGGTAGTGTGAAAAAGTTCTAGGCGCCTAATTTAAAAAATATATAGATATTTTTTTGTCAGCAACATTTATTTGCTTAGAAAAAGCACTAATTCTAACCTCTCTTTCTGGCAGCCCAGTATTGTTTTTATTTATTTGCATTTATTTTGAGAATATATGGTGATCTTAAAGGCAAAACACACATATTGTCAAGATAAATGGTCTTAAATAATGTGCTTAGGTGCCTACGACTTTTGCACAGTATTGTATGTTACTGCATATTTAATAGGAAAATAATAAGCCTGAAAAGTAAGCCTGGAGAATAAGGGCTTAACTAACAAAGCAATACATGAAAGAAACGATCAGACACGTACGTGTTGTTCCCTCTCCTGTTAGTGCTCCACTCAGCCCGCCGTCGTACTGAGCATACACTTTTACATCATACGTCGTGCCAGGGAGCAGGTTGTGAAGAGTGTAGGAGGTAACATCGCCAACAAACACTTCCAACGACTCATCTTTATCTAAGCAATGAATATCACCAAAGTTGTAAAAAGCACATAAAAAAAGACAAATCTGTAAGTAGCATACAAAATGAAGTATGAGTCATACTAAGGATTACAGCTGACAGAGATACTCTGACATCACAATGATTTAATTTTATCATAATTATTTAGGAAATGATTCAGTACATCATGAAATCTCACATTTCATGGTGTTTTGATTTGATTACTTTGGTATGACTCAGGATTAAAAACACACTAAATACATGTGTAACTGGAGAAACTATTTACACAGTAGCAGAATATAGACAATAAAATCAATACACCAAGCTTCTTTTTGGATTTTCAAATTTGAACGTAATTTTATTTTTGGCCAAAAAATGAGCCCATCCTAAATATTATTATAATAGATTATAAAAAACATTCCAAAATTGATGTATCAATGTATCAATATATCAATGTATTTTCAAACATATTTTACACTACAAATAGGATAAGACTTGTATGTACCTGTGGGCTGATAGACCAGCTTGTAGCCCATCACTGGAGCTGGAGCAGGGTCCCAGGCCACACGGAAGCGGGTGTACCACTCATCAGAGATACGTAGGTTTCTGGGCTCCAATAGGCCAACTGTGGACACACAAACTGGATGACCCTTTCTACCAGTTACTCAGCAAAAGCAAACTAAGGCATGACTCATTTCCAAAGTGCTAAGGCAATCCTAATTGACATGACACAGCCAGGGCCGCTACTGAATGCCCCCCATGATTTTCCTTTCCTATGTTTATGCTGCCATTATGAGTAATGTGCACATTTATTTTGGGTTTATTTTGCTCTGGTTTTGCTGAGGTAGCTGGGTAGTGGGTAGGTCAACAGACAGCATTTCTGGAGCCTAGCCCATGCTAACTGCCAGGCACAGTACCAAAAAATATACAATGGAAAACTCACTCACAATGTTGGCTACCAATCAAAGAGTGGGCTGTGTACTACCAATAACCAATTTCAAAAACCTTTAGATATGTGCATAGCACACATATATAAACATGAAACCAACCAATGCTGAGAAATGGCCTAGATACTCCGAACACAAACATGCCTAAAAAAGATCTAATGTGACTGAAAAGATTGTGAATTGCAAATAAACAACAAGCAATTTTACTCAAAAATCTTAGTGTTTTGTGTGGCATTTACGTGTTCTTCCATTTCCAACGAGAGAGCCTCCTGCTCCGTCCGCATAGATTGCCTGCACTGTGATGTTGTAGGGGGTGTCAGGGAGCAGACCTTGGAGGATGGCATTGTTTCTGTTTCCAGGAACAACAGTCTGTTGATAAAATCAACAGACATATCAATTAATATTTCACCTAGTGATTATAGGAGCAAAATAGAACAATAATGTCAAACAGCTATGGGTGGTATGCAGCCTCATACACAAGGTCCAAAGCTCAAATTTCAAAGCTTAAGTCAAGGAAGGAAAAGGGGGAGCTATTACAGAATGACGTGGTCCTGGTTTAACATAAGCTTAATAATGATTTCCCTCAACAGTCACTGAAAATAAATCAGTTAATTTCCCTTTTTAACCAGAGCTTCAAACAGGTGCTGGAAGAGCATGTATGACATAAGAGCAGCTGGTAATTTACCTAGTAAAGGCTGGCCTCTGCCCACACTCCTACAGTAGTAATACTGATGACAGTAAATACTCTTCTAACCACATTAATTCACTGTATTGGCCATGTTAAAATAAAAGTTGGACAAATAAACATTATTAATGCTTCTTAATGTTAATGGAGAATTCTTATAGACACTTGTGAAACTGAAACAGAGGAGAAAGATTACTTTATGTGAATACTCACAAACTGAAAATGCATGACTACTCACAAATTCTGTGTCTGATGGTGTAAAGCATTATTTCCTGCTGCTGGTGTACTCATGCCCTGAATGTTTTAGTGTTTTTCCTGCTCTAATGCTCCTGATACAACCAATGAACTCATTCATAAGTTGGGAAACACTGGCATATTGTGTGTGAATACTTACAAACTCCGTGATGGGGTCTCCGGTGATTGGAGCATATGCAATCTTGTACTGCTGTACAGGACCCTCAGCATGGTCCCAGGCGATACTGAGAGTGCTGGTGGTGGCATCAAACACACGCATGTTCCTGGGTCCGGCCCGTGGCACTGAAACAGACACATCACTTACTGTTAATGGACTATATGCACTAAGGGGCTAAAACAACTAATAAACAAAATGAATTATGATGAGAGGTGATGCCAAACAAGTGCTTTATATATGCAGTCACTTCAGGAAATGTAGGGCAATGTAAACTGCTAGACAAACAGACAAAACTTTGAGTAATGATGGGGAAAACTGGAGAGCCCCCTACAGACATAATGGTCTGTATAGCTGACTAATCAAATAAAAATCTAAATATAAGTTAATAATCCCTGGTTGCAGCCCTAACTAAAATGCAGACACTCACACACACAGGACCTCAGATGTGGCAAAACGACAGTTCCGTCATGCATTCCAGTGCGTCCTCATAAGTGTTAGCGAAAGTGTTTACATTCAGTGTAACCAGTGTGATGGTAAAGATTTAGCTCACATGTTTTTCCGTTTCCTTTGATTTGTGGTCCATCTCCATCTGCGTACACCGCCAAGACATTTACAGAGTACGGCGTGTCAGGGATTAGCTGATCCAGGAATGCATTGTTGACGTTGCCTGGAACCAAAACCTGCATAGAGTATTATCATCCAGATAACATGCAGATGAGCACAGTTAAAAGTGTGTCTTACTTTACTCAATCAGTTCTGCAACCTTCACTAATCTGGCAACACAAATATACATAATGACCTCACTGTTAAACCCCTGTTTAGATTAGCAGAGCAAGATAACATTTCTAAATAGATGTGTAATGCAAACAAAAGCTCTCATGGGTTAAATGCTAAATAAATACTTTCTCCTCTACATAACTGCCTGGAGCCTGCTGCCATCTGAGGAGGTCCACCTCTTGCACAAGACTAAACACATCCCAAGCTAGCATTAAGCGGCTGTCGGGAATCCCGTCTTTTACCTGTCAAAATGTTGGAGGACAATCGCCCCATCGGGTATCTGTTTATCTTTGGATCATTACATCATAGGGACTACAGGTGTGAGTATAGTAAGTAAGTAACAGTCAGAAGTACTAAGTCATATTACTATACATTATTATTGCCAAAAGGCTGAAAAATACAGAGACATACATTTTTAACTACATCGCCCAGCAGTACAACAAAGAACACCCTAATTATAAGTCTATCCTCATTATCTTTCAGCAGAGCCTTTGTTATGTCCACATACAAAGTTCATCAACGCTTCTCACACATGTGCCGAGGACATTTTCCTATGATACAGTCAAAACTGCATTTTAGGGGAAAAATTTGCCCTGTCTTTACTTCCTAATCCAAGATCCACCCATAAATCCATGCACATTATGTTAAAGACTAAAACCTCAAAATGCAGGATTTCCGCATTCATAAAAATCAGGCTTGCAATTACTGAACATCTGTGGGACCAATAAAACGCCAATCTAAGAGCATTTACGTTTTCAGGGCCCTGAGAGAAAAAGCAGAGCAGAGCCTGGACTTTTGCAAAGGCTTTAGTGCTGAGTGAGTGGGATGGATGGGGCGGGTTGCTGCTGAACGTAGATGCTCACACTTCCTTTCTTCACATCCTCTGCCTACGAGCAAGTGAGGCTATTGTTTGACCCTTAAATCCAAAGGTATTTCTCCAACCATGTGTACATATCTCAAAGCCATTAGCCACCTGGCACTTATATCTAATGCAAACTGATCTACTACACTTCCATAATAGCATAGTAGGAAGATGACAAAATAATGAACTAATATAACACCAACGCAATTACAACGAAATCTAGGGCTGGGCGATAAAACGATAACGATAAGTATTGCGATATAACCTTTCCTCGATAGAGCGATAAGACAGGTTTGATAAATGTTCGATATAACACACCATTCTCACACTTCCACATTTTAGCGAAAGCCCTGGTGGCGTTTTCTACTGCAAGGAAAGCGACACTACTCTGCTGTCACCAGGAGAGGGCGCATTTCCGAGTTTTTCGACTTGATTAGAGAGGGAGGAGGCCACGAGTAAAAAAAGGGTCGTCAAATATACTTCAGCAACATCTGAAATGTGGAGTTATACATTCCCTGTTTGAGTGGAGCGACCGGCGATCTGTTCTCCTGTGAGTGCGAGTGACGAGATAAGTGACGTAACTGTACTGTCCTACGGTGAACTCACCTCTTTCCGTACATCCTAACAACTTTAGCGGTGTTAAATCACATCTGCAGCGCTGTGTTACAGCGCCAAATCGTCATATTTTAGTATTAGTGCATTCTCGACCAACGAAAGTGAAAGAAAGAAGTGGGTTAATGTTAGTTACAGCCCTGATTTAAATGAAAGTAAACTGAGGAAGCTGTGAGGCATTGGAGAGCGGGAGAGCGCTATCTTTCCAGGCTAGCTGTTTTTAGCTGCTGGCTAAGTGAAGCAGCCAGCTCCGGCGCTCCGGCACAACACGGTGAATTGATGATACGGTAGATCAAACACGACACAAAATCACTGCTTTCAGTTTAAACATACCTAAAAGGAGGACTCTGTGACTGGTGCGAGAGATTCACACTGCAGATAATGCTTTTACACAGCGAACGTCAGATATACTGCGGTTCACAACTTAAACTACTACGATAGCACAGAGAAATCCAGTCGTCGCTAGCTGGTGTCTGAATACTGTGATATGCTCTGACATGGATGTGGTAGGAGTGACAGCAGTGACCTATCGAACCGAGTTGACGTTGTTGAGAAACTAAAGAGTTTAGCACTGTTGTTGGCCACTTGTTTAGCATTTGTAACGGGATAGCCGAGCGCTCGTCACCAGACAGCTAAAATAATCTGTTTTCTTTCTTAAATTATGACTATTACAAAAATTGCAGCTGTGCTTTTCCAGCTGATAAAAACAGCTCAGAAACTTTCTCCCACTCTCCCAAGACAGATTTGTGAAATGTTCCACTGTTTGCCGAGTGTTTGTCATGATCCGACCATAAGTGATAGTTTAAACCCACAATTAACCACCCAGGAGCAAAATCAGCCTTCAAACGTGAAAGAAATAATGATTTGACATTTATCGCGATATTTATTGATATCGAACGATATGAATTTTGTTTATCGTGATAAAGTTTTTGGCCATATCGCCCAGCTCTAACGAAATCTAACAAAAACAACTTCAAGTGTTCATTTGATGGTTGATGTGTACACAAGAGTAATGTTTTTCACCAGCTCATCTCCATTAAAAAGTTTTAGGTCAGAGTTAGATTTAGATCATGCATCGCATAATCAGGACAAACCAGAGATGTGGTTTTAAACTGCTATTATATTTTCATTAGGTAACATTAGCTACCTTGTTAAGGCTGGTTAGGTGCCAGCTTTGTTCTTCCAGCTAATAACTGCATTTTGTTTACTCAGTTGTTATTTCTACCACACTATTGATAACTTAGCTAGCTTTAGAGCTAGGCTAGCTAACGTTACAGCTATTCAGATAGTCTCTTTCTCCACAGAAACTTTCACGATTATGTCACAACAACCAGCGGCTATTACAGACAGGGTAAGAGACAGACAGAGAGACTCACAAACTCAGTTGGCCGGACTCCACTAAGAGGTGCATAGAGGACCTTGTACTGCTGCACCTGGCCTGTGGCTGGCTCCCAGCGCACATTCAGGCTGTTGGGGGTGGGGTTGTAAACCTGGATGTTCCTGGGTGGGGTGCGAGGAACTGCAAGAGGACATGAGAGAAAGACAGGAGGATGTAGAACTAGTCCTTGAAGGCAAAGACACAAAAATGCTCATTCTAAGCTAGGAATTTAAGATTCGGAGGTTTGCTATACACAGGAGGTAGCTCTATAAAGCTGGGGAATAAATGCCGAGCTAAGCAGTCAACAGAAGCACAGTGGTTTTTATGGTGCACATGCTGGGAAACACAGAGGTTGGGGTACAGTTAGGCATCATGCCTAAACTAAATACACTTTTAAAACTGAACCAGATGTGGCCTTTTGTTTAATAGTTCAATAGAGAAACTCCAAGCCCTCAAAAGCTTGTTGTTAGAACAATTGCCCCACTGTCTGTCATGTTGTGTGACATTCCACAGTAATGTGTGAGCACAAAATGAAACATAAATCTTTTGTGCACTGGAGTATTGAGTACAAGTACAGTAGGGTGTAGTTTCTTGCCAAATATACATACTGTGCAACGTAGACTGAGCGAACAAATTTCCGCTCTGATTGACTGAAACTTGCTTAATGAGAACTTGCCAAATGTTGCTGTGATTAATCAAACATCGATATGAAATAAGGACACTGTACATTGTTGGAATTCAGCAGGTTGTGACAGACGTGGGGAGGGAAATGCACATAAATGCACAGTTTCGTGTTGGTTTTAGCATTGCTCAGTAGGGAGGGGGAAGGAACTAGGGATTCGTTTCATGCCATAAGCTGTGCAGCATTCACACTCCAGTGAAAATCAGTCTTCTCTGGATAAATCATCCGCTGAGTAAGCATGGCATGCAATAAGAGCCAAAATAAGATCAATGCACAAAGCATAATCAGACCCAACCCTGAACTCAGCAAACAGCATTGAGATAAGGCTCTAATCTTTCCACATGCTTGACATTTTTGCAAGAAGTAAAGATCTGGCTGGTGCCTAACCGATTCCATTTCCTTATCATCAAGACCGTAGGCAAACAGTGCTGAGGGAATTGAGCTTCTCCCAGCACACTTACGTGTCTTTCCATTCTCCGAAAGCCGAAGACCCTCTCCCTCAGGATACACCGGAGCCACGGTTACAGTGTAGACTGTATCTGATAGGAGGTTTCTCAGAACAGTGTTAGTGGTTCCTCCAGACACTTGCTCCTGTTGACACACAAGCGAAAGAGTCAACATGAACAAGTCCAGGTGCACTAATAAAATGATTTTTTAAAATGACTTGATTTGCATTAATAAAACATGTTACAAAATATTAAAATAAATTTTTTAAATCACTCATTGCCAAAAGCAGGTAATATGACAAACCAAAATTGTTAATGTAATATATTCGCCTGAACCAAGGTGCTTCATTTAACATGGAACAGCAGCAGACAAGAGGCAACAACACAAGGCTACAAAATGAACACAATAACTTAACTTAACAAACTATTCATTACCACACATAACTATGTTGAGCAGTTTTTCTGAAAAGGAGGAAAGTATAGTGATGGCCCCTTTCTCACCATGTCTTCAGCCCCTCCAGAGGCAGGGACGTAGAACAATCTGTACTGACGCACATTTCCTTCAGCAGGCTCCCAGCGCACCCGGAGTGAGCTAGTGGTGGGATCAGTCACTTGCAGGTTCCTCACCCCACCCAAAGGCTCTATCAATAACAGTACATTGGAGTACCAAAGTCAGTGACAAGACCATTACCAACCTTACCTGTCAAAAGCAAAAACATTTTGCTTTCTTTTGAAATGTTTAATTTTCTTGTTCTTACTTTTACAATTAAGTAAAAAGGGTTTGTTCTGACAAAGAAAACATGCTCATTTATATTAAAAGCATTTGTGAAAAGTCAAATGTGTTTGAACGGTAGTACATGGTATTGGTAATATGATGTTTTATGTATACTATGAATCCATTTGTTCTGTTTGGTACATACTTGTCTTTCCATTCTCTGACTGTCTCTTCCCCTCCATATCTGCATATACTGGCACCACGCTGACCCTGTACTCCGTGTTCGGCTGCAGGTTCCTCAAAACTGTGTTGGTCGAAACTCCAGACACTTGGGTCTGTAGGAAAAGTCACAGTATTAAGCGACAGTGTAGTAGCTAATTATTTGCTGCAGGGGCATAACCTACTTGTGAGGATGAGGGACATGTCCCACTCAAATAAGCCTAAATATAATTAAAGCTAAAATCACATTCATTTTGAAGAGTGCAATTACACCTTTGGAGGTGCTTTCCATTTTGCATTTATACACTGTTCTCCCCTGTCTTTGGTCACAGCTTAAGCCAATGTTATTAAGAAACTACCAGACAGAAAGACAATTTAGCAAATTCATTGCTCTTCCAGGTTAGGACAAAGTCACCAAGCACTGTTACGTGACCATTCAAGGTCACCAGAATGTAAACTAAAATGGAGTGTTGATGTGTTGATTGTAATTTTTTAAATGATTGCTTTGTGAAGAGTTTGGTAAAGTAATATTACAAAGTTAGGTACATAATGGCAAATTTATTAGCATGTATGCTAGCTGCTACCCCAAATTATAAATCGCTGCGCCCTATTTCGGGTATATATAATGTTCAGTATAATTTTGTCTTTTCCCACATCTTTTCCTACTACACTGATGATGTCCTTTATCCTTGTGTGGTGTTGATGTTTTTGTTACTCAGTGGTCTGGTGAACCCACCGCATTATTGTTTTTTTTTTTAAATCAATACAGCCATAACAATTTGTGTAAAAACACCAGATGTTTAAAATATCACAAGTGGCCAGCATAGGGTTCTCCTTTAGCAGCTGTAGCCAGTTAGCAGCCTGTCCACGTTGTCCACCCTCACACACACACGCACACACACACACAAACACACACACAAACACACACACACATATACAAACACATACACACACAGACACACCCTAACAGCAGGCCATGTATGAGGAGAACAGAGTGAAGGGACACAACTCCTCCACACTTTTATTCCCCACAGGTTCACCCCAACACCACATGTGTAATATAAACGTGTGGGGGGGTATACAGTGTGAAGTCATTGAAAATGAACACCACACAAGGGTTAATAGTCCTTCATGGGTCATAGCTAGAGGCATGCTGTGACAGGTTTCCATACCATGCTTTCAGTGCCCCCTGCAGCAGGCACGTAGAAAACGTTGTACTGACGAACGTCTCCATCGGCCGGGTCCCAGCGTACCTTCAAAGAGTTTACAGTCGGATCTGTCACCTGAAGGTTCTTCACCGTACCCAGAGGCTCTGTACAAAACACAGGCCATTGTGAGGCAACCAAAATTAACCGAGGCTATCCATATAAATCTGCGGTGTAAGCCACAGAGTACAATGCTAGCAAGCTTACTTACTTGTCTTTCCATTTTCAGATTGACGTTTGCCCTCCACATCTTTTTCATATATGGGCAGCAATGTGACCTTGTACACTGTGTTAGGATTCAGATTGCGCAAAACAGTTGTGGTGGTGCTGCCAGAAACTTGTTCCTGTTTACAAGTTAGAAAAGAAATGGAATAAAACAAAGAGAGACAAACTGCTTTGAAAGACAAGCCTGTTACATAACAAAGACTAAATAATCACTTAAAATTCTTATTCTAACAATTTAAAGCTGGAACATGCCAATCTATTATTAACTCTGCTTACTGGTTCTTTTTTAAAATATAGTCAAAAATCAGTGAAGCTTAAGACTCAAAACAGTAACAGCTGAATGATTAAATTAATTCCCAACAGACAAGACAAACACAAGATTAGAATCATACCATTTTCTCCTCTGTTCCTGGCTGTGGAACATAGAAGACCTTGTAGTGCCGAGGATTTCCATCAGCATGATCCCAGCGTACAGCCAGGGTGCTTGTAGTTGGGTCTGTTACTCTCAGATTCTGAACTCCACCCAATGGTTCTATTGAAAAGAACAAAGTTCTGTTAATATCTGCATCCTAATTTGTTTGCAATCACAGTATAGACAAGTGGTTCTCAACCTTTTCAAGCTGTTTGTAGACACTAAACCAAATGTTACTTTACCTATGACTAATTATTTACAAAAATAGAACATCAAATTTAGGTTGACCTAATTTATTGGTCTGACAAATTTCTCTCTATGTTCACATTTTCAGTGTGAGTCGTTTCTCTTTTCGGTCGTATAAATTCTATCCATCATGGATAAACTGTTACAAACAGGGTTCTTAAACAAGAAAGACCCTGAGGCTGGGCCACCTAAGTGAAACGGCTACTGTATCTCACACTGAGAAAACCAAGAAACCAAGTATAAACCAAAAGGACGAAAGGTACAGCTGTGAGTAAACAGCCTTAGTATGCTGTGACAAAAACACATAAACAGGTGGAATGTCTCCAGGTGACCTTTTACCCCTTTTCTCCTCACAAGACAGACAAATGATGACACTGAGTGGGCTTCTTTCCGTTCTGTGAAGTTTCAGACTGTCAGATTACAGCTCAGACTGTCTGTAACTTCTGTAACGTCTGTAACGTCTACACCATTCGTGAGGAAGCAGAAGGCAAACAAATATTGTTGCCAATGACAGTTCACAAATAAAATAATGTTGTTTTTTTGCCATACAAAAAAATCACATTTGGTGTGCAAGATATTATAAGTTCTACACATGATCAAATTAATTTACTGTCTTTCGAAAATACTGCACGAATAAATCATGTTCTGTCACGTCACTGCACAAATAAATCATGTTAGTTTGCTTTAAGCTTTACATGTCCGAGAACAGAACATGAGTAACTACTGCTGTGTGCAGAACACTAAGAGGTCTTTTTTAAATAAAGCCTTAAAGCCAAACACATTTTGTCATCAGTTGGACGTTAAACAAATATGCATTTAAACCTATTAAACTGAGCCAGACTTTTTTCACAACTATCGTTTCTTCAGCACGTCAGTAGCTGCCAAACAACATCAGCTAATACATTAGGTGAGTTAGAAAATATTCAGTTATTTATTAGTGTTTATTGTGTTGTGTTACGTTACAAAATCAAACAAAATTGATAGGCTACGTTGACTATCGTATTATATCTGTTTGCACTCTAAATGATCTGGTTGGTAAAATATTGTGGGCCGCGGATCCTTTTGTGGTCGGTTGTGTGGGTCGCGAGTCAGAAAATATTGCCACATTTCCATAATCAGAAATGAAAAATAATAAAACATATAGACTGTTGATAAAAATGTAAATGTAAGATCAAAGAATAATCACACATTTTTTTATTCATTAAGTTATATAGAGCAAACAGATTGGAAATGAAAAAGCTTAATCTACAAGGTAATACTGGTTTGGCCTCAGTGCCCAAGTGTATAAAAGATTTTGGTTTTGCAAAATATGCATTTTATGGCTTTCCAAAAGAGAGGTGCCCACCGACATCCAAAAAACTTCACACAATTCATTTGGTTTAAAAAAAACTAACGTGTAATGATTTAGTTACACATCTGTTGCATCATAAAAGTAAAACTAATACAAGCAGGCTTGCAAACTAAAATCCACTGATTCTTGGTTGTTCGTTCCCAACAGTGAAAATAATAACAATGGACAAACAGAAATGATCCAAAATTGCTCTGAATAAAATCCAACTACACTTGGATGGTAATGTGAATTTAGACCAATGATTTTCGCAATAAATTATATCACTGTGATCCAAACTTAGTTATGAAGTGAAACATGTGAGCGTTACAGAGCCTTATCACTGATAATAATATAGTTACTATATAATCACCAACTGGGCTAGCTTCTAATATTACTTAATAATTTATAATGATAACTATATTCTGCATAGACTGCATGCAACACTGGTGATTTACTGCGTATGTTTGATTGGAAACCAAAATATTGTCAAACCGGTGCACTGGCATAACTTTCCTAGATAAGATCATGCATTTCACTCCCTACCAGAGAGCAGATCTCATGTACTGGAGTTTCTTTGTTTAATTTTACCTACTCCAGAGTTCTGAAAATGTTCTTTATACTGTATGTGTGCAGTTAATTAGTTGATGTTCTGTTTGTATAGCATATAATTAAGTGCATTTTTTCTATTGTATACATTTTTAACTAAACATAGATTGGGATGATTGTACAAAGAAAATGGTTAAATAAAGGCAAAGTAATAATTAAATGATATTTTTAAATTATTGCGATATTCAGTCGTATCAATTATTGGCCCAAGGCGACTTGTAAGTCAAATAACAGAATCCTTTTTTCCTTTTCTTGTGAAGTTACTATTTCAGAGATGTAAGGTTTTCTTATGACATACTGATCTTTTTGCAGATGAAGGACTTACTTGTCTTTCCATTTTCTGACAGACCCTTGCCCTCCATCTCATGGTAGACAGGCACTACAGTGACAGTGTACTCTGTATCTGGCTCCAAGTTCTTCAGGACAGTAGAGGTGGTGGTCCCAGACACTTGTTCCTGTTCACACACAGTGGATGTGCAGAAAACAGTGACGGTGAGATATTTTTTAAAACCCAAATGAGCCACGCTACTCTTTCACTAAACCTAAATTATTTTTCCAACATTGGAATTTAAGAAGAGAGAATTATTCTTTCAGAGAGTTTCCGTATTCCCCAGAGAGCTTGAAAAATGAAATGACATGATTCTGGTTCTATTCCCAGTCTTGAAGAGACATGAAAATAGCATTTTAATGCTTCCTCACCACGTCTTGCTCTCCACCAGCTGCTGGGGTGTAGATGACAATGTACTCCCTCACACTGCCCTCAGCAGGGCCCCAGCGAACATTCAGAGTGCTTATGGTTGGATCTGTAACCTGCAGGTTCCTTACACTACCCAGAGGTTCTGCAAAGAGTAACAGAAACAATGTCTGAGCTGATAACTTTAACTTGAAATTGGGGTAGAAAATGTTTTACTTATTTTTTTATTGATTTATTTTTACATCATTTGAAATGCCAGTTGCCCTTTTTATTGAATAGAAATGTTTTTTTAGTTACACTAATGGATGTCAAGAACATTTGTAAATATCACTACAGATTTTGGCTTCAACATAAAATATTTCATAAACTTTTGTCAATTTAAAAATTTTGATGAACTAATAATTTATTCATAGCTATAAGAAGATACAAGGTTTTCTTGGGAGAGCAGAGAGTGTACAGTGTAGATCAATTTGCTGTAATTCATCATAAGTACTCACTTGTCTTTCCCTCCTCAGAGAGCCGTGGTCCATCTCCTTCAGCATAAACTGGCAACACCGTAACCGTGTACCGAGTGTCTGGTTTTAGGTTTTTCATCGTCAAAGTCGTGGTGCTTTCAGATACTTGTTCCTGTGAAGATTAACATAAGACATCACAGCACATGATTTCTGATGATCTGAGCTGTCGAAGGTAGAAATGGAAAATCTTCCACTTCTCAGTCTCCCAGTGTGCTACAGCATTTAAGTATTATCTGAATTCATCTCTCTTCTCCTGGGAATTCTAACTCAGACCTCATGGCATACGCCTGCCAATGGTAGATAGGTAAAGAAAACAATGCCTTGAGGATCCTTTTTTCAAATGGCAAGCAAAACCAATTTAATTTTGAATCAAATTTTGGGACTGTTCACACTCGGTTTGCTCCAATTCATCCTGAACATTGGCGTGTCAAAGTGGCTCTGCTAGACCTCCATGTTGAGCTGTAAGATCTCAGCAAACTTCTCTTCTTTCTGAGGCAAGACCCCATTTAAAACACAACACAAAAGGTTCCACTAGCTTTGTCACTGATCAGGGCCTATGCCCAGCGCTTACATTACACATCCTGAAGAATCTGTGACTGTCAGCACGTGTGCCAACATTAGAGAGTTGAGAATTTTACCACAAGCTCAGGTCCCCCATCTGTGGGGACATAGATGATTTTGTAGCCCTGAACATTCCCATCAGCTTCGTCCCAGGTTGCTGTGAGAGTGGTGAAGGTGGCATCTGTGATCCGAAGGTTCCTCACACCACCAAGAGGCACTGAAAAGAGACAGGCAGGCAAGAAAAAATGATTCTACAAATTAAGCTGCTTTAAAAGTCTTGACCATCATAAACATAGATAACAGCAGCAGGAGAGTTGAAGCTCTGAGCTGAGAAGATCACTCATCAAAAACAGAAACACTGACCAGTTGCAAAATATGGTACTTTGAAAAGTCAGACCATCATAAACTTATATCCTATTCTGATGTGATCAGTTTTCCAGGCAGCGATAATGAAGTAATGTTACCACAGGATGTGTGTAGTAATTATGACTGAATTGCATGGAATAATAGATAAGAGAAACATGGGCATGTATATATCTCTCATCTATTTTTCTATGCTATGGAAAGCTATGAAATACGTAGTTTCCACTCCCCATAAGCAGAAAACATGTCCAAGCCTTTATCTTAATTTATCTTATCATATCCATCTAACTATATCGCTATCTTCAGTGAATACAATGTGCATTTACTAAAGATGTTTATTAGTTAACCATTAAAATCACCACATGAAAGCAAGCTACAATATTTTTTAGATCATATTACAAGTTTTAACAATCAGCGACATATACTTGAGGTATAGCAACATCAGTTGGATAATTTAGACCACAATGAAAACAAGTAATTGTTTGGGTCTGGATCGTAGTACAGATGCATATTGAGTGAGAACTGACTTCAAGTTATGGAGTGATAAGCAGGATGAAACTGAAACTCACAGGTTCTTCCATTCTCAGACTGGCGTCTACCCTCAGTAGCTGGGTACACTGGCACCACTGAAACAGTGTAAGGAGTGTCCGGCTGAAGGTTCCTTAGTACAATGTTGGTTGTTCCTCCAGGAACTTGCTCCTATTTGAACATTAGAAAAATATGTTTAGGGTATGAATAATTTATTTTTGTTTGTTTCCAAAATCCCACAGTCTGCAACAGTTTAAATCATCTGGGTGGAAGAGAGCCATTAACTCTTCTACTAAGGCTTATGAAGACACCACATCTTTCTGAACAACTAAACAAGCAGCCCTGCTAAGTGTCCCATGACCATGCAAGTGGCTGGCTTGGAACATCCCCTGGCATCAAGGAAAAGAGGACCTGCCATGCTTGTATCCCAATTCGAAAATGAAAGGTTTCCTAGTCATGGACAGCAGAGAAACTGACCTTGACAAACTCATATGACCTTCTTGACCCTGTTTAAGACTTCACATAATTTGGAATAAGATAAAATAGAGCCTGAAATTGAGTCAGAACTGTTAAGCTCAGTTTGGATGCCTTGGTCAATGTTTGGTATGTATCTGTGTTGTTTTTTGTACATGAACCCAAGAGGAACTGCTCAAATAAAACCATGAATATCTAAACCAATAAAACAGAAAGCAACTGAAACTGAAAACTGAGAGTGAGTTTGAGTGAGCCCCACCATATCTTCAGTGCCTCCGGCTGTAGGGACGTAGAAGATTTTGTATTGGCGAACTGCTCCATCAGCAGGTTCCCATTTGACATTAAGCGAGGTCATGGTGGGGTCAGTAACCCTTAGATTCTTTACTCCGCCCAAGGCCCCTACAACACAGAACCATATTTTTCTGAATAAAATTAACACAGCTTCCACTTTTGCACCCTGCCTGTTACATCCCAACACAGTAAACAACAGTTACATTTCAGTACTTTAAATTACTGGACGACAATGTAAGTAATCCCAAATGTAATTTTGAGTATTTCGTATTTTTGATGGACTATATTTTCAATCTGTATATGAAAATGAATACAACCAAATCAAAATCACATATGGCTCGTTATTTGTGAAAAAGTAAATGACAAAGCGATAGCTCGGCAAAAAAACTAATTTCCTCCTCACTCAAATATAATTAATTAGCCAAGACATGTCTGGAGTCCAAAATGTGTTCCTTTATTTTGCACTGGAGCTACAATGCTAATGTAGCCAAGGGGGGAATGTGTGAATTTGATATTTTGCAGAACTATTACTTTAAGAAAAGAAAAACTTACTTGTTTTTCCATTTTCTGACATCCTCTTTCCATCACCCTCAGCATATACTGGGTAGACAGTGACAGTGTAGAGTGTGTCAGGCTGCAGGCCTCTTAGAACTGTGTTGGTGGTGGTTCCTGACACCTGCTCCTGTTCATCAAGTGCAATACCAATGTCAGTGTATCTGAATCGCAGTAACAACAACTCAGCAAATTACTTTGCAATCACTGCCATTCCTGTTTTTTGAAGCAGAATCAGTTTGTTGCCAAGCATATGAAGTATAGCAGGAAACTGCTTTTGTGATATGGCGAACATGCAAGAACATACCAAACATATCCATATAAAACCTTGTAGCCCCATTTTCTCAGTTTCTATATTTTTTGCACAATTTGAAAACAACAGCTGTCCTACACATTGCATAAAACTTTCTTAATAAATGGGGCAAAAGAAATGGGCCAAAATTACTTACATGCATTACAGAACATTTTGCTTTTCTCCAGTAATGTTTACATTTGAGAGACACAAAGTTTAGTTATGACAGTGACAAAACAGAATCTACATTCATTTAGATATATTTATTCATACTTTAGGGTGAAGATGAAAATAAAAGCTAACACCAAAGTGCAGAGAAATACAGGGAAATACAACCCTCTTTCTATCATAACAAGCTTTGGCAAGTGCATACTTACAACTGTTGTAAAGCAATAGGACATATATCAGATAATACGAGTCAGTATGTTGACACAGAAAGAGCAGAAGGGTAGAGAGTAGACAGAGATATGAAACAGAAGCAGCAAGCTGACAGTCCTACCAGGCCTACCATGCTCTCAGCACCTCCAGCTGTCGGAACATAAACGACTTTGTACTCCTTCACTTTTCCTTCTGCTGGCTCCCAGCGCACATTCAGCGTGGTCATGGTGGGATTAAGAACCTGTAGGTTTTTAACTCCGCCTAATGGCTCTGTGAGGAGACAATTACCAGCATTTAGATAATGCAGTCTGACTCCTTCATTGTTCTACAACTAAAATTATAACCCTCTCTGACATCAATCTAAATGAAGGGATGGCCAAAAGCCTGACATCTAAGAGGAATACCTCCTTAAATCACACTAACACTTAAGGAGGTTTTTTCAGAGCAACTTACTTGTCTTTCCTTGGCCAGAAATGTCCTTGCTCTCTCCACTGCGATAGACAGAAGTGACAGTGATGGAATAAGGAGTGTCAGGAGTCAGCTTCTGAAGAACAACACTGTTCTTCTTTCCCCCAACCTGGGTCTGTTTGGAACAGATGTCAGCAGTCAGGCACTTTTGTTTGCTTTGAATTAACGAGTGCAACTCCCACCCAAAGTTTAATTGCAACTCATGTCAACGGTGTAACCGTTGGCTGACACGTAACACTGTTTCACCCACAGTGCCAAACTTCTTTCTGAGTGATTTGTCTGGATTGACTCCAAGTCATCAACTTCAGTATCACAATGTTAGCCAAACATGCCCAGTGCAATCTCTCAGATCCTACTGACTAATATGAGTGCAGACAGTACAAAGCATGATTTCCCTGAAAAGCAAAAGAATTCTCTTAAAATTGCAGCTGAGCAGCGATTATCCGATCAGCACATCCTTGCCAATCCATTCCTTCCCCAGTCAAGGATCAATGCTTGGTCCTGTGCATTATTGGTGTAAATAATGCCTGTCTGACCCTGTCTAAACAACTTTAAAGAGTGTTTTGCACGTCATGTACCCATAGATGCTTTACAAATGCTTAACAAACAGTCAGCTCAGTTTCTACTAAATTCTAGTTAACTTTTCCCTAACCCTAAACCTAACATTCACAATCATCCTAACCTTCATCTCAACCCAAAACCTAAACCTAACCCCGGCACAGTTTTTCATATGCCAGGCGGGATATCAATCATGTCTGTTGTGATAACCACAGGGGATTGTCACTTGCCATGTGGAAAGATCTTGATTATTAAACTGATTTATGTTTGGATATCTACATGTGATTTGAAAATTTAAAAATGCACTTTTCATGTTCAAATTCAACTCAAACCTCAAAGATGAACTCAAAGTGGCATTTAAGTAAGAATGTGACCTCTATGTGTTTATGTACATCCAGTCTGTAATCCACTGATGTCACAATCCTCCCATGATTTGCCTTTGAATTGTTTTGCCAATCTTTAGCTGCTATCATTTTCTCTTCTTATTTGTGTTGAAGTGTTCCTGATTTCACTGGATTTGGTAGTTCATGTGAACTGGGGACTTGGCCAGCCCAAAATGTACCACTCTTTTCCCCTGATGAGCTCTGTAGATGCCTTGGCAGTGTGTATTTTTTGTGTTGTGTAGTAAACCGCAGTCCAATGCATCTGCAGGCATTTTCGAGTACATAGATGATGTTTCTGTACGCCTCTAAGGTCACTGTGCCAATTCTAATCCTGAATCTTTAGTAACATAAGAAACAAAGGTAAGTTTACCCAGAGTCTGGCACTAATGGACAGGATTAGCATACGTTTTGATACTACCTCCACCATGCTTTGAACAATGTAGTCTGTTTTGATTTCTCCAGAGTTGAGTCTTCTTGAGACTCAAGGGTTTACATTTATTTCCTCCTTCTCTTAATTCTGCAGGCTCATCTGTGCATGTGATTTGGAAATTTAAGGGCACTCTATTAGTTATTCAGGAAGTTGTGCACTTGAAATGTAACTATGGCCAGTATTTACCAATACAAATCAAGCATATTAAACGAAAAATTCTTAATGATTCTTAGTGATTCTTAATGATTGTATGTTCTCCCTTAAAGGAATAAAATGAACATGAACAAAATACATCAGGAAGATATTAATGAGATATGAAATGTTTCTAACTCCCAAAGTCAAAGTTTGTTAGTAGGAAAGGTCATTAGTTTTGGACATTGAGGAAGTGTGCTGGGTTTTTTGCAGTTATATCAACTAAGAACATTCTCAAAAGTCCCTTCCAAAGCAACATCCATAAGTGGTCTCAATTAAGTTATCACTAAAGAATGTCTGGCAATGATTCGCAGACCTTGTCTGACTTAACAAAGAGGCCATGAGACAATGTCATAACCTAAATATTAAACTAATGATGTGAGAGAAGACAAATGGCCTGCCATTTTCTTCCTCTCTCTGTGAAGTGTACATCACTGTCATTTAATGAGTAACGTGTTTCCCCAGCTGTTATTAAAGCCCTGTCAGGGAAGTGTTTATATTTGCCTGTGTGTGGATTGTCTGTATTTATTTAACCCCATATAATCATGGTTTTCTAGCCTAGTATGTGACGACTCCCAGCCAAGACAGTCTGTTCTATGGCAATTTCTAACAGTCTTAAGTCAAATGATCTAAGCCTTTTTCCACCACTATTTGAGAAATACTCTGAGAAATATCCAAGAAAATGCAGAAGCATGCATAAAAAAAACTTACTCAATGAACTCTCAAAAGAATGTCTATTAGCTTAGCTTTACTCATACTTACATATGTGAAGTTTCTATGCCTGATACAATTCTCGTTCATGGATCAATATAAAACAAATGCTTCTCAATTTCTGACGTAATTACAGTCTCATAAGGAGCCTCATTTTCTGCCAGCTACTTGGAGATTTACACAGAGCAGTAAGCTGAACAAATTAGCACCATAGGCATTGCTGATTAGGTTTAGTACAGCAAATAGGCCTTAGAAAACTGGAATCACCATATTGGCTTTACAACACAAACTGCTCATTCAACATTTTTAACAGGGATGGGTTTTAGCGTGCATCTGTGTGAGTATGTGTGTGTGTGTGTTCTTGAAGGGTATAGGAAAGACCTTATGGAGCTGATGAGTCAATTCATAACAATTAGTTGTTCCTGTCTTGCTTCCAGCTTTCCAGAGGGTATCCTACTGTAATTAATAACATAAGGACGAAGAAGCTTGTAAAAAACATATTTCATGTTACCAGTGTGGAAAGTTCTGCTGGGCATAATCCAGTCAGTTAAACAAGCCCATTACCTCCTGGTTGTAAAGATATGCATGCCACGGAAGGGGGCTGGTGGTGGTGGTGGGTAGGGTTACTGGGTGCAGTCAAACTTACAGACAGAATTTTTCCACCAGCCACTGCCTGAAAGTTGATTTTGTAGTTCTGTACTGGGCCTGGGGCGTGATCCCACTTCACAGTCAGCGTGGTGGTGGTAGCATTGAACACTTGCAGGTTCTGAGGAGGTCCAGTAGGAGCTGTTAGCAGACACAAGTTCAAGTTAGCCAAGTCATGGTGCAAAGACTAATTGGCTAGTTTGTTATACATCAGGCACTGCTACATTAGCATAATACTGCTAGTAGCAGGCATTATTAATCAATCCGTGAAGCTGAATGGAGAATGGTTGTGATGGAGACATGATGGAATTCACAATTTGAACACAGTGCAGCCGGGCAGGTTATGTATGCACATGCATGACAATGGATAATGACAATGCAAGCTAATGACGCCAGCACTTAACGGCACTGACGACAAATGACATTAATGAGAGATGATACAGGACAAAATGACAAATGACGTGAATGATGAATGGTTGATGGAGAGTGTTTTTGGTGGAACATTTTCTGCAAGTCTTTTTTAGCATTTGCAGCAATGGGTTCTGAAATGCACATGCAAATTTTTAAAAGTGTGTTTTTATCAACACTTTCATCACCATCCTTAGCATCGCCATTACAGGTACTATAATGGCAATACTTCCTCTTGTTTGAAACAACATACCAGGTGTAATGATCTTTGACACTAGAAAAAGATGTCAAGAGAACAACACATTATTTCATTTTGGTCCACTGATAGATATTTTCAATGAGAGGTGGTATGCGCAAATATCAGCTTTTTTGCATGTGTGTGCATTTGGGTCTTTGTGTGTGTACATATCTTACATGTGCGCTGGGTGCCCATCAGATCCTCGCTCTCTGACTCATCAGGGTAAATAGCCGTGACCGTAACATCATATGGAGTGTCTGGGTCCAGGTCAGTCAGGACATGAGTGGTTTCTTCATTGGTGAGGATAGACTTCAGAAAGCCCACAGAAATCCCACCCATTTAAAAACAGGCTTAATACAATTGTCAAATCAGCTGACAATAAACAATACCTAAAAGTTGTTCCACATATTTTTCTATTTTCGTAAATAGCAGTATCAGAAAACACATAAGCAATCTAATACTGTCTATTAAAAGTCTATTATTTAACACCTTCATATGGTTTGAGTCAAGTGTGTGATGACTTAGGTATGCAGTTTGTACAATGCTAATAGGTGGGATGTTAACTTTCATTTATTGTTAGCGACATTAAGAGGGCAAAACTAAAGAAGCAAACTCCAGACACCAAACATGTCTTGACTGATCAACTACATTTAGTGTTATGTAGTTACAACTGCTAAAATATTTATTATTTTGTTTTATTTTCATTTGGAGAACTTGTGTTAAAAAGGTGCTATAGAAATAAATATTATTGTATTATATTTCATGCAAAGGTAATTTCAATTTTTTGCTGAGCAATCGCTTTAACTGCACATTGCCAATCTCAGCTGAGTTTAAACTGGAGCCAAAGTTAAGCTGATCCTGCAACTGTTTTGAGTCAGCTCAGGTACACTTACATATTGGAAGTTGCTATCTCCTTTCTTGGTCCAACCGATACGGTACAGGGCCACATCTGGGGCTCCGTGTTCCCATGTAGCTCTAAATGATGTCTGTGTCACATCAGAAAATCTCAAGTTTTTCGGAGCTGGAACCACATCTGTGAGTGGACAGAGAACATGATCGAAGATGTAATTAGGAGCATACAGTCAGGGAAATCTGGGTCATCAGTGGGACACTTAACTAAGTAAACTGCAGTTCATTGCCAACCCATGCTCCAGCATGTCGTGTTTCTGAGTGCTGGTGTGTTTTGGTGTAAAGGGATGTAATTTGTGTGACAGGGCAAAAATAAGAGAATCAGATGGGATTCATGTAGAAATGCTGCCCCATACAATGACCAGTTAAAGAAATACAAATCATTTTAACGTCCAACTGGACAAAAACTATTAATACTATTAATACTATTACTATTAATACTATAAACGATAAAACTATTACTTATATGCCCACCTGTGATCTCGCTGCCAATCATTGTGTTTCCTGGACCCTCATCATATACTGGAGTCACAGCAACATCATATTCAGTTTGAGAACGCAGACTAGTGAGAGGCAGGGTGGTAATGTCACCCTCAACCTCAACCTGTTGATTAAACATAAACCAAATCAATAACAAAAACATGTCAAGAGGCATGTGCAACATGCAAAACTGAAACACTTTTCGCCCTTCATGATCTCATACATTGGCCAAACTGCCTTGAGACAAGAGATGGAAACTGGTCGGCATTTTGAAAGGGGTGTGAAAAAAAAAACAAACCCATAAATAAAGCCTTTGGAAAGATTTTGTCAAAGTGAGTGCACAGAATAGTCGCAAATTGAGAGTTCAGTCTGGTACGTCAGTTCTGTGATAGACTGGTTCTGTATTTTGTGAATCAAGTTATAACGTTACACTGTATTTCCATACAATGGTGAAAAAAAAAATACTGTATCTTCTCAACCAGAAAAATTCTTAAAGCAATAGTGCAGTGATCCATCAAATGTACACAATTTTCCCCTTACAACATATGCAGTCATGACCCAAGACATATCTGCAAAAATGGACAAAAGCATGTCTCAAAGATAAAAATTCACCAGCATTCTTGAATCCTAAGATTTGACTGTGCTTTTATGCAATTTTACAGAGAACAGTATGAAATACAGGGTCAGAAATACACAAATATTTACTCTCAAAATAACTTTCAAAAACAATATTTATGTTTCACAGTTAACCATAATTTTTAAGCATGTCCGTTACTGCAGTTCAAAAAATATGTATTCAGTAAGCGGCAATGAAATATTAATAGTCAGGCTGTAGCCCAGCTGCTTGTATGTTGCTACAGAAACCGTGTGAATGTAGCCCTCTTGTTCAAATACAACTTTTATGAGTCACATATTTACTAAAGTTGTAGCTTTAGTTAGTTAGTTGCCTTTATTTATTTTATAGAGCTATTTTATTTGGCTAATTCGCCATATTCCATTACAGAAGGCAGCAGTGAGGGTGGCACGAAGGCTTTCATCTGAAAGGTCCACTTTGGAGGCAGCTTGGCAGGTACCCCTGGCCTGGTGCAGCCTATCCTCCTGGACCTGGTAACGAGTTCTGAAGCAATGGGACCTCTAAAACTGTGATCACTTCACCCTGTGGAATGTGGCTCCTGGTCCATGACTTAAGGGTCACTGGCTAAAGTGAATTTCACTCCTGTTCCAGACACTTCTGCCTGGGAGCGACCACAGCAACTTCATTCACTGCCAGAACTTACCACAACAACAACGTTTGAGGCTCTGCACGCCCCAGTTTATGAAGTATTAAATGAGCTATACTTATACTTACTAAACAAGCTATAATTTATTTAGTTTTAACATTTTCCATCTATTAACAATAACTGTTCTATCTAAAAACAGTTTTTGTGGCTTTAAAGAGAATCTAATTCCAGCATAACGTTTTTACACTGCTAACTGGTAAGGTATAATTTTCCATTACTTGACAGCTGAATTAGCCTTGTGCCTTCAAAGCAAAAGCAAATAAGCAATATTCAAACACTAAACAAAAAAGAGGAAAGAGAAAAATTGTGTAAATTAGATTTTCTGCTTGCATCTTGACCAGGTTAAAACCTAGTGAGGGAATGTTAAGACCTTTCTAAGCTCCTTGCGAGAATTTCTCAGGTTGGTGCCTTCAGTCTTATATCTTGGAATTTTTCTTGGCCTCCAGCCAGGATCAATCTGAATGCACCCAAACATCTTAGTATAGTGTGTCTGTGTGTTCTTGGCCCTTTTTAAACTTATAAGATCATGACTGATGTCTTCTGTCAGTCAGGATAAGCGGCAGCTTTTCTGTCTTCTTATCCAAACAATCTAAAGCTGTGATCCTTCCTTACTGATTGTCTTCAATACTTTACATTCTCTACATAGCTGGGCAAGAGAAATAAAGCCCTTGCCCAAACCTGAGATCCTTTTCGAGTGTTGAGATGTCTAATCAGACTCTTACAGTGTTATTTCAGTTCTATTCCCCTAAGCAATGCAAGCAATGGAGTTTGCCATTTGCAAAGGAGACACATGGGATTTGTGAACTAACACCACATTAACTTCTGGTTTCTTCATTTCTTGTACCTCATGAGAAACTAAAGAAATAAAGTAATATAGAATACCTCTTTTGGCTCTCCACCCTCAGCCTTGTAGGTGACAATGTACTTTCTGACTTTTCCTGGAGCCGCATCCCAGTGTAAACGCATAGAGCTATGGGTCACCTCATTGATCCGCAGCTTACCAGCAGGAGGCAGGGGCACTGAGAGAGAAAAAAGAGACGGAGAGAAAGATAGAGAAAGAGAGAAAGTCACACGGAGAGACAACACAGAGAAGAAAAAGAGACAAACAGAAAATACAGAAAGAAACATATATTAATTAAAAGATGATTAAGTCAAAGAGGTATAGAGATAAACAGTAAAAGAGAAGAAGGAGTGAGAGAGACAGAGAGGGAGATGATACAGTGAAAGAAGAGTGAGAAAGAGATGGTGACAAAGATGAAGAAAAAAAGAGAGAAACATGGAGAGAAAAAGAGAGAGAGAGAGATAGAGCATGATTAAAAGCTGAAATAAACAACTACTGGGGGACATGCTTAGAACTGCTTAGAAACAGATCAGTGGAAACTCTGAAGTCATTAGGACGGAAGTGGAGGCTGACGTACAGGTGACTCCTTGGTCCATGAGGGGATCGCTGGCTGCCTGTCCATGCAGGGCAAACAGGGAGAGTGTGTAGGCTGTGTTGGGGAGCAACTGTAGCAGCTGGACATCGTTCACATCTGCCCCAACTACCATCTGTGAGGAGGGGGGGGAGGGGTGGAGAGACAGAGACAGAGAGAGAGAGAGAGAGGTCGGATGTTAGCAAAAAAAAAAAAGCAGCATGACCAGACAGGACTTGTCAGGACATTTTTGAACACCTGGTCCAAAGCGTAAAGCCACACACCCCAGTTGTTTCCTAAGGTATGTCTGCTCTGCAATGACTGACTTCACTTTGGGGGCTATTTCTGGCAGCACCACTTCTTACAGCCCACAGAAGAAGAACAGAAAAAAAAATTCTGGAGCATCTGTTCAAATTCTATTTGGTTCATATCATCTCATGACTTCAGGGGGGAAACAGGGCGTCACGCAGCCAACATGATCTAATCCTTGCCATTACCTTCTCAAGTCCAGAAAGTCTGCTTTTTGTAGACCTTGCCTGAACAGCACTGTAAAATGCAGAGCTTCCTGCTTTTCTGCGATCGCTGCATTTTGCCATCTGGAGTGTGTGAGGGGCCGTTGGCAGAAGCCCTGGTCTACACACTCTCAAGGCCTTGTAAAGTGGATGTGGAAAGGCTGAGCGAGTGGTTGGATATAGCTCATGGCCGCTCACCTCTTTCTCCACGGTGGGCACTGTGGCGTTGATAGCACTGTACAGCAGCATGTAGCCGGTGGCGCCAGCTGCTTGCTCCCATCTCACCCGCATGCTGGTCAAAGCCTCATCATACACAGTCATGCTCTTCACAGCAGGCAGAGGCACTGTGGAATCAAGAAGAAATCTATGAGATACACCTGGATAACCGTGCTATGCCTTAGATAGAACCTGTACTATGTCAACACCTGGATAACCGTACTAGATGGACAGATGGACAATGCATCAGTAACGCATAAGTGGACAATCACACTGTACCATAGCTGGACACCTGTACCATGTCGTAGTTGAACAACATAGCTGTGTAGTGGACAAAAACTGACATATATACAAATTGGTGGAGCAAAGTAGCAGGAAAGCCCACTGTACTGTTCCACAGTTAGACAAATTTAACATGTCATAGTTGTTGAGTTACGCAGCATCGGTTAGTTGAAGTTATGATAGTTACACGGGTAGGGATGATTTAGATTAAGTGTGGATAGTGGACAGTAGGTAACCTTTAGTAGTCGTTATCACCAACAATAACAAAGGCTTACTGTAACTTTATGTTAATTATTTCTTACTCGTAGCCCGTTAAAACAAGCACTTTCAATCCATATCATATTTGTCTTTGTGTTTTTGCCATGTTTTGTCACTTCTTCACATCAAAAGAAAACAAAAACAGAATGTATACAGAATGTATACAAAATGTAATTCACAATGCAACTGTATAATAAATTATAAAATTATGTATTACGTAATATCTTAACAATATTTTTTAAAATAATTATTAAATAATATAGCAAAACAACACTAACAACTAAAATAATTACAATAATAACTAGAATAGAAATGCTTTCTAAGTGTTAAGTGTTAAAAGTGTTTTAAGTTTGGTATAGGTAAAAGGGTATGTATTATGTATGTATCATTGGTATAGCTGGTTACCATATCAAGCCAGTCTTTCTACCATCAAAACAAAATTCCACTTTGCCTTTAGAGCACTGCAGCTTCTGAGTTCTTTGATAGAGCCATATTTTTCACTCGTGAAACTAGAGACACTGAGCTAAGTAGCAAGCTCCAGTTTGTCAATGCAGACCATTCCTTCCATCATCAAATTACTGTGTAATTTTCTAGAAAAAAACACCTAGAAAAGAAGTTTCAAAAGCATGTCCAAATCATCTAAATCAAAGATGTTGGATGAAACTGGATCTGGATACTAATAACAAAACAAACAATGCACCAGGCGGCATTTCAAACTCTCTGTTCCTTCTACAATTTTAAAAGACAATTTCAGTTTTAGTTGTCCTTAAGTCTATAAATTTATGCGGATGATGTGGAAATGATTAACAATGACAAACTAGGGACACCTCAGATTGCTTCTAAAAATATTTTAATTCTTTATCATCCTAGATATTGCAGCTGTCAACAATTTCAACAGTGAATACCTTCTTTGTTAGGATTGTTATTTTGTACATTTAGCACACATCAAACTTAACTGACTCAATGAAGATTAATCACCTTCAAATGAAATGTGATGCTCACTCAGCTAATTAAATTTTTAAATGTAATAAAACTGTAAAATCACTTTTAGTTGACTCAATATTTCATTTTTACAGTGTGGAGATCTGTGCCAAGAAATCATAAGAACCAAACGGGGAATACATTGGATCAAGATAGATGACCTGCATGAATATGGACATTAATTTCAGACACTGGCACTTGCTGAAGACAACACTGTTCTGAGAAAAGTTTAGGGAAAAGAATCTAACACTTTAACTCTATGTGAAGAGGCTTGGCACCACAGCTTAATGGGCATCCACAAAGAATGCTGTGACCAGCCCTCAGGCCCACATCACACACTTCAACAGGGTTTAACCCATGAGTGGTGAGAAATGCAGCCACACATTACAAGCAGCGGTTGCTCAGGAGAACGATGATCCAAGCTGGAGTGTTAGCTAAAAACGTGTCAATAAAGAAAGCCACAATGACCTAAGAACACTGTCACGTCCAAGTGGCTCAAGGCAAAACAATGAAAGTGATTTTTTATGATACTGGTCCTTGATAGGTCTTGTAATGGTCATTATAAACACACTAGTTAGGATAATCAGAAAGTATTTGCACAAACCATAAAATGGGGGAGGGCAATATAAAACGTTCAGGGTACTTTATATCATGTAAAATTGCCAAAGTTTTCTTTATCGGCTCATAACTACACTGACATTACAACATTCTGCTGCATGCCTGGATGAAGAAAAAAGATTTCTGTCGCTCACTAATTTTCCAGCTGCTGCATGTGGGAGTTATAGCAACAGCATTTCAATTACAATGAAATTTTGGAACTAAAAGTGGTTCTTTAAGAGAACATCTCCTCTATGGCTCTGTCACTTTGAGACTCTCTGTGAAACTGGTACTAGACAAAAACATTGTTTCATCTGGCTGGCTGAGTGATAAAATTATCTCTCTGATTACTGTAAATAATAGTCTATCTGTGATGTATTTTTCATCAAGTTCTACATATATGTCCAAATAATCTGTAATAGTAAGACATTAAAAATATTGACTATCACACCTTTAATATTTGAAACCACACCACTAAATCTGTCTTCTGGTAAATATATTTCTCCTTAAATGATACATTATATATTATATCCTTCTGCATAGTAGCAGACAACTTCAACATGTGCGTTTATTCATCCAGTAAAGAGTTTATTTTGTGTAACTGAAAGTAGGATGAGTGGGGAAATTGGGGTGAGTTAGACAAACAGCAGAAAGGGGTAAATGTTTGCATAACTTACAGGTGGTTTCTGTGCCTTTGAGAGGCTCACTGCTGTCATCTCCAATCACAGAGAAGACATTGACCACATACTCGGTCATGGGGGTCAGGTTGTTCAGCACCACAGTGTTCTCCTCGCCGTCCACATACACCTGCGCAATATCAAAATAAATAAACCTGTCAACTTGCAACTACATGTGGATAATAGAAGATGAGAAAGAGATAACATGACCAAAAAACGACCTCATGATTTTGGCAATAGCCATTTGGTAACTGGACAGTTCTGGAATCTTTTTCCAGTGTGGGAAAACTGATATGTGATATACTGCACACTTGGACCTCCTGTTTGCAGTATGAATTTGAACTATTAAATAACAGTAGCTGTTTCCACTATAAGAGATCCAATAAAGAGTAAAACCGATGTGTAACCACTTATGTAACATTTAATTAGCAATGCCACACATTGCTCTTGCCCTGCCGCAAAACCTGATTTTTACAACGTCTCTAATGGGCCTATGGAAAACCATGGTATCCAATAATAGAAAAAATGGTTCAAACATATGAATATGGTGGAAAAACCAGGCATTGTAAATCTGTATAACGTAGCTGTTCCACAAACATAGAACATGCTGTTTGTATGAGTGGTTTTATGTCTTTTCTTGAACAGTCTTAGTGAATTCCTCTTAGTTCCCCATGGCCTGTTCACCATGAAACTCTCTACTTACACTTTGTTAAATTACTTCTCACATGTATCTCACTGAAACAAGCAAAGAAATTTTGAAAGTATGGATTTAAAACTTTCACTACATACCACATTTGCCTTTCTATGCCAATTTCTTTTACTTTTTCAAATCAATAATTCTCAACTTCTCGTAGTTATTGAGTGCAAAGTGCGAAGAAGGATGTTACAGTTGTGAACTGCTGTGTAACTCACCACTTCAGTCTTGCCTCCAGCCACAGGGACATACTCAATGCGGAACCTCTCCACAGGCTCATCGGGAGGGAGCCAGGTGGCTCTGAAAGAGTAATGGGTCACCTCCGATGTCTCCAGGTTTGTTGGAGTCCCTGGGCCTGTGTCTTGTTTATGAGCAAGCAACAGAAAAATGTGAACTGGTGTGTCAAACAGCTCTCAAACTAAGAAATATGTGAGCTACAAATCTACCCCAGGTGTATTAGTTTCTTAAAAAGGCTAAGTTGGCCTTATATCAGCTGGTAAGGCCTGCTTCAGGATCCGCTGTAACCCTCTGTACTTTGTGCTAAATTACTGTTTTCCTCCAAAAAGGTTCCAAGCTCAACCTAAAGTCTCTATCATAGAGATGCAACACTTTTATACGTTCAGCAAATTCTACTTGGGAAAAAAAAGAAACTGGCAAAAAGGCTTGAGTGGCAACAACCACAGTGGTTGGGAAGCACAGATCAGCCAAGCCATGCAACTCTGATTTAGAGATCTTTGCCTCCCTTTACAGTCTTATTCTATAACAATGCAGTAGAAGATCGTTCTCAGCATCTGCATTCGGAAGTATAATCCAATAACTGTCTGGCATTCAACACAGTACAACAGTATTATTACCAATATCAATAGTCTGTAGCATGCGGAAAACAGCTTCAAGCCATACCTTAACCTTTAAATGGCAAAAAGTGGCTATTTTTTAATGTATTCTTCTCCTTTTACATGATTCCTCAAAGCTGTTATTGGATATAATAAATTGTTGCGATCTTTTGTCTAACACTACCATTTTGACTGAGCTAACAAATGCGTAGGAATATACTTCATATTTCATTGGCTTTTGATATGATAATAACACCTTAGCTGTCTAATGGGTCCCTAGTACTCTGGGGCAAATTATAATGAAAAGGCCTCTCTGTCTTGCAGATAACAATTTAGATAATACAGTGTTAATCTTGAGGATTTTTTAAATGGCACATGTATGTAGACATTACCTGGTCCTTTGACGCTGTTACAGAGATTAACTGTGAGGTCATCCACAATGTCCAGAAGGAAGGAGAAATCAGCAACATTGTACATGTGTATCTCATCCGGGTCAGAGGCGATGGACCTCAACTCGTTCTCATCAGCGTTCTTCACACCTGAGTGTCAAACACAACCAGAGTGTCTAATGACTAACCATGCTCTATTAAGGTATGACAGCAGAACTTCCAGATTACAGATACCCTGAATGTTGGTGGTAAATTAAATTCTATCAGCTAAAGCATTCATCACATACTTATCACTATACAACATTTATCTAACAATAAACAAGAGTACAGACAAAATTCAGGCTTTAAGATGCCTGCTAGTACTGTTTGTAGCTATGCAACGTACATATGAGGCAAAGTTGAGATTATTTATTGATGCAAAGTTGCATGATGCTAATTAGTGTACATAAGCTTGTATTACTTGTTAAATACATTAGCATCATGGCACCAGTGCAAAACTAAAGAAGCAAAGCAAAGACACCAAATATTTTTGGCTGACGAACTGCATTTGGAGAGACATTTGTACACAAGTTATTTCTTACTGACTTATAGCTTAAAGTTCTTTTGTGTGTCTGTCTACTCTATGGAAAGATTCTTTTAAGAAACAGCTTAAATATTCACCAGTGGCAAACAAGAACAACTGTATTTCTTCAACAAAGTGAACTGACACCAATGAATTTGGTACATGTGAAATTGTGCTCATATGTATGTCACCCACCAATGGCGTAAAGTTCAATGCCATCGCTCCGCAGGTTCTGAGAGCTGATGATGATATCATCCTGAGACTTGCCGTCAGTAATGAGGACACCAATTCTACGAGAGTCAGGTCGAAGACCCACATTTGGTTTGAAGTTGTTCTGGAGGATGTAGTTCAAGGCCAGACCTATTGAAGAGCAGGGCATAAGAAGAAAGAAAAAAAACTTCAGCAAAACTTTCGTCATCAAAGTTACCATTCATACCATTGCAAAAAAGATGTTGACATGCTTTGCAATGAACTATTATATGCCTCTAAGGGAAAGTTGGATAAAACTAGCCCAACATTTCGAATGGCTCTATATCAGTCGCTACCATAACAAAACTTCATAACAATATTTGAAAACACATGCTGTCCTTTGCTGTGTTTCAATATTTAGTGATAAATGCACAAATTGGTCCAAAATTAATTTTAAGTCTTTACATTAGTTACATTAACAGATATTAAGAAAGTTTTTTTCTTTCTATAATAAAGTTAAAGTTACTTTTTCAGATATACACTGTAGCCACTGGCTAACATAAAGCAAGGTGTGATACCTGTCATGGTGTTTCCCCCTTTATAAGGCAAGTTGGCCACGGCTTCCAGGAGGGCTTCGCGGGTTGGATGTGCGTTGAGATGCCACTCAGTCTTGGGGTCTCCACTATACTGAGCCAATCCTGAGAATCAGGCAGGGTAGATTTCATTTTTTAACACATTTACGGGAAGCACCACTGCAAATTCCAGGTAATAACTCAATTTGGGGCCCAGACCAAAGCTCTCACATCTGGCGCCCAGAAGTATTATTGTCTTTGCAATAAATCCATTCTTTAACAGTACTCCATCCTTCTCCAGCAAACCAACCCAACACACTGGGCTGGTGCCATGCTTGTGGGAGTCTCTAGAATATTTTACCCTATTTATACTATTCTAGAACATTCTTCTGCTGATCACACTGCTCTAGAATGATCTTCTCCATTCATACTGCTCTAGAATGTTCGCCCTTCATTCACACTGTTCTAAAATGTTCTTTATCATTCATAATGTTCTAGAATGTTCTCCCTCATTCATACAGTTCTAGAATTTTTTTCCTTCATTCATACAGATCTAGAATTTTTTTCCTTCATTCATACAGATCTAGAATGTTTTTCCTTCATTCATACTGTTATAAAATGTTCTGCTGCATAGTGTTCGAGTGTTTGTCCTCCATTCACACTGTTCTAGAATGTTCTTCATCTATTCATACTGTTTTCAAAGGTTCTTCCCAATTCACAGATTCTGAATGTTCTTCTTCCATTTACACAGTTCTAGAATGTTTTCCACTTTCTTACTTATTCACATGGTTCTAAAACACTATTCTTCATCCATTCATACTGTTTTTAAATATTCTCCTTCATTTATACAGTTTCAGAATGTTCTTCTTCCATTCATTTTATTCACACTGTTCTAGATGATCTTCGAGTCATATTATTCTAGAATGTTCTGCATTCATTCATATTGTTCTAAAATGTTCATCAGTTCACACTATTGTAGAATGTTTTTTTCTTATTCACACTGTTCTTCAGTGTTCTCTCACAAAGTGTTGCAGTATGTTCTCCCTCATTCACATTTGGCTTGTCAGTTCTTGTTCTGGAACACTTAAAAGTTGACTGCCATCATTAGAATGTTGGTGTTTGCTGGGGAATGTTGGATCAGTGTCCCATGGCCTGAAAAAAGCACCAAAGCAACAGGAGGCCTTACCGATTTGAACCTTGTTAGGGCCAATGTCGAAGACGCCCACCATACGAGCGATGAACGAGCGGATGGTTTTGAAGTTCACGCGGCCAATGCTCCAGGATCCGTCCACCAGTAGGACTATATCAGCCTTGGCTGTGGTTTTACACTGAGCATCTACGGAAGATGAAGGACACCAGTCACACAGAGAGAAAAAGCCAAGAGACAGCTTGAGCTCCAATCAAATAACAAACCCTGAAGTTAGATTCAGTTCAAAGGGAAGATAAATGTTAGAGGAACCAATAAGAAAAACAAAAAGCAGAGGACAAACAATACAAAGGCCAATGGCAAAACAACAATGCCTAGCATGGCCACACTTAATAATCATATCACAAGCTGATTAAATTTTTGTTTTATTTCTTTTCTTGAAGAATTCAGTTGAAGTTTGCACAAAGATTTATATCTTCTTTCCTCTCCCCACATCTTTCTCTGCTGTATTCAGTCCCCTCTGGCGTCTGGCCCCGAGGCCATTTTAGCTGGAGTTGACATGGCTTCCTTCTCTGCAAACAGAAGAGGGTCTCTGCACGAGTGAAATACGAGCAAAGCTCTTTCTGAGTTATGGTGCATTCCTTCTTCGTACGTTTCTTTTTTTCATGGCTCCAGACACCTGCAAAGTGGCGCGAGATATTCCACTTTGTTTCTCCACTCACTGATGCTCCAGTGAGTCTCTGCAATTGAAAACAGTTTATATCACACTGAATCATCCACCACTACATTCAGTCAGAAAAAAAGAAGCCTGCCTGCTGTGTGACAGTTTTAGATAGGGATGTCCTGACCAATTCCTAGTCCTTTAAAATCCTTTAAAATATGTGGTAATAAAGATGGATCAATTGTATTTTTGTAAATAATGCTACACCATGTAAATACAATGTGACCAGTCCAATTTAATAAATACTTATTAGATTGTCATCTACTAAAAATGCAAAAACCTACAGTGAAATCACTTCATTTTATGTTTTTTTATGTTTTCTAGGAGTATTTCAGTATTTTTGGATTACTTTTTAGAGATGGCCATTCAATTTAGTGTTGAATACACCACATTAGAAATTTATTTTGGTCTAATATGAGCACAGTATTTGTTCTTTTCACACTTTTCAATGCACTGAGTGAGTATTGCACACAATAACCCTGATATACAACACAGATACTACAAGTGGCTGTTGGGCTGTTTTGTTTTCCATTTTAAAAAGGTTAACAATGCAGACACATTGCTTCTGAAAACATGCTACAATATGTCATCTCAATATCAGTGATGTGAAAATGGCAGAATGGGGTGAAACAGCCTTAACAAAGAACTTGAACTGGAAATGCTCAATATAGTCAACATTGTTCCATTTAAATATGCTGAGGTCAGCCCTTTCAGATCACCCCTAGTTTTAGGTGTAGAATTACAATGATGTACAGCAGAATAATAATTTGGTTGTTTATGTCAAGTAAAGCCTCATACATTTGGATCCTAAGCCCATAGACGCAAAACGTACTGCATCTCTAAATCCCTGTTTTTAGCTCATCTCTGCGGGTTGTGTCCAAAAAGGTTATATAAGGGCAATAAGGGTTTCATTAGAAAAAAAGAGGTAATAAAAAAGAAAATGCACTCCAGTGTTTCCTGGTTGGTCATTAACAGCAAAATAGCAGATCACCCCTGCAGAGAGCTGTTTCCACTGATTTAGCCCAACAGCAACTCTTTATCTATACGTGGCTGTGGCACCCCTTGAGATGAAAAGTCACAATGGAACGTTATGGAACATAAGGGCACCATATCTGCTCTTTATAACAGCGGGAATTTATGCCCAGGGTCAGCATCTCTCTAGGCTCTCATAGCAGAACCATAACATTTTCCTAGCTGCCTGCTGGGCTTGGAACCAAAGAGAGGCTAGCAAAATCTCTCTCTCGCTCTCTTTCTCTCTCTGTCCCCCCAATTCTGTCTCTTTCCTTCTCTCTCTCTCCCTCTTACTCTCTCTCTCAGCTGTTAATAGCTCTAACTGAAAGCAGAGCATTTTTCCCATCATGCTTGCTTACAGCACTAAGGAATTAAAGAGTAAGCACAGTGAAGGACAATACAAAATGCTTGTATATCAAGGCGTTATCATGTCATTTATGTATTCATGTTTTAATGATTATAGATGATAGATGCTACACTTCTTATGCTTATTTCTGTGCTTAGGGCTTAGGGCTATCGTGTCATTCATGCTGAAACATGGCGTAACTTTCCACCTCTGGCAAATTATGATCAATGAAAACAACAAAGAGTCAAAAGTCTCTAAAGTACAAACCTAATTCCAAAAAAGCTGGGATAGAAGGTAAAATGCAGAGAGCAGCGATTTATAAATCTACTTTGACCTGCATCTGAATGAAAATAGTACAAACTAACCAAAAACTACAAATGAATGCCCATGACGTTCGACCCCTCAGACGGCAATGCATTGAAAATCGTCATGTTTCCTGGATGGATACGACCATGGGCTCGGGAATAGTTTGACAAAAAGTTGTTAATAAACACCCTTCGTCACTGTATTGTGATCTGATGAGGTTACCTTTCAGACTGTTTATGGAAATAATGGACACTGTGTTCTTTGGGCCAACAAAGAAACACGCCACCCAGACTTTAAAGCCAGGCTCTGTCATGGTATGGGGGGTATTAGGGAACAATTTGCACATCTGTGAAAGCACTATTAATGCTGAACACATTTTGGAGCAAGATGTGCTGCCTTTTAGGTGCCATTTTTTTCAGCAACACCCATGCTGATTTCAACCTGACGCCAACGGAACGCCAACAGAAACATTCTGTTGTGTTAAAAACACAAAAGTGTTACAAAAGTATGGCTTCTTAATCAGACAGTGTGGATGCTAGACTGGCCTGCCTGAAGCGCAGAAATGTCACCTATTTGAAAATGTGTGTCTTATTAAGCTCGTAAAACAACAAGAAACGCCTTGCATGGTTGCACAGGTGAAGACTTGTATGACAGAAGAACGGCAAAAAATTCAAATCCGGTTCGGTTTGTGTCTTCAGTACCCAAACAATTATTGAGTGCTGTTAAAGGTATAGATGATAAATTTGTGTTATACATTTCAAATTGAATTTACTAATCACTGCTTTCTGTTTTATTAGCATTTCAAATACCCACCCAACTTTTTTGGGAATGGCTTTGTATAAATCGTAGAAATACATTATCAAATATACACACTGCAAAACAAAGGATGCCTTAATTCGATTGCTGCTTGTCAGGTAGACGGTAATGCATTCTTTGTGTTCCAGATGTCCACAAACCCTTAATGGGCTACATCTAAGTAAGCATCAGCTGTTTATATAAAGCCTTGCAAATTTGGATGTCTAACTCCTTTAACGCATAAGATGTACTGCAACTATTGTCTCTAAATCCCTGTATTTAGCTCAGATAGAGTGGTTTTACCAGGAGGGTCCATGGGTGGAGGCTCAGGTGGGTCAACAAGGGTAGTCTTTTCTTCTCCAGCCAATGGCAAACTCTGGCCTCCATCAAACATTCCAAACACAGCCACGGAGTACTTAGTTCCTGCTCTGCGAAAAACAAAAACACAAAAAAACATAACAACAATATTAGAAACCCAAAAGAGGTCTACAGAAATAAGACCGCGCTACGTTACTACTCCACTTTATTGCTGTCAGAGTTCAAAAATTATATACACTGCAGATTCATACTGGACTAAAATCACTCCACAATAATTACCGTCAGACTGTAAAAACTGCATACATTGCAGATTCAGTGAATCAGGTACAAATAACACAGCTTCAGTAAGAGTAAAGACTGAACATAAACATGAGTAAAACTCTTCAGTGGTTTTGACCCTACCTGAGCTCCTCCAGGACAACTGTGTTGTCATATGGTCCCACTAGTAGCTCTCCTAGGTTCAGCTCATTATCAGAAGGGCGAAAAGTGACCTTGTATCCTCGAACTTTGCCAGGTGCAGGGTCCCATGTCACACGGAAACTAGTTTTAGTTGGTTCGGACGTCTGCAGGTTTCTTGGTGCTTTGAAAGGCGATACTGCATGAGAACAGAGAGACCGCAGCAGCGATCAGAGCGCATGTCAATGATGAACAGACTCACATGAACACTGGTACCACATCATAAACAAGAGAACAGACACTCACAAATCCCAAAAACAAAAAGCAACCTAAAGCGATAGTTGGGAGAAGAATCAAAATAAGACAATTTTCCCTCAAACATAGTCAATCAGCCAAGGCATGTTTGGTGTCCGAAGTTTGCCTCTTTAGATTGGCAATGCAGCTACAGGGCAAAAAAGCTTACCAGTAATGGACGTTTATACCCCACCAATTAGCATCAGGCAAACGGCACGCCTAAACTGTCACACACTTGCCTCAACCTAGACTGAGTTGTTAATGAATTACAACTTACAAAGATTATGAGGTTGACAACAAATTGCTTTCTATAAAAAATGGACAAAAGTATAGGCAAAATTTAAGCTTTAAGAAGGCTGCTATTTTCTACATGTTTATAGATAACAGCATGCCATATGGTGTCAAAAACACATAAGCAAGTCGATTTAACATTACTTGACATCTCAATACAGTTGAAGGCAAGTGTGTGATGATTTAGACATGCAGTTGCAATACAACACTAATTGGTAGTGTATAAGTTATACATCAACCTCATAGCTCCAGTGCAAAACTTCCAACATTAAACACATCTTGGCTGACTGAATATATACCGGAGAAAGGGGAAAACTGTGTAAATGTAAATACACTCCCACATTTCACAGCATTTTATTGGAAAATATAAGACAAAAAATTGTGATAGTAAAGTACATAACTATTTAAGAAACAGTGCATGTCACACTCTGTCAACAATCACACACACACACAAACACACGCCAACCTGACTCCCACAGTAAAAGTACTAGCACAGATCTGTGACTTATGGGCTTTGAAAAACGTACGTGTTGTTCCTACTCCTTGCCTTGCTTTGCCTTCTCCACGTTTGTAGATGGGGTGGACAGTGATGTCATAGGTGGTCATGGGCTGCAGTCGCTTCAAGACAGTTGTGGTTGTGTTATGTGGCACTTTGGTGATCACTTCCTTGCCACCCAACTGGGGAGAGTAGGCCACCCTGTAGCTCAGCACTCTACCTGGCGCAGCTTGCCATGTCACTTTCATCGTTCTTTCGGTCTCATCAGACACAAACAGTGCTTTTGCTGCAGCAGAAGCTGGTGTAAGGAAAAGTGGTGTAAAATAGAAGCAATACACTTGATTTACACAAGTACACTTGATTTAGTATTCAGTGAGCAAATTACTACAATCTTTGGCTAAAAAACAATATTTCCTCTACTACACTGTGTGCTCTCTCTATATTTATGATTTAGTGAGAAAACGACTACAGAAAAGCAATGTCTTTTTCTAGCACTGTGACATTTCAATCTTTGCAGTATGCTAACTAAAATATTTGTTGTACTCCTCTGAAATTGTCCAGGGACGGCAAATGAAATTAACTTCCGCAATAATAATAAACTCAGCAATGTTCCTGTTAAATAACTATATGAATAAAATAAAATGTCACATGAGTTTTGAGTTTATTTCTTTAGGAGAAATTCCATCATTCTGTATTATTATTTGCAATGAGTAGCTCTGGAGCCTTATTTCCTGTTCACTGGTACCAGAAACTATGTATTCTATGTATGTTTTTTGCTCATCCTCTTCACTGCACAAAAACAGAGGCAATCTTTTCCAAATTGTTCTTGCTCCCAAGAAAATACTCTGACTACAAGATTTTACTGGGAGGACTTTTACGAATGGAAAACTTACTGCAGGCCAACTTTGCAATATGCTGATTGACCTGAGTGGACCTGTGGATCCTTAACCACAGAATCAGCTCTATTCAAATATACTGTGCAGGGACTCTTTTTTTCAAAAGGAAATGAAGGAAAGAACCCCAAAAAGATGCTAAGTTAGATACAAAACCACAAGACAGCAAAAAAAAAGAAAAAAGAAAAAAAAAAAACAAAAAAACTTCCTCACATCTATTCGTATTGTGTCAAATTCCTCCCTTATGCAAGTTTCTGCTGCTATGTGTTCCCCTGTGTGTCCGTGTGGAGCTGGAGGAGACGAGACGTACGCTCCTTAACTAAGCGTGTCCAAAGCCTGTTAGCCACCATCTCAGACATTCGGCCCAAATTACAGGCTGCAGTGCACAGATGCATGGCTTTAAAACTCCTTTACTCCATTTCTGTGACGCTAACCCCCTCCCTTCCCAAGCACCCTGGCCACAGCCATCATCTCACATTTTCCACTGAGGAACAATCACCACGGCACAGAGACTCCGACTCAATTTTATATAGCGAAAACCTGAGCTCAAAAGCACATTCACTACTTCATGTGCACTTTCTGTACAGAAAAGAATCTTTGACTAAAGATTGTTATTTTACAATCACTTTATCAGGTACAGTGGTGCTGCTGGTATTTTTTGACACATGACAGTGTCATTGCTAGGTTGATAGTGGTCCACCACCCAAACATATCCAGCTGAAGGCCACTCTGTGGTCTGAAACAGACCACTGATAAAGGACTTGAGGATAGCCAACACATTGTGCATTAACAGATGGGGTGCAGTTTCCAACTGTACACCAGATGGGTGGAGCTACAAAGAAAGGGTTCCTAATAAAGTGGACGGTAGGAGTATCCGTTACAGGCATGTGATTTTAAGAGTTAGGAAAGCTGGTCAAATGAAAATCTAGATGTTCTGTATTTTTTAGCATCTTTAAAAATTTGATAAGAAAACTCTACGTAACTAATGATATCAACAAATTTCTTTCAAACTCTAAATTGCTGGTTTATTTAAATCAGATTTTTAGATTAGATTAAAAGAATTTTATACCTAAGAAAGATAACATACCATCAGTGGTCTCCTCTCCCACCAGTGGCTCTCCCTCTCCAAGGCCATAAGCGGCGAAAACAGAAACCTGGTAACGTGTCTCTGGGCTTAGGCCCTCTAGTAGGGTGCTGGTCACATCTCCAGGAACCATCTTCTCTCCAGATTCATCGCTGAACTGGGACTTCCAGCGCACACGGTACTGCCTTACCCTCCCTGGGGCAGCTGACCAAGACACCATAAAGCTGCTGTCTGTCACATCACTGGTTATCAGGTCTCTGGGGGAGCCCAGTTCTGTGGAGAAAGAAACCAATTATGCATGCACAGATCAGTAAGGTAGAGGTTCATTAGGAATTCATAGTTTTCATGTACTGTCTCCTTCCAAATACACATTATGGCAGTATCTCATCAGAATTCCACAATATATTAGCAGAAAAGTGATGAATCAAATCTTAATTTTCCCTCACCCCAAAAAATAGTCAATAAGCCAAGACATTTTTGGTGCCTGAAATCTGCTTCTTTAGTTTTACACTGGATCGACAGGGCTAAGTCAGCTAACAAGTATCAGAAGCTACCCCACTAAAGAACTTTGGACACCAAAAATGTCTTGGCTGATCGACTATATTTGGGGTGGGGCGTGGGGTAAATATGTTTGGATACATCTGTAGCAGACAAGTAGTCATTTCTCGTCATCACCCCTCTCCCTCTTGTCATACAAGCAGGTGTGCATGGACAGAGGGTGCACTATAGATAGCATAAATTAATTGCATCATAAACATTACACCTACACTGTGGAAGCACAAGAATTCCATAGAATGGTATGTACATGTCGAATAAACCAATAATTATGGCCAGATTAAAGTAACTACACTGTAAAATCCCTATTGTGATCAGAGATTTGAGCATACTGCACTAGGTTTACATACATGCTGATTACAGACCCAGTGCCATATGGTTTTGTAAACAGGAGTCTGTCAGGATTTTTTGTACAAACATCTGCTCTACATATCCAGTATATGGTGTAACGGACATTAGCTGGAAACAGAATATCAGGGTGTGTGGCCTCAATGTATGACATCAGTTCAGAACAAAGCGAACATGTGCTGTTCTAGACGGCAATAAATGGAGACCTAGGAGAATGCTAGCTTAGACCTACATTGATCCAGTGTTATTTATAAGACGTTGCAATGTGAAGTTGAATGGACAATTAGTTAGCATCAGTTAGCATCATTTGGCAGATGCCCTTATCCAGAGGGACATACGACTTAATCTTGTTACATACAGAATTGTAATAATGCATCACTACATTGCAATGCTGCAGAACTGTGACAATGTGCATCGTGGAGAGTGATAAAGATATGCATTGTTCAAACGCCAAGAAATCAGCACCAATCAACAAACTCACTCTAGCACTTCAGATTTATATCTACACAGAAAGAAGACTAGCCCATTTATGTACTGCTCATTAGTTAAGCATGCCTACAGTTCTAACTGTTCTACATGCTTGTTTACACTAGCTCTGTGCAATACAACTCAGTAACAACATTTCTTTTCCATGTTCATTGGTAATGTGCTCCAGTATGACGAAGACAGCCTATCCTACAAAAACGTCCATTCAGCCGCAGCTGATAATGAGCTAACTAGCTGAATAGCTTCAATATGCTCTCACATGCAAGCGCAAGTGTCTAAAGGACTTGCCTGGCAATACAGCTAATTTTGCAGGAGACCTTCTCTTTTGAAGTCTGTGCTTCAGCTAAAACTACATGAGTCGGCCACTAAATGCAAAGACGTGACATCCCCTCAGTTCAACGCGAACATCTCCTTTCACGCTTAAAAATATATGGAAAAGAAAATGAGGACGTATTCCTTTTTTCAAATTGGACTAGGGAGGTTAGATTTACTTTAAGCGTGTGTTTAATTTTAAAGATCAGCGAGCAAGCTACAACTGATGTCAAAGCAAATCTTTCCAACTGCAATGCCAAAAACAATCTATCACACACAATATTCCCCTTAAGCAGTCATTCCAGTTCTGGCGTAATTTTCATTTCCTTATTTTAACTGCACATGTGCAGCAGCAGCACACACAGGCTCGAGCACTGCTGCCTTCTTACAAGTTCTCATTTTCTCATTTTTCCTTTGTAGAGCTTCAAGAGTGTGTGTTCGGAGGCAAAGAAAGGGATAGAATATGCCACACCAAAATCCTGCCAACAATCCTGTGGCCGTTTTCTCCAAAAAGCATTCGTTTGGTAAAAACAAGCAAAATGGTTATAAAATGACACATGCTATGATGCCCCGAGTTTCTTAGCCACCTCCCAGACTTTCTTTTCTTTTCCCTGTCTCTCCATTTTGCCACTGCATACTAAGGCACAAAAGCATTTCTTTTGAATTGTTTGGCAAAAAATATCATTTAAACACTTTTTCACCTTATGCCTATGCTTCCATTACTTGTTAGCTACATTAGCCTTGTAGCAACAGCACAAAATTAAAGAAGCAAACTTAAGACACTTGACTGATCTTGGCTGATTGACCACATTTGGTTAAATGAAAAACTGTGAGCATTTTTTGCTAAATTACTCCTTTAACCCAGAGCCAACTATATATATATATATATATATATATATATATATATATATATATATATAGGTTATAAAGCAGGGGTGAAGTCTTGTGGAATCAAACATTCTTGCTAAGTGAGTAGATTTCTTGCTGTATTTCAAAGCTTTCTCTTGCCTTTCATTGCCAGTCACTTGCTATTACAGATATCTTGAACAAGATGTTCATAATGACTTTGAACTGTCCAGCAGGTTGCTGCAGCCTGCTTCAGACATGCTGCCTCCTCCAAAATGTCAAGCTGCCCCAGGAGTGTGTTCCAGACAAAAAAAAAAAATCACAGTCCCAAGACCCCAAAGCTATGCACATGCAATAAATTTACAGCAAAAGTATATGTTTTTGAGGTCTACCCCCATGAGCTGACCACAGGAAAGGGTAAGTGCTGAAAAGGCATGCAGTATTTGCTTTAATTACTTCCCTGGGGTTAAGAGCCAGAGAGCAAAGCCCAGCTTGAACACATTATGCGCTTTGACAAATGCCAGAAAGGGAAGGGTCATCCTTGGCTAAAGATTCTCAGGTGCTGTGGAAAACCCTGTTGCGGGAAGCCACCTTTTGGCCCTCCTCTTCTCTGACTGATTGAGACTGATTTAATTTCCACATCTCCCTTTTTTTCCCTCCTAATCTGTCTCCTTTTTGCTTTTGTTTGAAACCATCCATCTAAAAGAAAGAGAAAAATAGCAAGGATTCCCTTTAGAACGACCTCCTCTCCCTGCTTTGAAGTGTTCCACAGGTAACACGTTCCATATGCTTTGGCTGTTTGAGCTTCTAATATGATAACTCTTCATTTCTCTTGATTTGGTTCAATTCCTTTCCAAGTATGAAATTTAATTAAATTAGGAATCCATTCCTTTATGTGCTTTTCACCACACACTGTCAGAAGGGAACTGATTTCAAGTTCCTTGTTGGTTCTGAACCAGACCACTACCATGCTTTTTTGCTGGAGAATGTCTTGGAGAATGTCTCTGTTTGGGAACATTCTATGGTGTTTTCTTTGTGAAATGATGTACTTACTGAGCTGGGAGTCTATGCAGTCATGCAGTAAAGTTGCACGAGTTGTGTCCTTCTCCAAAAGCTCAATGAGTTTTCAGAACTGATTCAAAGCCATTAGCTTTGAATGCTGTAAAGTCTCCAAACACACTCCAAGCAGCTTTGAACTAACCAGAATGGGGGTTCAGCACAATTGTGAGGTCAACGACAAATATCAGAAAATTGAGGTGATTCAACTTGGGTAAAAAACTGCAGACTACACTAGTCTAAAAGAGGCTTCAGCTCAAAATATTTTTCTTGCATGGATGAAAGGACCATCACAAATCTCTACACAGAGAAGTGATAAAATGTAATAAGTATTATAATGTCACACAGGTTTTGCTTTGTTCTTTTCTTTTTTTAACGTGGGATCCTAAAGCGATTGCTCAAGTCTTTCAGTCCTCAGAAAGGTTTGGCAATGCATTTCCCATTTTTAGCAAGGTGAGGACAGATGTGAAAAAACGTCCTCCCATCTCACAGGGCAAGTACTTATAGAGGGAGTTGATAAGTGTGCCTTGCCAAGACAGCATGAACAGATTCAGAGTGCTAATATCTTAGCACACATTTGCAGGCTGCACATGTCCAGCGAAGATGCCAGCTGTCCTCCTTTAAGTAAGCTTCAACATGCCATTGAGTTAAAGGTCAAAGCCCGACTAAACACCCACTATAATCCGAACAGTGCAGGAGGGCTGAAGTACGTCACAGACTCTGCTTATTTTAGTTAGGTGTGGAAGCTTGGTTTTTTTAATATCTCTAAAGCAACCTACATTGTCCTTGTTGCACTACTACTACATCTCTGTTCCAGCAGCTGCATGTTTACTGGATTGTGTAAGCATCTGTGAGAGCGCCCAGCCCAGCGCTTTCTCTGTGTTTGTCAATGGATGGAGGAAGGCTGTAATATCACACATATGTCATAATCAAAGGGATTTGATGGCCACCGGTTCAATTGCTTCCACACAGTTAAACAAACAGTTTAGGGCAGGAAAAAGGCCAGACTGTCGGCGACGGAGCAATCAGACAGGGATGGAGGACAGGTCCACTGCATTCCAAGCAAGTCTTCACAAGGTAATGCTGCATCAGGAGAAAATGACTCACAACCACAGCCCATCCCCCTCACCATCACTATCATCACCACACACACATACTCTACACAAGGAAAGGCCAGGCCAGGCCAAATTCCTGCTCCACCCAAGCCAGAGTTCAGCTGTGGGTGCAGTACAAGCAAGGGCAACGCGTGCAAGTTCATCAACAGGACACCTAGTCTTCTACCCATCCACCCAAAACACATTCAGCCTCCCTTCAGCCAAGATTCACAAACAGCACATACAGCGACAGTATGACAGAAAATCTAATGTACAAAGTTTTGCACTTACCTTAAAAGTAGTCAATCATCCAAGACAGGTTTAGTGTCTGAGGTTTGCTGGTCTACTTTTGCACTAAAGGCACAAGACTAATGTAGCTATCAAGTAGCAGTGTGCAAAGTGCATGCTTCAATCATTACATATTTGCCTAAAACAGTCAAACAGTTGTTAGGTAATCTCAAATAGTCTGCTTCTGTGGTTTGTAACAGTGTACAACATATTATCTATAAAAATGGAGATGCCATGTAACATGTGCTTTTGCCCATTTTAATAGAAGTCAGTATGTCATACAAAGTCAAAAATCCACATAATGAGTGGATAATACTCAACCACTCAACACAGCTGAGGCAAGTATGTAATGATTTAGGCATGCTATTTGCACAATGCTAGTTTTACTTCTTAGTTGCAATAGCTTTGTCATTTCTGTACAAAACTAAAGCAGAAAACTATGGACACCAAACACGTCTTTGCTGATCTCCAGCAAAAACGGTGCGCATTTGATCTTTCACCGAACTGTCCCTTTAAACATGACAGACAGCCCATAAGTGCCACTGTCAATCAACAGCTCAGCCCCCTGCTCCGAATGACCCTGTCTGTCAACTCTGAAACTTGACTCAAAATCCCTTCTCCGCAGACACCCAATTCAATACCATGGTTCACTGACCCCCAAGTTAGCACAGAGGCTAAGCAAGACGGGTACAGATTTGTTCTGGTTATTTCATTAAGTAGATCCAGTAGCTGAGTGTCTGCGGGTGAGCCCCCAAGCACATGCCTGGGGCTCCTGTCTCCAGAGAGGCTGCTGTCACAGTGCCTCCAGACGTCTCAGTCTATTTGTTATTCCTGTCTATGAGAAGGTAAATGCTTTGAAACCGACCTGGGGCCCATAGCCAGTCAAACACACACTGCTTGGTCTTTCTGAAGAAAACTGGAAACATTAGTACAACATTGAAACAGTATTATAGTAATACAGTAATAACTGTCTCAGAGATAAATGGCTGAAGCTGCAGGTTCCTCGTCACTAGAATTCACAACATGGACAGAAATTTGTCAATAAGGAGGTGCAGGTCAGATGAAGCTTTTCAGATTCACAGTGATGTACAAATGAAAATTGAATGAAAACATATTGATGAGTGCTGTATTTCATAAGGTACTCTTGAAAAAACCACTATATATACTATCAGCAAATTGACACACCCATATGCAAATATGCACTTGCACACACTTGCACAAATGCATATTTAAAAAAGAGTTCAGCAAAAAGTTTAGTTTTGCACTATAAACTTGCTGAAAAATGGACATTGCATAACTAAAAACAGGAATATTGACGTGTGAATTCTGTCTATACTTTTGTGCATTTGTTCAGGTAACAAAAAACAATAAAAGAACGCGGAATGGTTGCGCACCGGTTGCTATGATATCCCAGGTGGTTGCTAAGGTGTTGCTATGCAGTTACTGCTAGGCAGTTGCCATGATGTATGAGGTGTTTCTTAAGTCTTTTATAGGGAGTTGCTAAGTGGTAGCTACGCATTCCTGAAAATAAGTGGGAGTCTATGTGAGCAACAAGGGATGAAAAAATGACACATAGAGGAGCGTGGGTCAGTATGGCTGTGGATTAGAACATGGGGACCTGCCCTGAGTCCAATGCAGCGCTGTCACCCCTGACAGGCCTGTAGGTCAGCCTATATCTGACCACTGGGCCTGGAGCGGCCGCCCAAGTCACACGGAAACTGTCTGTGGTCTCCTCAGACACCTGCAGGTTACCTACAGTTCCTTGTTCTACGACAAAAAGGGAAAACTCATGTACACTACCATTCAATAATGTGGAATCAATATTTTCAATATCTCACTGCCCTGAGTGAGAACATTTACTTTGGTGGCTGTCGGGAAAAAGAAAGATTATGACTTTGTTGGGAGTAAAAATGAATGGGACTCTATGGGAGGAAGGAGAGATAAACAAACGACAGACATAGGAGCGCGGGTCAGTGTGGCTGTGGATTATAGCTTGGGGTTCTGCCCTGAGTGAGTATATGCATTTTGGTGGCTAATGGGCAAAGGAAATAATAGGGCTTGCATGAGGGCAAAAATGAATGGGACTCTATAGAAGGAACGAGGGATGATAAAACGACACGCAGAGGAGTGTGGGTCAGTATGGCTGTGGAAAAATCCTCAAAATTCCATTGCTACACAGAATCCATGCATCCGATCAAAAAGCTGTATACAAGCACACATCACACAATCAGACCGGACAATCTGGAGTTGGAACGGTATTGATATCTCGAAAACTGTGGGACGAGTTATGTAGCAAAAATCCGGCGGGAAAATAAGAATAAAAGAGAGGAACAACAATATAAATCGGATAACAATCGATTTAACCGTAACCAGTATTTAAGAACTTTATGTTGGAGGTGTATATAAGTTTTGTAACCTCTAGCGAAAATTTAAAAAAGCAAGTTTCAGACACCAAACATGTCTTGGCTGACAGAACACATCTTCAGAAAGAAGAAACATGTGTAAATGTTATTTCATTAATATTCTTCACTTACCTTCCAGAGTGGTGCCGGTCCCCTCCAGCGGCTGGCCGAGGCCAGAGGAGTATTGAGCTCTGACGGCTAGCTGGTACTCAGTGTCTGGCTGTAGGTTTCTCAGCAGAGTTTCGGTGTTCTCTCCTTTCACCGTCACTTCCCTAATCTCTCCACCTGCCGTGGGCTGGTAGGATACCACATACTGCTGTACCTGGCCTGGAGCAGCCTCCCAAGCCACACGCATGGAGGACAGCGTCTCATCAAACACCCGCAGGTTCCGTGGAGAGCCTCGTGCTACAAGTCATAAACATAGCAGATATAATGCATGGCTACCTCTAAAATACAATGCAACAGGCTTCAAACACACTCTAAGGAGCAGCCTTCACCTTTCAAAACTGGAAGCAAACTGATAAAGTCAGAGACAAATACTGGAAATTGGAGTCGACTAAACTTGGTAGGAGTATAAAAATGCACTCATACACCATAATGCATCATGCTTAAGGTGCTGATTCAACTGCATTGATTTAGGAATGCTGGAAATAATTATACTAATATTCAATAGTAAATAGTATCTTTAGCCACATCTGTGTATTTGTTTTTTTTTTAAGTAATCTTGAATCATACTAAACTAATTTAACTGAATGACAGTAAACATTTCATGATGCACTAAATATGAAAATTGTTCTGAGGTCAGAGATTTACATCACAAAAAAAAAAAATGGAACTGGGTCAACTGGGTAACCCTCAGACAGTACGCCACAGACGTAATGTAGGGTGCTGATCAGTTATACTGGTCGATTCTCGTGAAAGATCTAAATGAATCTTCACACCAAAACAAAGAAAGGAGGAGCTTTTGTTAGAATATTAAAACCGTTATAACCGTCACACAGATCTGCAAGTGTCTGGCAGACAAGGTCTCATGCTGCTGGACACAAACACAGGCTCTTGTTTCTTGTAAGAAACAAAAGCAGTCCAGTGGACCTAATGAAAGATAGTGTTCGACTACTAGATAAGATCGCAATGTCTTCCTAAATGTTCCGCATATTCCTTCAGGAAGCAACACAAAGAAAAGTGTTTATTCATGTCAAAACGCTGAAATCTTGAGGAAGCAGGAAAGGCAAGCTAAAAACTTTTTTCCCCATACACAATATGGAGAAAGTCTAAACATTATGAAAGGAGAGTTGGATGAACTGCTCAGCAAAGTCATACCCTGGGATATGTTTGCTGCTTCTAATAGAAGCTGAAAGTATCACAGCTGCATTGGTGAAAGTGGCCTGCTAGGAGCAGCTGGACCATGGATACTAACTGCATTGGGCCTCGATAGCAGTTGTTTGGAATTCTGTTGCCTTGGAGAATGGAAACGGTTTTTGTTTATTTCCGTCAGCCTCCCCAGAGAGTTGGCTCCCGTGCTAACGAGTGTGATCATTTCCTGGGTAACGTTTCATCACAGAGGAGTATCTTAGCCCTTACGTGTTGCGTTCCGTTGTGAACATTCCACAGTCAAACGCCCTATGCCTGAGGTTCACACTCCTCTGCCAAAGGCTTAATAATAGAGGTGAAACTTCCATTACTTGTTAGCTACTAGGGCTGCACCATATGAAGAAAATACTAATACTGCATTTAAATCGCATGCAATACGGTTGTTGCATCTTAAATATGTATTAGTAAATCAATGATGTGACATGGTTAAACACTAGTCTGCATTATCCTGACTAATATAATTGTTAGATTATATGAACACCTTCATTCACAGCGCACAGTAAAATGTGTTGTGATTGGTTAGAACCACATTTACATTTTACCCCAATATCAGTATTGCAAAGGCGGCAATCACAATGACAGTTAACACACAATATGTTATGCAGCTGTTAGCTACATTAGCCATGTAGCTCCAGTGCAAATTCTTATGCTCTGTGTTTCTTGTTGTGAAAATTCCCCAACTGAATGCCGGAGGTTAACGCTTTGTGCTGACTTCCCTCCTAAAGGCTGGCTTAATAACATGCCAGTGCGGTTGGAATTTTTTAACCGGCAGGATATCAGGCACATAAAATAATTATGAGGGGAAAATATGCATCATGTCTACCATACCGTGCCACCCACCTTCTTTAGTCGTGCCGTCAATGTGCATCTGTGGCCCAATGCCTGATGGGTATTCGGCTGCCACGCTCACTCTGTAGGTAGTGATGGGGGACAGCTGCTTGAGGATGATGCTGGTTTCGGTGCCCTCTGTGGCTGCCTCCAATGCAGCGCTGTCACCCCTGACAGGCCTGTAGGTCAGCCTATATCTGACCACTGGGCCTGGAGCGGCCGCCCAAGTCACACGGAAACTGTCTGTGGTCTCCTCAGACACCTGCAGGTTACCTACAGTTCCTTGTTCTACGACAAAAAGGGAAAACTCATGTACACTACCATTCAATAATGTGGAATCAATATTTTCAATATCACAAAATTTTATAATCATTTTACAGGATCTTAGTTATTTGAGACGGGTCCTTATATTTCACAGTCATATTATGCCACAGTAAGCAAAGTGTGAATTGGGTGTGCTGGGTTGGGCAAGTAAATGTAAATAAAAAAAAGCAGTAAATACATTCACTGAGACATGTTGTGGGACTTGTGACAACAAGAAAAGTTCTAACCTCTCTGTGTTTTAGAGGGCTGTGCAAGAAATAGAGAGAAGTCCAAGAAATATTTTTAGCATATATGATGTCTGTGATAAAATGAGTGATTTTCTATTATATTTTCACTCTCAATAAATAAAAGCAGCTTTGCTCTGCATATGATTCTGTGTAACTGTGGACATTTTTGACTGTAGTTTGTTATTTTGAAAGTACAACCAGTGTTAGCTACTAAGTAAACATAACTAGGAAGCAAGATGGCTAAAAAAAGGAAAAACCAGACTAGCTGATTAGCCATCTTGCTTCCTAGCTATGTTTACTTAGTAGCTAACCCTGGATTCCGCATTAGTAGTTGTGGGCAATGAACAAGAAACGACAATAAAATTGTTAATTGGAATTATTTATGACAGTTAATCATCAGCTAAAATTTAATGGTCATGACAGCCCTTTCAATCAAAGTCATTAGTAGGACGTTTGAAAGCTGTAAAAAAAATTAAGAAGCTGTGGAATATATGTTCTGAGTTGCAGATATTTCTAAAACAAGAGTTAAATAGTATCAAGAATGAAAAGAGGGGAACTGATATAAACTAGGGGTGTAACTTTCTGACCTCACAATGATTTCATTTGATTCTGATTTTTTAGAAACAACTAAATGTATTATGAAGTATCAAACTTCATCAAGGTTCGATGTGATGCGGTTTTGATTCCGAGTTTGGATTTTTTCTAAAACAATGCACTGAAAACACAAATATATGATGCACATGATGCTGAAGGTTGCATTTCGTTTCCATTGTGCATGCTACAGGCAGCGTTACTTATTACACACTCAAAACCTAAAAGCATCCACAATTCTCTGTAATTTGTGAAAGAGGAACTGACCTTCCAGTGTAGTCTCAAAACCAGTGAGAGGAAAACTCTCTCCTTTATCATACTGGGCGTAGACATTGACTTCATACTTCGTGAGGGGGGTGAGATGGACTAACATTGCTGTGGTGGTGTCGCCTGGTACTGAAATAGAGACATATCCTGCGGCTGGATCAGCAGTAGGCTTGTACTGAACCAGATAGGACTCAACATTGACTGCATCTGTGGCCCACATGGCTCGGAATTGTCTGGAGGAAATTTCAGAAAAGCTCAGGGACTTGGGTGGGATCAGTCCTAGAACACAACGACAATTCACAAAATTAGGGTTCATTTAAACTGTCATGTCTAACCACGATCCATGAGCCAGCATTTAATCGCTATATTTGCCATTATCTAAGCATTACATATGCCAAAACCTCTAGTTGCACAATTTGCTGGCATGGACGCCTACCTATTGAGCTTTGTAATACAGAGTGACTTAGATTTGGCACCTACATTGCAACATGCACCAACCATTTACTCCTGAAAAGATCTTTACATGTGTCTACCACATTTTTACTAAGCCAAAAAGCAAAAAGAACAATAATCATAGGAGATGCACTTTTAGACACACATAATTATTAGCATTACTACAAATGCATCAAGTTAAGAAGGTAAAGCTGTAAATTTACATTTGTGGCATTTGACAGACAGTCTTGTCCAAAGTGATTTACAGTTTGATCGTTTTACAGAGGTAGACGAAGCTATTGTTAGGAGTACTGCCCAAGGATTCTTACTGGTACAGCACAGGTTGCTTGCCCCAGCAAGGGATCAAACCTCAGTCTGCAGTGTGGAGGACAGAGATGTTACCCACTACACTATACCAACCACATTTTTCTGGTTGGCATATTGGTAGACACTGATCATAAACCCCATGTAAACATTTAATACTTGGTATTGGGATCTTAGGTCAGACTGAAATATCAACGTAAAATTGAACTTAACCTGTTAAACTCTAAGAGGCCTGTCAGCGAGTCTAGGTTTCCAGTTCTCACTCACAGAATCACATACTTTAAACAGTAATTTCATAGTAGTTACTAGGATTATGTAATACATCATTTGTTAATTGTTATTGTGATGTTGGCCTTTTCCAGAAGACTGCAATATGCAAGTTCTCTAACCAATCACAATGTTTTTCACCATGTGTTGTGAGCATCTTGACTAACCACAGTTCCAAATTTGTTTCAAACAAAAGTTAACTATTTTGGTTTGCTAATATGCCTTGAATATATTACAAGGCATACCGTAATCACAATTTGATATTTTGTTCACATTGTGCAGACAGCTATTATGTAGTGCATAGTACTTGCTGCATAATAAGCCTTAAGATTAATAACTGATAAGCCTAGAGTTTAAAGCCTAGAGTTTCTCCTTGTCTCCCTCGATGTCCACAGCAGTAGATCTCCCAAAATAACTTTACAACACTATAGAACACAAAAGCAAAAAACTACAAAAGGCTACTCACTTCTCTTGTTGATATTTATAAGCTCCTGCTCAATGCGAAGACAGATGGACTGGGTCAGTTCTTTGGAAATCCTCTGGAAGGCATCAAAGTCCTCTACAGTGTAGACATGAGTTTCTGCAGGAGGGTTTGCAATGGCTTCCAGTTCTGACCTCACAGCATCCTTCACTCCAACAGCAAATATCTCCACATCGCTATTCCTTAGCCTGGTGGCTGGGTCTTTGAAGGCATCTGATGATTTTCCGTCAGTGATGAGGATCATCACTCGAGGAACACTATGGCGAGCTCCTCGGTTTGCAATAAAGATTTTCTCCCTCACATAGGTCATAGCTTTGCCAGTATTGGTGGAACCACCTCTATACGGAAACGTCCTCACTGCTTTAACAACTGCGCTGTGATCGTGGTGTGTGTTCAGGTAAAACTCGGTGTGTGGGTCCCTGCTATACTGCACCAGGCTGATCTGAACCTTGTTTGGTCCAATGTCAAAAGAGTTGACCAAAACCTCCAGGAAAGCTCTCACTTTCGCAAAATTGGCCAGGCCTATACTGTACGACCCGTCGACCAAGAGGACAACGTCAGCCTGGACATCCACTCCAAGAGAACATTCTAGAACAATAAATGTTATAAAGCACATGCTCAGTAGCTCGATGGTATTTTAGATGCAGTATGTCCTTTACCAACAGACATGCTCTGCCTGTCAAAGGTTTGAGGAACTTAGCTTTTCAAAATGTTTTTAATACAACTGGGCATGTTTTATTTGTTGGTTTAGAGCCTGTCATTCAAACTCAAACCCAGCATTTAAACCTTTCAGGTGGGTCAAGAGTTTCAATATGGACGTTTAAAATAGTTTGAAAAACAAAACAGTCACATTATTGTTTAGGATAAACCTGCAAGCAAGATAATTTGACACACATAAACTTAAGTGCAGCAAAATATACCTGAAGTATTACAAAAACATTCAAAAAGACTTTGCAGGTATTCATTAATTGAGAAATAACAAGGAAAATCAAGCACTACTTAAAAAAAAATACAAAAGAAATCAAGGTGTCCCCAAACCTTTGATGGCTGGTGTAACTTATGGTTCATACAGTGTTGCAGAGGATAGCACTATGGTTTCTGTACATACCTAATGAGACTCTGACTGGCTGGGTCTTTTGAAAGGTTATGACGGGCTCACTGGGGGTCAGGCCTCTTAGGGCGAACAGGCTGATTTCGTACTCAGTTTCCGGGATCAAATCTCTCACATTCACAGAGGTCTGAGTGGGACCCACATAAAGGTCCTGCCTCTTGCTGCCCGCCAGCATGGGAACCAGCTGTAGTTTATAACTGGTCACTTCACCCAGAGAAGCGTCCCACGTCAGCCGCATGGATTTAGAGGCCACCTCCGTCACTTGCAGGTTTGAGGCCGGCTCCACCACTGCACAACATGAAGGGAGTGAAATTTTACAAACTTCATTGATTCTGAATGAAGAGTCATCTTTTTGTGATCATCCATCCTTGTCCTATCTTGCTATTTCAGTGATTCTCATACACAGACAATTCTTTCATATTTTGTCTTAATATGTAAAATTTAATGGGAGTTAGTTATGGATTAACAAGGACACAAAGAGACAAAAAGGGTCACTGATGCGTAATCTTAATTAGAGCAACAAAAGCGCCTCCTTGTGGACAATCTTCATCCTGCTAAACAAGTGTGAGTGAGTGCATGAGTGAGTGCATGAGAGTTACAAGTCAGATCTATAAGATGTTTTTCACCCAAAAAAAATGTTGGTGGGACTATAAGGGACTGTTATCAACAAAAGAAGTGAAGGTTTTTTCCTTTAAATATTTTTGAAAAATCACATTTATTCTATACCTTTGGCCTATCTTGTAGTGTCTGTGATGGTAATGATGTGTTTGCTTTCTTTTTTGTGTGTTTGTTTTTTTACCTTCCTCGCCACTGGCCAGTGAGCTTAGCTGGTCTTCTATTCCAGCACACACTTGTGTGGTGAGAGATTTCTGCACATTCCTAATCAGATCAAAGTTGGACACGGTGTAGACGTGCGCGCTGTATGGAGTGGAAGCCATTTGCTTTAACTCTTCCTCATCAGCGTCTTTGATGCCTGATTGGCAAAGGAACAAAAAAATGTGTTAAACATACAGCACATGGTGCCATACAAAATGAGGAAAACGTGGAACTGTCTTAATTTTGATCTCTAGCCAAAGCCAGGAAGTTTACTCATTTATGTTTTAAACGTCAACACCTGTAAATCCCAAATGCTTCTTGTAAAGCCAATGGCAGCATGTGAAAATGATCAAAGATTACTAACTTCTTTCAGGTTTCACAGCTGCAAAGAATGTTTCGAACTAGTTGTACTCTATAAACATGTGAAACGATGCAGCAGCTTATCATTTCCCACTTTTCAAAGCAAATCCAGCTGGATTAATAGTGTGCCATTCAGCCTTTTTGAAATAAGGAGGTCAGGTCAATGGAAAACATTTGAAAGGAGCTTATTTTTCCTTCAGAAGTAGGAAACTATGATAGTACTGAGGACAGTGTCTGCAAAAACCATTTGATTAGTCTTTGACTGCTCAAGGTTTTCATGATTCCCTGCAGGAGATGTGAAGTGTGAGCATTAAAGAGGACATAATTTTCTGCAAGACATTTAGACTCCCACATACCCAGGGTAAATATCTCAACTCCACTGTCCCTCAGTGTTTTTGCATAGTCCTCAACCGGGTCTTGTGATTTTCCAACCGTGATCACCACTGCAACCTTGGGGAATCCTTTCCTGGCACCAGCCGTTTCAGTGAAAATATTTTTGTGCAGATAGTCCAATGCATCACCTACACAAACAACATTAAATAATATGCAGGAAACAGAGTCAGAATGTATTGGCGACAATTGCTATTGTGATTCATTTTGAGGTAACAGAGGCTCTATATCAAACTTTACTACAGCTAAACATCCACATTGAAAGTTACAAATGTCTAAATGTGATCTGAGAGATTGTAGAAGATTATAACAGTTGCTTGCATGTTCACGTGTTATCATAGTAATGATGCAGGGGTATGTAAACTGATTAGGCCTGGGACAGGAACCAAAATATGCCATCCACCAAATGACAAATGACAACGGACTTGAAGTCATATACAAATTTTGGAAAATGTTGTATTTCTTGAGGATTTCTGCAATTCAAAATGCAGAAAACAAACAACTCAGATTGAGCTGCCTGCCTGAAGAAAACAAGAGAAAGCATGGAGTATCAGTGTAAAGAGGGAAGTTGAGGCCATGAGTAGATTTTGGCCTTGACCGCTGAACACTTGGCTGGGAGTCTCCATCAGCAGCCATGAGCTCAAATCAGACAGACAACACAATGCTGACTCACTATTACACAATGCAGTCTGCTTAATAGCAGACGAAACTGTGTGCATGTGCAGCGGTGTGTGGACAGTTGTAAAGACATTAAAGTAAGTATGTATATATGATTTGACAATTTGTGATGAAATATTCAGTCTTTTCACATTAATCCTTAGTGAATTAAATGGTAGACAATTTCGTCTCTAGGAGACTGACTCCCAATATCATCATAAATCATCATCAAATTTGACAGAATAATTGGCTCTTCAATCTCAAAGCCCCAGCAGTTATTCACTGGGTGATTACGATCAAATACCATGCATGGCTTTGCATTTTCAGAACAAAAATTTCCTGACTTTGTAGAGAAAACAGAAAAAAAGCTATAAACTACAATGTCTGGAGCAGCACACTGGCCCTGACATTTTTTTTTACAAAAGTTCTGTTTCATTTTTTTTTAATGAAATGGTTAAATAATCTCTTTTCCTATACCTAAGGTAAGGATTAGGTTTAACATCAGGCTCAGAAAAATCTCATTATGTATTACACATAACATACTTACACAAAATACACATGGGACATATTACTATTATTACATAAATATAGTTATACAAACAATTCATACTGGAAAGCAAATGTGTGTGCATGTAGGTGTGGAAAATACCTGTCATGGTGTTTCCTCCTTTGTAAGGTAGACTGTTGATGGCTCTGAGCAGCTCAACTCGTCTGAGATACTGATTGAGGGTGAATTCTGTACGGGCGTCTGTGCTGTACTGAACTACACCCACCCTGCTTTTATCCTCTCCAATGTCAAAGGCCCCAGCCACGGTCGAGATGAAGTTACGGATGTGCTTGAAATTCTCTCGTCCCACACTCCAAGAGCCATCCACCAGGAAGACTAGGTCAACCAGCGCACTGGCGGAGCATTCTGGGAAATGGGAAACAGGTCAGCGGGCATAGTGTCAATAAAGAAAAACGTGCTGTGCGCCAGCTGTACACTAAACATTAATACCCCTTAGTATACACTGTCTAGTTTATTTTTGGTTTTCTCAAATTATTCTTTCTATCGTACTGCGAGACAGCAAACATACCGCCATAGAGGAGTGCTGTTTTATTAACCAATCCTATAAGTCCCTGTAAGTCTGGGGTTGGCCTTCTTAGTTAGGCAACAACATATTCTACGCATGCATGTTGGATTTGTTCTGTATGCTCAACTTTTGCCCTTGGGAATACACAGTAAACTATATACTCAAAAACCAGTTAGAATAAGTATAAGTGTTTAAGTGTATGCCATTGGGACACATAATTACATGACCTCTGCAGAACAAACTCAGGCTGACCTTCACAGTGTTTTTGACATGGAAGTTGCATTTTAATGAAGACATCTCCAGGGTGTAAATGTAAAAGCAAATGCAGCAAAGATTTCAGACCGTTTCCCGTTTATAAAATAACCCAAATCTCATTCTATAAAACTAAAAATCCATGCTTTAATTGTGCTCTGCAGCTGAGCTAACTTACACTGCAACAAGCAAGGCAAATCAATTACTGTCTTTCTATTGGCCCTCTTCTTGGAGAATGCAAGTGCAACATATTTCAAACTGTACAGCCCTCAGGTGACAATGTGCGATGAAAAATGTTGCTTCTGTGCAATACCCAGAATAATTAAAGGAGTAATTATTACTGCCGGGGTTCCTCCCCACTAACCCAAACTACATCACTCACATGATTTGGAAAGTTACTCAGCGTTTAATCATCTCACAGGCTTGGGTTGTTGCACTTTACCAAGCTGTTTAATGGCCATTTCTTTTATTTTTCTTGTATTCTTCATCCATGCAAGTGTGTTGTATTGGTCTATATGAGGGTAACGTACATAAAGTAAGCTTATACCCCCCATTTACCACTGTGCAAACTACATACTGTTATAGATTAAAGTATCCTATACAGCATCAGAAACCACAAAAGTAAGTCTATTTGCAATTACTTAACAGTTCAACATGGTTTGAAGTAAGTGTGCAATGATTTAAGCTGCGGTTGCTATGCGAATTGGTCAGGTAGCACGATTACTTGTTAGCTACATTAGCCTTGTCATTGCTGATTGAGTATATTTAGGCCAAGGGGAAACTTGTGCACATTTTATTTTCGCCCAACTGTTGCTTTGTGTGCTTCATAAATGAACTTGACTTAATCAGTGTGGGAGGAATCCCCTTTACCTTAGCAGAGAAAGGAAAAGTGAAAAATTCATTAAGGGGGAGAGCACAGTGTTCTCATAAAGTGTGCTGCTGTAATGCCTTCCACTTCTCTAACTGTTTTCAGTGGGTTGTCTTTACTTAGGCCAGGCACTAGGGACCTACCGACTCAGACGCTGAGTGACTCACTTGATCAAGCTGTCTAACAAGCTAAGTGTTATCAGGACTCATTAAGAAGGGTAAAAAATTACAGAACATTTCTAAAGGCCACAGTCGAATGGAAAGAGCCTAGAGGCTAAGGAAGGCAACAGATTAAAGGTGGGGTGGAGGGGTGAAAAGAGAGGAGCGAAGAGAAGAGAGAGAGAGAAAGAGAGAGAGAGAGAAAGAGAGAGAGAGAGAGAGAGAGAGAGAGAGAGAGATGTACTTACTGACTACATCTGAAACCTGTGGTCTTCTAGGAGCTCCTTCAGACCCACTTGACTGAACTAAAAAATAAAAAAAAATAAAAAAATAAAAATGAATATATATAGGAAAATAAATAAAACAACACAGCACAGACATTCAGCACATGACTTACTTGTAATCTGGCCAGAAATGGGTAAACTCTCCTCTGATCCAGAATACGAAGATATTGTTACAACATAATCCACATCAGGGGTTAAGTCTTTAATGGATGTCTTTGTTGTAGAGGCAGGAAGCGTAAACTCTTTCACAGGCTCATCTACGGTGGGAGCAGACAGAAAAAAATGACAGATGATGCAAACGACAGTGTTAACTACAAAAACGTGGGAGTTACGTTGCTTCATTTCTGTTCTGTTCAAATTTCTGCTTTTTTCTTACGGCTGCCATTGCCAAGAAAACAATATTTGACATGAGCGGCTATGTACTGCAGTTATAATTGTTATGAATTTATTCATGCTTTTATTTAAACATCACAGGTTGTACAAGTTGAAGGAGACTGAAATGGCTGACGGTTTCAACTAAAATACAGCTCCAGCCAAAGCTGAGCCAACATGAACGCTCAGAAATGATTACCTACCTATATTTGACACTACTTGTATTCTGAAGCCCTCTATCCTTGTCAGGGGCAGCTTCCATGTCATCTGTACTGTGCTCTCATTTAAAATTTTAAATCTCAAATCCGACGGAGGCATTACTGCAAAAAGAGGAGGCAGTTCAAGTCAATGTAAGGAACAAGTCAAACAAAAAATGTATTTCTGATAAGAACACATAGGGACCCCAACAATCAACACTTCATTTCTGAAGTTGTCAAGTTCATTGTTGGGGCAGGAGTCACAGCAAGGTACAAAAAGAAATAATGCCATTTTTGATCAAATGACATCTGTTTGAGCTGTCTGGCCACAGAAAGGCCACGGACTGACTCAAGCACACACACAGACCAAAACAAGTGATCCACAAAGACCTGGAGAGTGCCAAGTTTTTCACAGTTTGCATGCAGTCAAAGCAGCCAGTCCAACACAGCTGAGTTTACTGTGGTGAACTGCTGTACAACTGTTTACAATGACACATATTTGGATATTGATTGTACAATGGAAGAGTGTCATTTGAAAACAACATGTCAGTTCATATTGCACACAGTGACAATCCATTGCAAACCTCATAAAAGAATACACAACGTCAGTGGTGACACTTGTGTACGTTCTTTTTCAGAGTTAAAGTCAATGACACAACTTAAATGAAGATAACACATGAGGTGACTGGTACGAAATTAAAATAGGACAAGTGAAACGAACAGAAACAAACAAAAAGGATCTAGGTGGAACAGGTCGTTGGTCACATTGGGCAGACTATGGCAGGGTCTTTCCAATGCACATGTACATGAAAAGTTGTTTGCAACAACTTGTAGGTTCCATGTACAAGACGAACTACATGGAGAACATATTTACAAATATTTTAAAGTGATATTCTTGCTGTGTTGTGTGGTATATTTGGCTGTATAACTGTATGCATGTGTGTTTGTTTGTGTGTGCATGTACTTTAAGAATATCACAATAAAATATTTTGTGAAGCAATGGCTCAAGCCAAATAGTGACCAGAGCCAAAGCTTGACCAGGGCAGGGACATTTTAAAAATAAAATCCACCAACCTGGTTGACCAACTCAACTTTGATGCTGGCTTCCATTTCTGAATCCAAATGGGCCCCAAATCCCCAACCACTAGCTTTCAGCTCCTCATAAAAACACACTTACTTATTACTGTGCTCATCCATGCCATTCAGCTGCCTGGATGCAGTTGATTTTAACGTAATGTTGAAATATTTAAAATAGAGAATCATCATTTTAATGATTTCTGCTTTTCGAATATCTGTATTTATAAACCAATAGTATTCAATTACCCAAAAGTAAAAACTATTTTATATTGTTACGATAAAAAACATGAGTAGTTTAACATTTGTGCAGCTAGCATAAGAGGTGATCTGTACCTGATCGTTTGTTTGATGTTGTGATTTGTGTTTCAGGGATAAGTGGTTGACTTATAAAACAATAGCTTACACATCTATACATATTTATCATCTTTTTCTTTGAAATACTCACATAGGCAGCTCCACTGAAAGGCATAGCTCAACCATGCTATCAACAAATCAAAGCTAGGAGCCTATACGGATAATATCATTTACATAATGCTAACTGGTTACTATTAATTTTCATTGTTAGCAACATTATCTTTTTGACTTAACTATTCCTTTAACATGGGTTGCAATTTCGACCGTATCCTTATTTGCTCTGCAGTGTTCATATTGCAAATTCTGTCGAAAACTTTATCAACTCTGAAAGTTGATATATATTTATATATACATATATTTTCTAAATATAAAATAGATAGTTTATTTCATTGTTATTGCAAACTATACATGGCCTATTGAAGTAACTGGTTATGTAAATCAACACTAAGCCAATTAACTACTACCATCCCAATTCAATATGTGAATGTGTTAAATGATTAATGTAGAATTTGCCTTACCAAAACCTATTTGCCTATTGCAGATCATGTTAAAGCAGCATTTAACTTGTCAAACGCCGTCGTAGAAGTTTTTTGGCTCCTAGTGGTCATGATCTTTGATAAGGCCTTCTCTTGATCCCTTGTATCTTCATCTATTCAACATCATCCTCAAATGTAACGTCTCAAACACATGAATTATACGTAAACAAATTGAAATCACATAAACATAACGACTTCAGATGTTACTGATTATTAACAAAAATGGCAAAATGTCACAAATTCAGAAGATAATTCAGGAGACACTCTCTTTTCTTTGAAAAAAGACATAATTTTGTCAATGTGCTCTGTAGGAAAGGAGAAAAATGAAGGGGAAAGTTGGCCTCCAGACTGCGCTCAAGATGAAAGCAGTAAAATGTTCCATCCGGCTTTTCACTGAACACCAGCAATGCCGTACTGTTTTACGCTCAACTGTGATAAAGTCCAGTTGCAGCGTTCATTTTTTTTCTTCCTTTTTAGACAGTATGAATAAGTGTTCTGCCACATGATATAGATTACCTGTCCTTGGTTGAGGAACAAAAGCCTTTTCTGAGAATTATATTTTCACAAAATTGTATTTGAATAAACTCACTGGTTTTATCATTTTTTGTCTTGCACTGAAATATTTCTTTCTTTCCTTCTTTTAAGCACTAAATTCTCTCCACTTAGTGGTCAAGATCACACATTACACATAAAACCCCATCTGCTGGAGGCTGACTGAGCCTAATGCCACAGCTGGCTGTAGAGTGGTACAACATGTAAGATTAATCTGCTGCCTGAGTTTTCAGCCGTGTGTTGTTTAACTTTCATGTTTTTTTAATCCAAATAAGTCTTAGCTATTAGACACCACATCAGAACACTGACAAAACGCTCAACATGGATGTACCATTTTGAATAAAGTAGGGTAGCACAGAAAAAACATATTTCACTTATATTTACAAAAAATATATTAAGAAATGTGTAATTAAAAAGAAATACATCTAAATACAGATGGTAGAATAATACAGATACATACACATGATAGAATTAAAACAAAACAAATACATTTAAATACAGCTGGTTACTAAAGTGCAAATAAAACAAGTGAACTAAATACACATAACTAAATATTTTTATTTGGAAAGAAGCAAGATCATATTATTACAGAAAGAAAAATAAGGTGAGAAAAATATAGATCAATAGATCAACAGAGAGAGAGACACTTTACAAGAGAGAGCAAAACAGAAAGAGCAAGAAAGAGAGTGGAGAGAGAAAATGAGAGAGGGAGGGAGAAAATTAAGGGAGAGTTTAAGAAAGAGAAAGAAAGAGACAAGAGATTGTTTCAGGGAGAGAGAAAAGCTTAAGAGAGCAAAGAAATAGTGAGAGAGATGGGAGAGAGAAAAAGAGTGAGAAAGAGAGAAAGGGAGAAAAAAATTAAGAGAGTTAAAGAGAAAGAGAGATAGAAAGACAAAGAGTAAGCAAGAGAATGGTTCAGGGAAAGAGAGAAAACCTTAAGAGAGAGAGAAAGAGCAAAAGAGAGATAGAAGCAGAGTAGGAAAGAAGGTTGGAGACAGAGATGGTTTGCTTTACCTTGATCTTGAGCTTTAATAGATGACAGCAATGTCAGTGTGATGAAGGCAGACACCACTTTTGCCCTCATCTTTATCATCATCGTTTGTCTGTCTCAGCAGCGCATGAAGGATCTATAACACAAACTCACAGTTACACTCTATACAGCGAGTGTTATATAAAAAATTAACCATCAGTGATCCACAGAAATTCACTCTCACTATCTCTCTGTCTCTCTCTATGGCTTCCTCTCTTTAAATGGTCTCTTAATTTCTCTCTCTTTGTCTCCCTTAAAGGTTTTCTTACTACCTATAATGTTCCCCCTCTCCCTCTCTCTCTGTCTTTCTTCCATAACATTTTACTCTCTCTTTAAATGGTCTTCTGTGTTCTTATTCTCTTCCTTTCATTCCCTCTCTCATTCAAATGTTCTGTCTCTATTTCGTGAGTTTTTAGTCCAGACGTCCTGGACCTTCACCCAGTCTTTTTTAATGCTGTTCCTAATACACTGGAAGCCAGTAATCCACATTTACAGCCCATTTTTTACCGGCTATAGGTGAGTTTGGAGCTGTAATAGAATAAAACGTGGACTGGACTGGAATCTATGAGGACTGCAATAAAACCTCTGAACTAAACCACAAAAATCTGGGACTCAGCTACAAAAGGATGCAGAGAAATAAACCTAAAATAAACTACTGTACATTGTAAAAAGGCAATTTCTTTGAATCTTCAAGTGTAATATTCACTCATCACCTAAAATAAGCCCACAGACTAGAAAAACTGACTGAAAATCTTAATCGCCTTTAAATGTTCTTAGGCAAGGTACCTCCTGTATAATACCTCTCTCATTTGTGCTCCTGGAGAAGGTTACAGCTACCTGACCAGTCACTTTTGTTTCAATGGTAAATCGCACAAAAGTAACTTGAGTCCAACACAAGTAATCCAAGTCATATTAACTGGTCTAAAGACATTGCAAAGCATCATAATTAAGCTTTTAACATTTCACTATAATAACCATAATTTAATTACAGGTATTTCTAAAGTTGTGTGAATGATTTTTTAGAATTTATATCATCAAATGAAAGAAATGAGCATTAATCACAAACCAAAAGACCCTACAATATATAAAAAACACTTTAAAATTTCCTATCAGCTCTTTTTCTTTGAAAAAAAATCCTCCACTGTAATGCAGACTCTTAATATGCTTTTGATATTCAAAAGTATTGCTGTTACTTCAACACTTACCAAATCCCAGACAGTGTCCAAAGAAACAATAATCACTTAATACATCACAAAATCTCGCAAAATCAAGATGATTCTGACCTGATGTGACAGCTTTCCTCTGCCTCGCTTTAATGTTACTGTGAAAAAGTGCAGGTTTCTGCAGAGATGCCCCTGCTGCAGTGTGATGATTTCTGGAGGAGGAGCAGGGGGGTTTCGTCCCAGGACGTCCCAGATAGGAAGCCTGTTTCCAAATGGGCAGAATCTCTCCACAATCTGCTACTTAATAGGGGGCTGTGCCCCAACTCCTGTTTCACTAGTGTGAGCTCTTACGACATCCAGTTGTTTGTGGAGAGCTGCCATGAATTGATAGGCTTTGTAACGGCCTGGAGTATGGAGGGGGTGGGGGGGGACACACTTCTGGAAACTTTAGTTGCATTCCTTTGGAGTGATGGTCATCTGCGTGTGTGCGTTAGTCCCATGCAGGTCATCTGGAATGAAGTTGGAGTTATTCTAGAGCACAGACACCCTTACTGCGCACACACAAATGGAAATCTGTAAACATCGTCGTCACACAGAGTTATAAAACGCTTAAAAGAACAATCTCTGGAAGAAGATCATCACTGGAAGAAAACGCTGTAGACAGCTGCAGTCAACAATCAGAAAACAGGTTTTGAGGAATGGAGGCACACAATAACAATCCAAGGCAATAAAAATAATCATAAGAAGAAAAATTATATTTACAGTACCAATTTACAAACATATAAATAAAGATTAGCCTACTAATACTTTAAAACCATTATTTGGAATTCCAGTGTTCTCTCTATGTTTAGGAAACTTTAATCCTTTCTTTATCAAAGTAAAAGTCTATCATAGTTTAACTGAGTATCAATAATCACATGTAAACTTTTTCCTCTCACTTTGAGTTGAAGATCACAACCAGATTGACTATTTCCATTTATGTGTAGACAGTGCCCCCTATCGTCTATGCAGAGGAATATATAGTGTTGTAAGTATAGTAATATGCTGTTAAGTACACTGTATGTCCAAAAGCATCCAGACACCCCTTGTAATTAGTAAACTCAGCTACTTTATAATCACCTTTTGCTAACACAGGCATTCAATTGCACACACATAACTTTTATAATCTCCACAGAAAAGCAGTGCCAATAGAATGGGATGTTCAAGAAAAGCCACCCAGGTCACTATGCCCAGTGTCAACTACAGGGGTGGAGCGGAGCAGTGGTGCTCCGGTAACTGGAGTGATGGCTTAGCACGTACCTCAGGACTGACCTCACTGATGCTCTTGCGGCTGAATGCAATCAAATCCTCATAGAGTCTAGTGTAAAGCCTTCCCAGACGAGTAGAGGCTGTTACTGCAGAAAAGGGTAAAAAAATCATTTATTAATACCCTTGACTCGTTGGAAGAAGCAGAAATTTTTGACACATAAGTGTGCTATTTATAATTATATCACAAGGAGCTGCACTGGCCACGTTTATTCCATTAAACTACTGCAGTAGTGAGTCGCCGACAACAGACATTGCATGTGGTTTGCTCTGTGATTAAAGAAGATGCAAAGCCTGTCTTTTATTACTGCCATGCTTGCAAGACATGGGTTTAATAATCTGCTGTTATAGAGAGAGCAAGAGACCCATGGCTCTCTCTGACTATTGACTCCAGCTGACCCCACTTAATTTTTTACCAAGACATTAAAGGAGAACTCCACTGATTTTTTAGAAATTCTACATAATGAAAAGGTTGAGATGCAAACAAAGCCACTCAGAGTGCTTTGACGTGAAATGCTCCGTTCTACTAACACATACTGAGTCAGAATTGTTCACAGTGGTGGTGATGGGAACCAGACGTATTAAGAGTTTGCCTCTGAAAGCTCCCTTTCGGAACGTTATTATATACAGTAAAATGGTTAGATATATGCTGTCCGATGTCTGACACATTGTTTTGGCCTACAATGTATTCTGATTCATTTATTTCAATCCATTCATGGCAGAGGGGCACATGCAGGGTGTTGTAAGGCAACAAAATATTTTCCACTATTTTACCATCATCAACATTACATATGTAAACTCAGAAGACACGTATAGGTTCACTGGTGGTTTTGGATAGTAAAAAAGGGGCTATATTTGTGCTATAGACATGGGAACCCCTGGTTCCTATCACCACCACTGTAAAGAGGTCTCTACAAAGAACCATTTTACATCAAACCAATCTGAGTGACTCTGTTTACATCTTAGTGACTGAATTATTCAAAAATTCAGAATTCCCCTTTAAGACTTTAGATAAATGGATAAAACATCCTAAAAGTAGTTTTGAGTCTCTACAGACAACCACGTAATTACTTGAACACGTTTTAAAATGCCACGCCGTTTCATTCCATCTCCACTTCATGTTTAAAATAACACGAAGTCGACAGAGCTGAAGAGTCGACTCCAAGCACTTCGACTCTCAGAGTCGTTGGCCAAGAGTCGAGTCGGAGTCGACTCCCCATCAGTATTGAAAAGATTAACGTTAGCCAGAGACTCCGAATATTAACCGAAATGCCTTTGATGAATGCTTTGATGTTACTGTAATTTCAGTTTAGCGACTGAATAAAGATTCGTTTAGTTCTCGTCTAACGTAAACAGTTAACTATACAAAGTGAACCGTCTGGTTTACTTACTTTTACAACACAAGCTGACGCTAACACGCATTAGCTAATTCAGTTTGCTGCCTGTGACTGAGTGACGACGGATTAACAGCTAATTTAACTTAACGTTACCGTTTGAAATATCCTGAGATTAACTGCTATTAAATTACACGACTCTGCTTCAAATACCAAACAAAAATAACAAACTTACCGCCAGTTTAAACTACTTAAGCAACAGAATCTTATTTGGATAACCTTAACTAGCCTGGCAGGCTAAATTCACAGTTAACGTTAAAGGGGAAACACCAATTTTTCCAAGTGTCTGAATAATTTAGTCCTTGAGATTTCTTTCCAGTGATGGTGATGGGAACCAAGGGTTGCCATGCCGACAACACAAATACAATAATTTAAAATAGTGCCGAAAAATAGTATTAACCTCATATCCAAAACCACCAGTGAACCTACACGTCTCCCGATCTAACTATTTGTTAGCTATCTTAATGTAATAACTTCCTGCGAGTGAGCTTTCAGAGGTAACCTAACCTAGCTATTAAAGTCTTCAGATGTCTGGTTCATCATCACCACTGTGAACAACTCCGACTCGGTAAGTTTCTGTAGAACAGAGCATTTCACACCAAACCACTCTGAATTACTTTGTTTACATCTCCACCATTTAAGTATGGAGAATTTTTTGAAAACTCGGTGGAGTTCCCCTTTTACTTACCTCACGTTAACGTTGCTACTATAGCTAGGTTAACTAGCTAGTTTACCATGAACTAAAGCTCACAGTAATTTGATAAACTCATAATTCAACATAATTATAAACCATTTTAACACACTTCAGGACAATAATTGTGAGAACTAACTCAGAAGCACAGTTTGAAGAGTTAAATAACGTTCCTCAGCCAATGCTGTTCAGCTTAACAGTCGGCACAAACAACCGTTGAATTTGAAATTAGTGATTTTGCGCGCGGGCTGCCGTTAAAGAGTACTTAGCTAGGCTGAATCCCAAATAGCTCCCTGCTCCCTACGTAGTACACTATTTATTTATTTTTTAATAGGTCCAGCATCCAAACAGTGTAAAATAGATTTAACCAAGAGCCATTTATTATTCTGCCACGAGTACACAATTCCCTCTTGGATATGTAGTTAGTGCACTATTTAGGAGCAGAAGCCAAAATTTTAAAACTCACACAGTGCACTATGTAGGGAATAGGGACACATTTGAGATTTAGCGTTAGATAAGTAACTGCTGTATCACTAAACGCCAACACAAATTGTTTAAAATTTGTTGAAAGTAATAGAAAAATAAGCTTTGTACACACACACACACACACACACACACACACGTTTAGATATAGTATGCAGACGTATAACATATAAAAAGTAGCCAACATCAGCTTCAAAAATTAATTTTATTTCTACTTTTGTATATTTACAAAAATAGAAATAAAATGTAAAACGGTACACATATTCATCTCCTTAACAGATTTAGCGAAGGCAGTTGATTTCATACAGTGCTAGGCTTCTATTACAAGTCTGATAAATTCTTGTTTAAAATGATCACATTAACATTTGTGAATGTGAAATTCTGCCAGAAAAATAATTAGATAATATAATCATCTTTTATAATCACTGAAACAATACATTAATTAACCAAAGATTACATTCAGTCAATATAGTCAATAATAAATCTAAAAATCTTTCCAGCTACCGTATAGTGTATTCTGAGCTGTGATGTACATTTAAAAAAAAAGTGAAGTTGTGCATGTAAAGGATGCTTATGCACATGTGATAGTCTAACTCAGATTTATGATGTTTGCACTAAACTCCTAAAAACATCCCCACAAAATGCCATTCCCCCCGACACTCCTTCTCCTCTTACATTTCGTAAAACCCAGATGGGTTAACAGTTTGGAGGTAATGTTTGGTTTCACTACACTACAAATTACTGCTTTGCATTTACTTGAGTCATTTGCACATAAATAAAACACACTGGGTCAACACAGTACTAAAAGTAAAAAGTCAGTTCAACTGAAAGGCAGCAGGTTTGCTGGTGTGGTAAATGCACACCTTTAGATTAAGTATGTTCAATTTAAAGCATTTTATTATTATGCAGTTTACCAGCTTCCAGTAAGCTAGCCAAACAGCAGACGTAGTCTGAGCTAAAGACACTCACAACAGCAGGACAGACATTGACAGAGATTGATTTTCATATTTTGGAGGACAAGAAGCAAATCAATACTTACTTACTTGGCTAGCTATCATATAATATATATATATATATATACACACACACACACACACACCCTTAGCAGCAACAACTGCAATCAAGCGTTAGCGATAACTGGCAATGAGTCTTTTACAGCGCTGTGGAGGAATTTTGGCCACTCATCTTTGCAGAATTGTTGTAATTCAGCCACATTGGAGGGTTTCCGAGCATGAACCGCCTTTTTAAGGTCATGCCACAGCATCTCAATCGGATTCAGGTCAGGACTTTGACTAGGCCACTCCAAAGTCTTAATTTTGTTTTTCTTAAGCCATTCAGAGGTGGACTTGTGGTGTGTTTTGGATCATTGTCCTGCTGCAGGACCCAAGTGCGCTTCAGCTTGAGGTCACAAACAGATGGCCGGACATTCTCCTTCAGGATTTTTTGGTAGACAGCAGAATTCATGGTTCCATTTACGACAGCAAGTCTTCCAGGTCCTGAAGCAGCAAAACAGCCCCAGACCATCACACTACCACCACCATATTTTACTGTTGGTATGATGTTCCTTTTCTGAAATGCTGTGTTACTTCTACATCAGCTGTAATGGGACATACACCTTCCAAAAAGTTCAACTTTTATCTCGTCAGTCCAGAGTATTCACGATCAAGATGTTTTCTGGCAAAACTGAGACGAGCCTTTGTTCTTTTTCTCAGCAGTGGTTTTCGTCTTGGAACTCTGCCATGCAGGCCATTTTTGCACACAGGGCCCTGTAGGTTTGGATTTCTTTTTCCCTTAATAATAAAGACCTTCATTTATAAACTGCATTTTGTATTTACTTGTGCTGTCTTTGTCTAATATTTAAATTTGTTTGGTGATCTGAAACATTTAAGTGTGACAAACATGCAAAAGAATAAGAAATCAGGAAGGGGCAAACACTTTTTCACTTTTTCACACACACATACATAGCTGCTGTTGGAAGAAAACCTCATATCCCCATTTTTGTCGTTTTTCAGTTTTTGACATAATTTGAAAATGCCTGTTGGCCTTTGCATTGTGTGCACATTTCTTGATGAATGCATCAAAATAAATGACTCAAAATTACTTGGGAAAGAAATTCTGGTTCCATTGACATGCATTAAAAGTAGAGTATGATTTTTCCTTTTCCTGTAAAGTTACCATTTTGGAGATACAATATGTCCTGCATGTAGAATGTTGAATAAAAATCACTGTATTAATAGATATCTTTTTTTTTTTTAATGTGGCACTACTTTGTCTGTCCAAACTTATTAGATGTCAGAAAAAAAAATTGTGTATTGTGAAAACGTCTTGAAGTACTGTGGTATTACATTATCGCTATATCAGTTAGTTCTGATTTAAAGGTACTTGCCCGTTCCATGTGCTTTTCTTCATTGTTCTCACAATTTTGTTGGGCAATAAAAGCACTAATAACTATAAGGATACCGAAACAGAAATCTACAGCAAATACTGATAGAGGTGGCATTTTAGCTTAACAAATGATATGAGAGAATCTGAGTTTGCATACAAGGAGAAATGCTGGTTGGGAAGTGGAGAAAAGAAAATAATATTTTTTGTAAGTGTCGAGACACACAAAAGGATTTCTCACCGATTACCCTGAACGACACTCAGAAGGCAAAAGGTTATGGGAGACAGATTTTATTGTCCACCGCTACACACATGTAGATTGGTCCCATAATGAAAAGAATAAATATACTCCATGAGAATACATCCTTATACTCCTTACAACTTATACATGGACATTAGGGCAGAAATAAATCCAGGAGTTAGAATCATTCTTTCTTCTGTGGAAGTGATGCCTTGCCCAGTTCATACAGTACGAATAAGGTTCCTACGAGAGAAACAAAGAAGTTACAGAAGAATCAGACTTAAATTAGCTGTGCAGAGAACTGGGGTCAAACTGTATTCATACAGGAACACATAATTTGGTGTTTTTCTAGTCGAACACACATGACTGAACTCATCTTTAACTCTAGGGCTTGATAATGAGTCACCACTGGGGTGTTTCTGTTTAACTGTCATCGGTTCTCACAGATAATTTTACTGTACTGTGGGGAAAAGTGGGATCAACACAAACTGCAGATGCAGCGCCACTTCTGGGACACACTATGAATGCTCAAACCCAGAGGTTCCCAAACCTGGTCCTGATGATCTACCATGCTGGAGAGTTTACTGTCATCAGTTTCATTTTACACAGTCTAGACACCTCTTCTAATTAGCAAATTCAGCTGCTTTAAGGTCAACTACTGCTGACACAGGAATTTAATTACACTCAAAAGCTCGTATAATCGCCATAGAAAAGCTGGGATGCTCTGGAGCAGCTGCGCATGAGCCTTAGGTTGCCATGCCCAATGCCAAGGGCTGGCTAAAGGTGTATAAAGCCCCCCTGCATTGGGCTGTGGAGCAGTTCTCTGGAGTGATGGAGCTCTATCCAGTATATTTGGGATGAGCTGGAATGATCAAGAACTGATCCTGACCTCACTAATGGTCCAAAATCTAGTGTAAAGCCTTTCCAGAAGAGTAGAGGCTGTTACTGCAGTAAAGGGGGACAAACTTTCTTCACTTCAGAAGCAACACTGGATGTGCAGGTGTCTACAGGTTTTGGACATACAGTATATTTGGCTCCTAAAGGCCTATTATCCGGGTTAGGTATGTTTAAGATTGGAGCTAACTCTGCAGGGTGGTAGACCATGAGGACTAGGGTGGGCACCCCTATTCTAACCTGTTAACATGGGAACTGAAACGAAAAAAGTTCCAGGTCACTTGCGCTTTTTGGCTCCTCCAATCATTCTTAACATTTTGCCTGCAGATCTTTTAATTTTCTGCCACAAAACACTCCAAAGAAACATGGATAAGTTGTTATTTTTCACCTACCCAAGATGGTGAGGCCCATGGTGGCACGATACAGGACGGCATCGCCAGCTCCACCCTTCAAGTGAACCGGCATGCCATTATCCGCCTATAGAGCAAACAAAACCAGATTTCAACTGATGATCCACAAAACAAATCAAGATGTGCTTTTTTTCTGCACACCATCACCGTTAGCATTAACAGGATTCTTGTCAATGGCTAATAAAATAGCAAGGATGATACGTAGCCTACTTGTGTATCAACTAGAAGCGTGAAGTAGATCATTATGCTGTGTCCAAAGCCAGGTGATGCTACTACTGGATTAAAAACGGAGCTATTAGACTCACACAAATCAACACATCATGCGCAAGTTAGTGTATTAGTGCCTTGCTCAGGCAAAAAAATACTTATCTGTCCTGCTACGTGTCGGACTCATTTCAAGTGTAATTGACCTGAGTATGAAGTGAACAAACACACACACATGGTCTTCTAATGAACACTGAGGCCTAAATTACTGATCAGCTGTATGATTTGAGAACATGCATTTAGCAATCTTGAGTGAATGTGTCACACTTATTGAATGTTACACTTTCTGCTAACCAGGCTTTGGTCAGTTTTATAGTTGTTAATGCTCAATTAGCTGGTAAACTTTGCGACCAAATTAAGCTCTCTAAAAGGCCCAGTCCCACCTGCGCTTATCAGTGAATTTTCATGTGCAAAATTACATTAATTTCAATGAAATTTGCTATGATGAGGAATTTCACATTGCAAACTTCTGGCATGAAAACATTTTATGTGAAGTTAAAATCTGGTGAGCTTTGAGACACAAATTTGCATTATATAGTGCTACTGCCTCCACTGTACTGACCTCTGTAGGTCCTTTATAGCACTGAACCCCCAAAATGAAGGAAATGCTATTTTAATCAGTATTGCGCATAAATCTTCTATCATTTCTTCCCCGCTGTGTATAAACAAGCACATGAAAGAGACTAGAGATGAAACGGTAACCGGTTTCACGGTAAACCGTGGTAAAATTAATGACGGTTAGTAGTACCGTTTGAACTTTAAAGTATCGTGAAAAACTCGCTTTACAGAGTCAAACAAAGGCAGAATCATCTCTCAGGCACAGCTCTGTGTGTGTGTGTGTGTGTGTGTGTGTGTGTGTGTGTGTGTGTGTGTGTAGAGGGGAAGGGGGGGGGTGAGAGGGAGAGAAGAGAGAACATGGCGGAATGTAGTGACAGATTCGGAGATATTTCAGCCTTCTAAGAAGACCAAGTCTGACGTTTGGTCATGTTTTGGGTTTTATAAGGATGCAGAAGGAAAGTTAATTGAAGATGACCACCCTGTCTGCAGATGACCACCCTGTCTGCAGAACAGGCCGAAAGAAAATAGCGGCGAAAGGGGGCAACACATCAAACCTTACGAGTCATCTTCGCGACCACCACCCGCTACTTTTTAGAGAATGCAAAGTTAACTTTAACTGAGAAGTCTGTGGGGACTTTGAAATAGAAGAAATGTCACGGTTTGTGTGGTTTAACGTTTTGCTTATGGTTCGTTAATAATATAAAATGAAGCTTTTAGCGTCAAAACAATCGGTGAATCAACTGTGAATCGAAACGAAAGCTTTTAACACATATTTCTGTGGAGCAGAGTCTCCAAAATGAGCTCCGAGTTAACAGTCACACAAGCTCTGGAACGAGACGCTGCAGAGGTTCAATCTGCACAGCTCCCCTTTCTCGCTTGCAGTGTTTACTTTCTGAGAAGAGAATAACTGTCTCAAATCACTGTGTCCCCTACAGAGGGCGCTACTTTTCGAACAAACACGATCATCATTAACAAGCAGTTGAGTTTTAAATAGGGAATTTGTAACCTGTTGTTAATGTTGATTATAGATGACTTAGTCGAACGTTTCACGCACTCTTTGGGTGAAGGATTTGCAATTTCATGATCTACGAAGTGCACTAAGATAGTGTGCTTTGAGACGGGACCTCGCGCGAGTAAACGCTGTGTGCCGCTTTTGGGAAAAGCAGAGTTTCAGAGATTAAACTTTAGGAGTGTTTCTGCTGCAGCTCAGATGCATGTTAATTTTAAGTTATGTTTTAGTTTTAAAATGCTTTTAGAGAAGCAGCTCCACAGGTGGAGACACTGTGTGAGTTCTACACTGTCTGCAGCTCACAGCGCGGTCACGCAATTCCTCTGTGATTTTGGCTGTTTTTCCTGGTGCGCTGTGTCGATTAGGGGTTCAGCGCCACAACGGCACAATAATGCTGCAGTTGCAGTTCGGACAGAAATCCCCCGAGTGCAGCACTTCTTAGAAGTAATAATTTTCCATTAAGACCCACCTCAGAGTTGGTGGAGATTTAATTCTCTATGCAGGGAAATCCCTAATTATTGTAATTATTATTATTATTATAATTAATAATAATAATAATAATAATAATAATAATAACAACAGCAGTAATAATAATAATTTACAACAGTAATAATAATAATAATAGTAATGGTGAAACGAATTTCAGTTTGTGTATCAGTATTTATTTATTTTACTTTTCAACGCTTTTGAACAATATCGCGATAATATCGATAATCGTGATAATTCTGGTCATGATAATCGTGATATGAAATTTTAATATCGTTTCATCTCTAAAAGAGACACTGCATGACATGTACACAGTCAGAAGACTATATTATCATCTTTACTTTTGTGGTTTTACTGTTCAATTTATGTTAGCCAGCTTGCTCCTTGGCTAACTGCAGCTGCACACAATTCACTCCACTGCCGTCGACGGCACCAGTTATCCAAACCTTTTTACTACAGATCAGTGCACAGCACTATATTGTGGCAAGCAGACAGTTATCTGATTTAATTATGTTGACTTTTGTGTTTTTACTGTGGTAACCTTTGTGTTTTTTGTGGTAGGTGAGTTAACTAGCTTGCTAACTGCACCAACAGGACATTTTTTGCCAATCTTCCAGTCCGGTATCGGCTCATTTCACAAGGCGATGCAGACTGCAAATGTCTAGTGTGACTGTGCCTTAAAGCTTTGTTTTGGAAAGTGTACAATGTAATTTCAGTCTTGTTAAGTTGAAAGGATGCACGCTGTACTAGTGACATCTGGATTAAAAACTGTTCACAGAAAAAAAAAGAAAGAAAAAGCAGACAAATTGACAGCATAGGATATTTACATTCATACGGAACCAGAGCCCAACCGATATATCAGTTGGCCTATAATAATCAGCCGATACTGATGTCCCGTAGTTTTATCAGTATAAGAAAAAAATATTACCAAAACTAAATTTTGATAGTCAGTGAAGAACCCATGTGTCACCTTCTTTTTAAACATCTCGCAGCAATAAAGACTGAACTGGTGAATCTCAAAATGCCATCATTGCTGGAATAAAATAGGTAACTTGTTTAAAAAAAAACAAAAAAAACAAAAAACAAAACAAAAACAAAGAAAATAACATTTCTTGAAGAGAACTAATAAAAATACAAAGGTTTAACTAAAAAATGCATCTAAAAAAATGCATCATTTCATAAAAGCGTGTTGAATTGGACATTTTATTTATCAAATTTATATATATATATATATATATATATATATATATATATAGTACATAATAGGTAAATATAAAAACTCTCTCAATCATACACACACACATACATATATATATATATATATATATATATATAAATTAACATATTTACATATACAAGCCAATATTATTTGTTATCAGTATTTAGTCATAGTTAGTGCTGTAAACGAAAACAAAAACGTTAATTCACAAATACCTGTTTACATTTGTATGCATTTTATTCATATATTAATTTTATAGGTGGGAATAACACAGTTAACATACCTGGAACAATTTCTGTTTCTGCGGCACTTTGTTCTCCACTTGCCTACGTGCGGTGGTGGTGAGGGTCCGCCGCGCCAGCTGCTGCAACACCTGCCAACATACAGTTCAAAAGCTCATTCTAAAGTGGAAGAACTCAAATAATGAGGCTCAAGCAATTATTTACAAAAACATATTAAGTTAATGTTGCAAAATAAAGTATAACAAAATCCTCCAATTCTGAGAAACCTGTAGACCTGCAGTGGATCTTCTGAGTCCATCCTGCCTCTATCAGTATATGAACTGAAGAGTTCTAAACTCTGTTCTTCTCTTCTGGATCCTTTTAGTGTAAAATAAAATGCTCAAGCTCAAAAGTAAGTAAAGCAGTCCAGCAGCTGAACCAACAAAACAGAATTGAACTACATGAAAAACAGAGATTTAGAAACTAAACTAAACATTAATATCTAAAAAAAGGGAACTGAGCAAAAAGCAAAAGGTTGATTACTTTCCTTACTAAGACACTTAAGCAGAACTAAAAACATCAGCATTTGAAAATAGTGAGAAAAGAACAAAACCAGCAAAACTGAACTTGAGTACATGTAAGCAAATCAATACAACTAGTCACTACCCAACTCTATCCATGTCCACATGAACCTTACAGCATTACTCAGTATCTGTGTGCAGATACAGACAGTGTCTGTATAGCCAACAGGCCACATGACCGTTTTTTTCTTATTAACTTATTCCTGACCAACAACTAAGCAACTAACTTACAACACAACTTACTGTGATAAAGAAAATGTGATGAAATTGTGTATAGTTATAGCTTGCATAAACCTCTAACTACACATTTTTGGGATTATTTTTCATACTTTATGTTTAAAATCAAGCACATGGCGATGTAATCTCCATAGACAAACAGTGGCAGATGAACTGGAGAGCTTTGTGACTTTAAATGTGGAACAGTCACAGGATGCCACCATTGCCACAAGCTAGTTTGTGAAATTTCTGTCCTTCTAGATCTGCCCAGTCAAGTGTAAGTGCCATTATTGTGAAAATGAAGCATCTAGGAGCAACAACAGCTTAGTCATAAAGCGGTAGACCACACAAACTTACAGAGCGAGAGCTGTGTACTGCGTAAAAATCGCCTATCGTCTGTTTTATCACAGAGTTTCCAACTGCCTCTGGAAGCAACATCAGCACAAGAACAGTGTGATGGGAGAGTCATGAAATGGGTTTCCACGGCCGATCAGCAGCACACAAGCCTAAGATCACTATGCGCAATGCCAAGTGTGGACTGGCGTGGTGTAAAGCCTGCTGCCACTGGACTCTGGAGCAGTGGAATAGTTTTATCTGAAGTGATGAATTACGCTTCACTAACTGACTGTCTGATGATGGACAAATCTGAGTTTGGTGGATGCCAGGAGAACAATACCTACCTGAATGCATAGCGCAAACAGTAAAGTTTGGTGGAGGAGGGATAATGGTCTGGGGCTGTTTTTTTACAGTTTGGGTCCCTTAGTTTCAGTGAATGGTAATGCTAATGCTACAGCACACAGAGATGTTTCATACAAATTATATGCTTCTAACTTTGTGGCAGCAGAGAAAGCCTTTCTTCCTTCCAGGATGACTACATCCCTGTGCACAAAGCGAGCTAAATAAAGATATGGTTTGATGAATCTGGTGTGGAGGAACTCCAGTGGCCTGTACAGAGCCCTGACCTCAACCCCACTGAGCACCTTTAGGATTAATTAAAATGTCAGGCCTTCTTAACCAACATCAGTGTCTGATCTCGTAAGTGCTCTTTCGACTGAATAAGAACAAATTTCCTCAGACACACTCCAAAATCTTGTGGAAAGCCTTCACAGCAGACGAAGGGGGGCCAACTCCATATTAATGCCCCTGGTTTTAAACGGGATGTCCAGCAAGCTCATAAAGGTGACATGGTCAGGTGTCCACATACTTTTGGCCATATTGTGTAAATCAATCCTCCAGTTCCTCATTTTGTTTGCTGCTAACAGCTCGAACAGCTCGTTCTTTACACGGCTTAAGTTGGCTTCTTTTCCGAATTTCCCGTATTTCCCGTTCCACCTTAAATGGTGCATCCATTTAAGGTAGAACGGGAAATTCAAGCCAACTTCAGTCTCATTCGTCCTTTCCGGCCTGGCAAAGGCAAACTAGCAAAGCAGCGCCACCCGCCCTGAAAACACGCTCAGAAAACAGAGTCTGCGCTGCGAGCAGATATTAAACAGCGCTAAATGTCCTAATAAAACAAACTGTACGAGTTCAAAGTTAAAATATCTCACCATCAGATGCCCCTTCATTCTCCTCCTGCTGAGTCTCACAAGCCAAGGACACTGAAGTGAAACTCAGTCTCTTTTGGGCTTTAGTAGTGAGCTGCTGCCCCCACAGGTCTGGAGAGGAACTGCAGATTTATTACAACGCACGTACACAGGCTCCGTCTCAAATGGCTTCCTATTCCCTACATAGTGCACTATTGAACTTGTGAAATCTTGGCTTCTGCACCAAAAACAGTGCGCTGTATGCCCTGTACGGAGCTGTGCGCACGAGGCTGAATACGAAATGGCTTTTTGTCGTAGTTAATAAGCATTGTTTGAGTGCAGGAGGAATTCTTTTAAGACCTACGTAGTGCACTATGTAGGGAGCATTTGAGCACAGTCTGTTATAGCAGTAAGGTCATTCTGCCATAAAAGTCCCTTACATTAAATGAGCGGTTTAAAAGTTAAACATTTATGCATCTTCTGGACAGTGTAAATGTTAAAACCGTTTACTCACATTAAATGAGAAACTTTTAACCTAAATTTCATTAGTGATATTGTCATCAGTTTCAGAACTACATAATTTATTTATTATTTATTAACAAATTATATACAATGTGTTTATTTATTTAATAACCATTATAAATTAGAATTTGTAATGAATTACAAATTATAATTTAAACATTGCATGGGGTGCTCATATGAGTAAATAACTGTAATAACAAAGGAGGATATTTCATAATAAACCTGAATTATCCTGTCAAAATATAATTGACAGAACAAAGAAATATTTATTAATTCATTCAATTATTTATTAGCAATAGTACTAATAATAAATGTATTCTTCTTCTTTTTATCATCATTATTATTATTATTATTGTTGTTGTTGTTGTTTAAAAATATTTGAACATTTAAGTGTTGATGGTACAATCAAGACATTGAGGTCAAAAACAACAATAGGTTCAGAATGCATACATTATCATCTTTTGCAATAAAAAAATGAATTTGTGGAGAGGTGTGAATTGTTTCCACAGCAGGGGCTTCTCACCCCTCCCCTCTCCCCTCTCATTGCTCACTAGCAGTTCAACACAGAGTCTCAACACATAGAGACATCAGTGTCCTAGTTCATCTGATAACAGAGTTACAGGGTAAAAATTATATGATTTTATTATATTAATTAATAATATCTGAGTTGATTTCCATTCCACTGGCCACAAGAGCGGTCTTTGCACTAGGTGAAGGTAGGCAGCCACCTAAGGTCCCCATGAGAATGTAAATTAGATATACAGAACATGTTGATGTTAAATATCCTATTCTGAAATATATACACCATAAAAAATCTATCACTTTTGGTTATATTGCATGATGTCACAACTGCGCAAAGAGAGATGGTCTGAACAAGGCAATTAACAATCAACATTATGGAGAGGAGGTTGTTCAGTGTGATTTTTTTAGGTGTTGAGAGAGAAAATCTAATAGAGGTATCTAAGTGCAGCCGAGAAACACAAAAAGAGGGAGGAAAGCAACACTCTTTAAGTTAAATTTGTCCAGTCAGAACAGAGCACTGCACTGGCTCAGCACAGTACAGAATGTTAGCATTGTTAGTACAGATCGCTCCAGCGTTGGACCCGTTATCCTCATCACAAAAGGCTAACTAAGTTTCTCAAAATGTTACAGCAAGATGTTACTTACTACTTCCTGGAACAAGTGATCTCGTTACTCTGTAATTATCTCACTATATTGACAGATAATATCTCTTTCTTTTCTCATAACATTCTTACAACAATCTCAAAATCAGATATTAAATACTAGGTATTACTGACTAGATGAATTCACTTGCTGGACATTTATATAGCAATCCAGAAGCAGCAGGTTGGGTCCAATTTTATTTCTTTCTCCAGATATTAAAGATGAATACATCAACCCGAACTCTTATAGAAAGCAAAAACAACAAGAGCTGGTTTGGGTCTAATATTAACCTTTATTTCTTCAGAAACAAAAGACAAACATCTTCGTTAAAGAGAACAAAATAAATGACTTATAAAAGCAATGGCAAATCTAAAGTGCAAATACAGTCGTATGCAAAAGTTTGAACACCGCTGGTCAAATGACATGTTTGTGACATTGTTAACACATCCTCTACAGAGAGCTACAGAGGCCTGCTGGGGACATCCCATATAAATAAAAATGATACAACTTAATTATCTTTTTCCAAATTGACTGCAGCTTAAGGCATGGTCTCAACTTAACTGTCTCGTTCCCATGCCTTACTAAGTCGTGGCCACGAATTAGGATCTTGTTCCCACACATTAATCCAGCATAGCCATGCATTAGAGCCTCATTCCTACACTTTACTAAGTCATGGACACACACTGGGATCTTGTTCCCACACATTAATATGGCGTGGCCACGCATTATTTTTATTTTTACGCGATGTCGCCAGCAGGGCTCCGTAGGGAGGACATTTAAATATGGCATCTATAAGCAAATTTTAGCGCACAAGTTTATTTCAATTTATTTGCTGAATTTATTTTATGCTGGGAAACAAAAATAATAGTAACTTTTGCACAGGCCACATTTTGCATCTTATTTATTTCCTGATATGTCTAATTCAGCAAATAAACTACATTGAAATGTGCAGAAGTGTGTTCTCAGTAGAGGAGGTGTTTACTTTTTTTTTTAAAAATGAACAAAATATTTAAATTGACCGGGGCTCCCAAACTTCTGCACACGACTGCAACAGTTGGACACAGTATGGACAGGATGACCTCTGACACAGATAAAAACCTAAAACCACAACAAATCTCCCAAAACCGTATTAAAAAGAAAGAAACAAAAGAAAGAAACAAAACTAAAAGCCATGTACATTTGAATAATGCGAACTACAGATCTGAACATCTGAGTGAAATCAATGCTCAAACAGACCTGTGAGATTTTTCACAAACGATTTCTCTGTTTAGCTGGATAAACAGAGCCAAAAGTGAGGACTGTCTGACAGGAATACTCATTTTCTTCTACAGGACAGACTTGAGCTTTGGTTTAAGTTATCTGGGTAACTTGAGTAATCCTGCTTTGTGAAATGCCCCTGAATCTGTGAGCAACATGGATTTTTTTGAACTGTTTGGAGACCTAACATGAACAAATCCCTTAAAATTACTGAAACCTTTGCGGGGTGATTTCCTGGACTAAACTGCAAAACCAGTGGTGAATTAGCATTGGAAATTAATTGTTGGACCAGCTTTAGGTTTAAAAAAAGAGAAAAATCGTTGTAAGTGAAGGTAACTAGTAGTCACACACCTTGTAGAACTATTCTCAACATTGTATATTGTATTATATGTTACTTTCTTTAGGCAGCGAGATTTAGGCAAGAATTGGACTTAGATAATTAAAGCTCATATACATTCATCCGGTTTAAAAGCAATTCTCAAGTAAAAGTGTAACGCTACGCTTGCCTGTATTCAAATATATACATTTCAGTTGAAGCATAGCCATCAGATATGAGCCCCAGAGCCACAGAGAGATCACAGAGTAAAACATACATCTTAACTTACATCAGAACTTCTGTATAACCTTCAAAAATAAATATAGAATCAGATATGTGGTTTCGCCGTCTCATTCAAACAGAGCCTGTGCATTACCCTCCGAAGTGCTGCCAGGCATCTCTGCGACTACAAGCACACTATTCAAATACACATACAACACACTGAGACATGCTCGGACTCTAAGCGGTTGGCCTTCACCATGCATGTGGAGGGATGCAGAGGGCAGAGACAAGTTAGTTTGGAATGTCGGAGCTGTTGTTGCGGTTTCCGTATTTGTGGTGGATGAAGAGCAGCACCACTCCCAGGACAAAGCAGATGGAGCCCACGGTCATGTAAGCGATGCCCAGGAAAGGGTTCTTTCCTCCCATCCACGAGATGGTGCTCAGGATCATACGCTTACGGCCCTCAAAGCTGCGCACGGGATAATCTGAGATGAACGGGTTAGGGAAAAACAGCAGCATCCAAACCGGCAATGAAATTAAAGGCGCTGAAGCGAGTGCTCACTGGCTTCTATCATGAAGATACTTATTGTTGATGTCACAACAAAACCTTGTATCTCCCAAATTTTCATTTTACAGGAGAAGGGAAAAAAAGCTTTTTCTACTAACTCTTCTAACAAAAGTAAAAATAAGTAATTTTGGAGCATTTCTGTTGGTTCATTCAACATAAAATTTACACACAATGTAAAAAACAACCAGATTTCAAATTATGTAAAAAAAAAAAAAAAAAAACAAAAATGAAGATACAAGGTTTTGTTCTAATAGCTGTTCAAAAAATGCTGGAGTATTCCTTTAAGCACAAAACACATTTAAATTATTATTCAAAATGCCCAAGCCTCTCTTCTTTCAAGGCGAAACCTAAAGACAAGTTAAAGATTTTTCATTCAACAGTACATATTAAATATATAACAGTTTTAAAAAATAAATAGTAATCTTTGTACACGTTCTCCATTCTGGTATAACATAATGACAAAAAAAAAGTATAAACTACTTTATAATTTCTAATTTACATTTTATATTTACCTTTATTGTTTGACATATTTTGCATTTTATTTTACAAAACTACTTATAAACAGTTTTTTTTCATTACAAATTATTGCTTTGTAATGTTGTTTATACATCCATGCATATACAACTATCAACATATGTTATCGTTTACAGTGTTTAGTCACTCAGTTCACTGGACGTGACATGACCACTGTGTTGTCACCTGCATTATATTTATGCGATTTTACGTACTTATTTTCATACTGCATATCATATTTTATGGTTGTTTTAGTATCCGTTTTATTCTATATGTTCTTCTATTCATGCATCTGTACATGCACATGGCAATACTTTTGCTTTTGTGTTGCTCTTTACTGTACTTTGTGCTGCTGTAATAGACGACTTTCCCCTCTGGGATTCATAAAGTGACCGATTGGTTGAAAACTCAGCTCACTAAATCCTCTCAGCTGCCTGTGAGAAGAATGCTAAAAAACCTCTCACACTAATAAAAACCAGGAAAAGCACAAAAAATACAGGCTTGAAAGGGTTTCAGTCTTAGTAACAAATCTATAACTGCATAGCCCACAAACACGGAACAACCCTGTATAGGTTTGTGCACCACAAGGGTCACATTCTTCACTAATTACCACACCCCCAACGGAGCAGCATAGCTTTCAGTCTGAATGGTATGCTGAAAGGATACTGTACGTGACTTCCAGCGTGTAGTTGCCCCTGGGTAGCGTGGGCGTCATGTTGTTCTTCTTCTGGATAATGCGGTAGAGTTTCCTGAAAGTGGGCAGGGCAGCTGTGCGCATCCAAACAATGAAGTCTTCATTGATGAAGCCGTTGTTCTCTGGGTCAGTGTCCAGCTCATAGACTGGCTTGCGCCAGTTGACTGGCTTTGTGGTGCCTGAAAAAGGAAATATTTGCTTCAGAGAGGCAAAAGTGCAAAAGCGCAAACCAGTTTTAATTAATGTTCTATCAAAAGCAGTTACACATGAATGCTACAATAAATTTGTTATGAATATGAATTGTTATGAGTTGCAAATCCATAATCAGTTGCCTAAATCTATAACTTGACTTGTAACACAGATTTTGTGTGCACACACACTTGTTACTAGGCATGTGCCAATATAAAAACCTAATACCACAATAATTACTCAACCTTTTATTACTATTTACAATATCTTTATTGTATTAAGAAAAAAGTATTCATTAATTTCAAGAAACTTGCTTTTTTTTGGACAATCATGTCTTTAATTTCCCCAAGATTTTTCAAGCGGTGTGACAGACACTCAATTAAAGTATTAAAGTATTAAAGGAAGGCACTGCAACCTTTACCATGAGCTGTGAACATTCTCAAAAAATGTACAAACACAAATTGAGTTTTGATATCTCTTTTTATTTAAAAGTAACAGTCTGCTGCCCCCCATGCACCAGACTCCATAGCAATAAGAGTCCTTGGACAAGACTCCTAACATTCACCTAGCTCTGTAACAGGATTGAATCGTACGTTGCCCGGCATAAATGCAGCAGCACGTCCACATACGTTTGAACACCCCTGGTGGACATGTCTTATTTTCACTTAGAAAATCAACAACACATCCTCCACACTGAACACACTTAAATTAGGCACTTTTCTGCAAATTTTGTGCAAGATTTTTATTTATTGTCCAAGTTTGACATTGGGGAAAAAAAAATTATATAACAACATAAGCCATAACTTTCACACAGGCCACATTTACGTAAAATAGTAAAAATGTAACTGTGTAGATGTGAGTTCTGTGTAGAGGATGTGTTAACAAATTTCCGCTTTCAATTTCAAGATCATTTGCCCAGGGGTGCTCAAACTTGTGCATACAACTGTAAGTTTCCATTCAAAATTTCTGATCACAGCAGGAGTGAAATTAAAATTTTTATCTAATACTGCTGTCCATACTCTATAACTGCCTGCCTAGCACATCTGCAATACATTCAAATTTTACCTTGGAAAACAGCTGTCAGGTTCGCGTTGCTGCCACCAGGGTTCCTGAATTTCACATGCTTATCCGTCCACCATGCAATACCCTTCTTCATCAGTGGAATCTGGGTTCGGGTTTCATTGGGATCGATGTAAAACAATTCCAATGTGTCTACGGGGATTAGGAAGAAACTTTTTTAGAAACTGATTAAACACCCTGGAAATTCATAAAGGTTTTGTAGAATCCTTTATTGTATTGAGGTCTCCCTTTGTCTTACCATTAAACATGCTGTTAGCAATTGCTCCACATGGGGCAATGGGCTTGTTTTCATTTGTGCGATACGGCTCACATTCTTTACTGGGGTCCTGTGATTGAAACAAGTCCAAAAATCAAGCTAATTCAAAGAAACACATTCATACTAAGTTGTAGTTCTACACGATGATGCTTTATTCTGCAGCACTAAATGTTTGGCTGTACCTTCAGTGATGAGAGGTCTCCATTCAACTGGCTGTCATCTCTGGATTTAACATAGCGACGATGGTTTTGGTAGAAATTTGACAGGCCATAGTACATAAACACATTGCCCTGAGAATACAAAGGAAAAAAATATTGGTGTACATTTTGTCTTCATGTGCCCTTTAAAACAACATTTCATCAGGTGACATCCTGCTTTGTTAGAGAGAAAACTCTGCGGATACGACCGGACACCCCTGATCTAAGTGAAAATAAGTTGATACATCCTCTACAGAGAACACACTTCTGTACATTTTAATGCACAAGTACTGGTTATTTGCTGAATCCAACATTTTGGATTAAAAATAAAACATAAAATGTTGCCTGTGCAAAAGTTATGGCACATTTTATATTTTTAAAACTTTAACCTCAGCAAATAAACAGAAATTGAGTGCTCAAATTTGCAGAAAAAGTCACATTTAAGTTTGTTCCCATAGAGGGTGTGTCAAAAATGTACTGCCCTACTTTTTTCACATCAGCATGTTAGCTTAATGTCACTATTGCCTACAGAGCATTTAAAACCCTTGCAGCTAGGGCTGGGTGATAAAATGATAACGATATATCACAATTTAACTTTCCTCAATAGAAGTATAAGAAATGTACGCTCTGACATGGATGCGGTAGGATTCATGGCTGTAAGGCGGTGTGATCCATCACTGACGTACTGAGCCAGCTAATGTTTGCTGTTCATACTAAGCTGATGTTGTTGAGAAACTGAACAGTTTAGCACTTGTAACCAGATAGCCTAGCACTCGTCACCAGACAGCTAAAACCAATCTGTTTTCTTTCTTAAATTAGGAATATTACAAAAATGGCAGCCATGCTTTTCCAGCTGGTAAAAACAGTTCACCAGACACTTTCTCCCACTCTCCCATGACAGATCTGTGAAATGTTCCACTGTTTGGTGAGTGTTTGTCATGTTCTGATCATACAGGATAGTTTAAAACAGCAATTAACCACCCAGGAGCAAAAAATCAGCCTTCAAACTTGGAAGAAATAATGATTTGACATTTATCGCGATATGTATCGATATCGAACAATATTACATTTTTTATCATGATAACATTTTTGGCCCTAACGCCCAGTCCTACTTGCACCCCATCACTTCGTACCAGTCATGGTCACAACACTTTTGCATAAGCCCGAATCAGAAAATAGCAGTCACCAAGTAGCTACAGCTCAGCTTTGGAATGCATTTGTTAATTCCATGTCTATCAATATGTGAACACATTAATCAAATAGTTTTCCTGAACTTTATTTCTTTACTTCTTATTCTTATAACACATGTCTGAAGACAGAAGCGATGTCCGCGAAAGCACAGTCCCGAATAGCCGATAGAAATAAAGCTGGCAGGGATTAGGCCAATCTGCCTGCTCACCTCAAAGGGCTGATCAAGAGAGAAGTTCAGTGTACACGTGCACGGTGTTGTGCTGTTCCAGCTGTTGCTCTGAGAGCAATTGTAGCACGGACTCCACACGTCTGTCCCAGTGTAATCGATCTGTTAACAACAAAAAGAGGGGATCAATGTAATTCCATTTTAAGCCAACAAGCTGAGTCACAGCAGAAAAACAGGAAAAAGCCCAGCGAAGAACAGCTAGAGGAACATGAAGGTAATAGGTGTAAGAAGAGGAAGGATTAGCACAGGGACAACACAGTACTTCTCAGTACTACTGTAGAAACTCATAGGCCACAGACCTCTGAGGTCATGTGTCATTCTGTGGTTGTCGTCATGCCTGTATTAGGAACTCCAGGTCTAGGCCTGGTCCAGGTCTAGGGGGGTAAAATCACTGCTGCCACGTCGAGGGGTAAACAGAAGTTCACCAAAGCCGATACGTTTTGTCACACAGACATTTATGCTCTAAATGTTGCCGGACCCTCTGAATTACCCTGTCTGCACACCACGAGTGACGAAAGCAACAGTGCAGCCAGGAGGCGTTTGTTTTTAATGGGAGCCGGTGACAATCAGCGGCATGACAGTCGGTGACGCAATGAAGCGATCAGCCCTGCTCAGCTTTCTGCAAATAAGCAGTGACATAGAGTGATATTTAATCATGAAAGATTTACTGACTTTGGTTTCTCATAACTCGTGGCCTTAATATATTAACTTGTGGCCTCATTATAGTAATTTGTGGCCTCAATATATTAACTAGTGGCCCCATGACACTAACTAGCGGCCTCATTATATTAAATTGGTGGCCTCATTATATTATTTTTTGTGACCTCATTTGAGTAATTTGTAGCTTCAGTGTAGTAATTTGTTACCTCATTATAGTAATTTGTGGCCTCACTATGTTAATTTGTGGCCTCATTAGAGTAACTTGTAGTGTCAAAATATTAATCTGTGGTTCCAATATATTAATTAGTGGCCTTGATATAGCAACTCGTGGCCAAAAATAATCACACGGAAACTTAGTGGCTCTAGTCGGCAGACCGTAGCTACTGCTTCCGCTGTCTTTGTTCCTGATTTACCTCGAACTCCCTGATGTTGTTGGAGGTGACGAACAGGCCAATGCCGATGGGGATGAAGATGAGGCCGATGATGAAGAAAGCGGGCAGCACGGTCCCCGCGGTCAGGATGGGCTGCCAGGCCGGAAGACGCTGCTGCTTAAAAGCTGTGTTGTCGGGCTTTCTGCTCCTGTTGGCGCTTCCCCCGGGGCCTGCAGCCCCGGCCCGGTGTCCGTCCTCCTCCTTAGCGCTGTAGCTGGACGCCATCGGAGAGGTAAAGGCAACTTGTCCTAGCCTAGCTGTTCTAATTCAGCCCGAAAAAGCAGCCGTCCGCGACTCTAAACCTAATCTCTACCTCTATCAATATCACATACGGCTTCTATAACCCTCCGTCTCCTTCCTGAGCTCTTCTGAGGAGAACCGAGCTGTTGTTATGTGGTGTATTTTCAGGTTTGTGATCCTGAAGCTCAGGCGCTTCTTCACGGAAGTTTTGACAGCGGTATGTCCGTGCGTGATGACGTCAGACGTTCAGCTTTCAAAACGCAGACGTGATAGCAATTTTAAAGTAAAAAAAAAGGTGATTTAAGATACAATCTTCTCTTCTGAAACCTATATATATATATATATTTTTTTTTTTTTAATAAAAAAACACTTTTATATTTCGTAGTAAAAACCTAGAGACTATTATTCATTTATGTTGCCACTGTCAGCATGTGGAACTTTATTCTGCATAACATTGATTAAATGGTCAGTTTATTATGGATAAGTGTATTATCAGGTGTTTTGCAAAATATATAAAACAATACATATGCCTGCATGATAAATCTTATACTTTTAATAATATATGATATTTACTTTTAATAATACACACGTATGTGTATATGTATGTATTACACACACACACACACACACACACACACACATATATATATATATATATATATATATATATATATATATATATATATATATATGTGTGCAAAATAAGAGAACACACTTATGCACATTTTAATACACAATTACTGTTTATTTGCTGAAGTTAACATATTAAAAAAACTAAGACATAAAACCTATGCAAAAGTTATGGCACAAGTTGTGTTTATGTTTTATTTTTTCCAATTTGTTAAGCTCAGCAAATAAATTGCATATGTGAACATTTTTGTCTGTGATTGAGTAATTCAAATTTACTGAGAAAGAGATGTTAAGATTTGCTCTGAGTTGTGTATGTTTAATAATATAAAAATATTGGATATGAAAAGTATGAAAAGTAAATAGAAAATATGATATGGCAGGAAATATATTTACACCAGATCTAAGATTTAAAACAATTATTGGGATATAATTAAACAGAATGATTGTATATCCTTCAATAATATTAAAATTATGTAGATCACAATATAACAACATATGATGACTATATAATTATGTCATTATTAAACATGCTGCCCTCATTCACTCAGTCTCGCTTTCAGTCTTTCTGGTGAACAGTAATAAACACAACTTTGTCACACCTCAGACACGCTGACAAAATGTGCTTGTTTATTGAAAGTAACTTCAACTGTAAGTTCAGTGTGTGCCAGTCCACTCAGTCTAAACAAGTTCAATCATGACTCTACGTGATGTGCAGGTGAACTTCGGCCTGCACGTCCTTCTGCTGTTACCACTGTCAGTATTCTGTCCCAGAACACATTACTGGACTGACCAGAATGTACCACACATGATTAAAATCATCTTCCAAAGAAGGCTTCCCCCTTTTACAAACAGCGAGGCTCACTGTGTGCTTCTCCTTCTCAGTCTAAAATCACACAGTGCTCGTGTATGTCCACAGCAATGACACAAAGAAACAAAACAATGGAAAAATTATTAAATCAAGATAGCAATTACAGACTAATTGTAGGTCCCTACAGTTCTGAGGCCTTTCCCCTTGATTATTGAGTCACTCAGAGGAGTCCAGTCCTGGTCCTGGAGATCTACCACCCTGCAGAGTTTAGCTCCTACCCTGATTTAACACACCTGATCCAGGTGCTTAAGGCCTTTAGAGGCGTCTGAATATCAGAGCCAGGTGTGTTGGATCTGAACTCTCCAGGTTAAGTCTGAACACCCCTGATTTAATGTATTTGATTTGTTGTTTTGGGGACAGTTGGCTGAATCTTAAGCAAATATCTCTTTTCTTGGAACCACATGCATTAACTTTCCATTTTATAGCCCATTTTCTCGTTCCATGAGAAGAGGCCCTGCTGAAAAAACCTGTAGAAACCATTATGTGTTTCTGTTGGTTCCTGATGGTTTTTGTAATGTGTTTTGGCTTTTTGAATGGGTTGGTACCACAATGTAAAGGATCCAACAGGTGTAACAGGTGACCAGTGGCTGATTCTAAATGCATTTGATGGTTTCCTAATGAGGTCTAAAGGTGTTCTACAGGAAAATAGTGGTCTCTATTGAAAAAGATTAAGCCAAGTCCCATCAGAAAACAGAACTATTAGGTTTTAATCCTAATGGTTTTTTATAGTCCTTTTTAGCAGGGGCACCAATTGTGTCTACAGCAATCCAATGTAATGAATAAGAAACAGAAATCCGATAATAAGTTTGTCAAGCTTAAATATATTAAATCAAAGTTCATCATGTACACAATGCACAAAAAAAACCTAATGTAAGCAAATAAGGTTCGTGGTTTGTCTTTATTCTTAAAGGAATATGGGCAATCTTTTAGTTCAGTCTGAAATATTAATAAATAAAAGTGATTTTTACATCAAACCTGTGGCATGTGTATCTGTCCCTACATTAAGACTGCATGATTTAATTCAACATGAATACAGTACATTTAGGAACAATATAATTTATCTGTGTGCTTTTTTGAGTTTGATGTGTTACTGAGTCAGATCTGTTCACAGTGGTGGTGATGGGAACCAGACATCCTTCTCTAAAAGCTCTCTCACAGAATTTTGCCTGATGTCTGAGACATTGTTTCACAATAGTTTTGTGATATAATTTTGGCCTGAAATGTATTTTAGGCTATTTACTGTACGTATATGAGGATGTGAAATAGTCTCAAAAGAAATGCAATTTTCCATCAACACATCCATATAAAACTCAGATGACATGTATTTCAAAGGTGGTTTTGGATAGTAAATAAAAAAGCTCTATTTGTATTGTAGACATGGTGACCACTGGTTCCTATCACCACGACTGTAAAGAAATCTGAGACATCAAATCACTCTGAAGGACTTTGTTTACATCTCAACCACTGAATTATACAGAAATTTAGAAAAATGGGTGGAATTTCTCTTTAAGTGACTACAAGAAGAAATGACCCCACTTAGGCCTTCAAAGATTTACTGTTCAAAAACTGACATTATAAGGCCTGAGTGGGGTCATTTCTTCTATGCTATGTACACTAGTGGAATAAAGACAACAACAAAAACATCAGCCTTTTCTTGGCATTTTATCTTTGAAAAAAGCCTGAAATTAGTTTTTGGCTGAAAAAATGAGCGCAAACTTTATTAAATATTATTATAATCCATTATAATCGACTCTAACATTCCAAAATTGATGCAGATGAACCGCCACCTTCAGCTGCATTTACACCCGTAGTGTATCGTGAGTGTTGCTTCGTATTCTTGCGCATGTCACCAACACGCACATTTCACCAGCTTCCCGGTGTAGCTGGGCTCCGGAGGTTAAAGATCAGAGCGGCTCTGGTGTTGAACCCTGTGCCAGTGGATGAGCGGACAGGAAGGCTCCGTATCTGAGCTGTGGAGATGTTTACAAAGCTGAAGGCCTTAGTGCTAAACCACAGTCTCAGCGCGGCTCAATAGTCATGTGGAGCACAACATTTTCTGTGGGTGAAAACAAGGACAGTGAACAGACATCCTGAAGTCACAACCGCCAGAGAAACCTCGGCCTGCTGCTTACTCACTGGAAGATACTGTGCAGGATTATTGATGGTGCTGACCAGAAGTGTATAGATTAGCCTACAGTCCAGTTTTTTTTTCCCACAAATGGCCAGTGTGGTTGAAGGTTTACATTCCAACAAAGCTAAAGCTCTAACTGATTAAACAAGTGGGATCATGTTTGTTTCTGCTTGATTGGAATGAAAACCTGTAGCCACACCAGACCTTTGCTGATAAGACTGGACACCCCTGACTGGACATCACCCACACTCCAGTAGAAGTTTTGTCGCTTCTGTGATACATTGATGTGTGATACAATTTTTCAAAATTTTTGCATGATTAATTTGTTGAGATGTAAACAGAGTCATTCAGGGTGGTTGGTGTGAAATGCTCTGTTCTACAGAAACAAACAGAGTCAGAACTGTTCCCAGTGGTGGTGACAGGAACCAGACGTCCACCTCTAAAACCTTCCTTCTATCTAAAACCTCAGAAGACGTATAGGTTCACTGTCCATTATGGATAGTAAGTAAAATTCCAATTTTTGCACTGTAGACAACATTTACCCCTGGTTCTTATCACCACCACTGTAAAGAAATCGGAGTCTCTACAATCAACCATTTCACACGAAAACAACTCTGAATGACATTGTTTACATCTGAATGACTGAATTATACAAAAAATTCTCCTTTAACTTACAGAACTCCAATAGAACTTCTAAGCACATCCAGCATCTATCAGCATAAGAACCAAACCTGTTAGACTCTATTCTTCTCTCTTTTGGGAAGATACATTCTCACTAAAATCTAATCTAATATTTAAACCAGGACAGACTCTCAAATTAATAGAACCTGTACGTTATGAACCCTTAAAGGGTTCTTTAAACTCACAACCTTTTTTCTTTTTTTATGGAATCAAAAGTGTTTTGTTACTTGAACCTACACACATGCTAAATAGGATCTCAGGAGAAAAAACGCAAGGAATGTATAAAATGAGCATTTTAAGTACACACTTTAAGAGTTCATTAGTAAAGGCAATGGTTCTATTTAGAACCCTGAATTCTGTATAGAACCACTTGTATGCTTGTATGTTTGTTTGGAAGGTGAAATTGTTCTTCAGATTGATGGTGAACGTGTTGTATATTATATCTGAAAATTGTTCTATATAGAACCTTGAACACTCGAAGCCTTTGCATGATTTAACAGTTCTTTGCATGGTGAAATGTTTCTTCAGATTGATGGAGAATGTACTGTAGATGGTTCTATATTGAAACTTTTTCAAAAGGGTTCTATACAACACCAAAAAACGGTTCTGCTAGTTTTTTGATGTCAAGCTTGTTACAATAGAAGAACGCTTTTTGGTGCTATATAGAACCATTTAGGCATAATATGGTTCTATGGCTCTAAATAGCCACTGAACCCTTGAAGGACCATCTTTTTTAAGTATGCAGATGAAACTGAGTAAATGGGACCGCTTACTACTGGCCTCTGGTGTTGACCCTGAAATTCATTGGGATTGTCAGTTTTCCTGTGTTGTAATAATTCTTTAGCAGATTTAAATGTGCTGTAAATCAGCTTTTTAGTGACCATTATAATATCTTAATAAAAATCAGTGTCATTAATATGTAACCAG